CTCTTCTTGCTGGTTTTTATACCATGAGGCATCCGAGGTTTCGCAGTAAGTATCCTTCTTCACCAACAAATTTCTTTAGGAGATTACCAGCAAAGACAGATTGCTTGCTGTAAATAGTGTTATCTTTATCTATAGGCCCTCTGAATTATTCAGTTTTCTGTATGTTGAGATGAGGCCCTCCTTTTTTGCTGCTTATTTATTCCAATTTCCTTGTGGATTTTGGGTAATGTAAACATTCTGTCCCTCAAAAACCGAGTAATACATAATGTATTCATTCATGTGTACTATATTTTGTAAATTTGTGTTTTATCCTTGCCTATTTTCATTTATTACAAATATACAATTTGATAAACAGAATGCAGCCCTTTGTTTTATCATAAACAATATGCAGGTGTTTGAGTAGATTCTACGCACATAAACCTGTGCAATTTCAAAATTGTAGCCCAATGGTCTAAAAGGGCAATAACAGAGCCCTAAAGGTACGAAGTTAGTTGTCATTTTGATAGTGTAATTTGAACTAGATGCATACGTAGTGTATCAACTTAATCTGGACGTGACTCATTTGCATCTTCAGGGAGATTTTATTCTTGTGGAACTGAGTACATGATAATTTGTTTGCTGTGATGAAATTGAGCTTTATTTTACCAAGATTTTACTACATTAGCTCATAATACTTGCTATTATAAAAGATCTTATAACATATTCTTCATCTTAAGCATCAGCCCAAGTAATATTGAGTTGGCCCCACTGACTCTGTGGGACCCCCAGAGCCTTCCAAACAGCCTTAGAAGCAGCAACAATGTTATACCCACAAGGTGGGTGATAACCCTCCCCTGCATCACACCCCTTTGTAGAATCACACTCATCAACCACCTTAGCCTTCACAGTCTTCCCATTCCCACTTATTGCGATCATCTTCCCACACCGTGCCCCACTATTATACCACCCTGTCGAGAGTGCAACCACCAGTGAGTTGTCGGTATGGTAGGCGTTGTCACACTTGGACTGGCTGTTCTGAAAGGCTCTAAGTGTGAGCATTCCCGGTGTTTGGGAGGTTACTGAAGGGGAGCATTGAAAGGTGAAGTAAACTGTGTTTTGGATACAACAGTTGGTGCTGCATTTTCCTGGTGGAGGGCTTGTGGCTCTAAAATAGCCCGTTGTTCGGCAGTTTTGACCTTCAACTTGTACACTATATATAATCAGTAACACAACAAATGAAAACCATATGCTAATATTGTTATTTAACATTGTTGTCATTTTTATTTTATTTTTTTGTGTGTAGAGTTTGTGTTTTTGATGCTTTGAAGAATGATATTAGAGGGATATATATATATAATTTAAGGGGTGGTTTTGTTGACATAATAATATATTAATCTTTGTGTTTATCTTGTTACTATTTTAGTGCAAAGTTTAGTCAACTTTGGAGAGCTGGTCATATCATTCATTATTCAACATGACATTTCTTGATAAAGTTTGTCGGTTGACCATGAAGTAGTAGTTAATGGATAAAAATGGGGGTTGGATTGAGAAAAAATATTAGCAAGAGAATTAAGAGTTAAACGCGTGGTTAGCCTTTCAACGAATGTTATCTATTTGAGTTTAGCTTGGTTTAAAATTGATAAAACTGACTCAATTCGAACATAAATTTGGTAGAAATGAATCGATCTTCCTAGGCTGAGGCTACATGTTTGACTTTGTGAGTTCATTCCTGTATGGCTCTATCTATGAAAGCTTTTCCCATGTTTGATGGAATTAATTAATTATGGTAGCTTTGTAGGTTCTTCATTAATACGGAGTAGGCCATTGGATTTAAGGTTGGACTTGGACGCCCTATCATGTCCACATGAAGCCTTTCTAGGCTAAGTATTCACCCAAATACAAATCTAGGCTATTACTTTGCAACCCATCAAGCCACTTAAAAACACACTCTAGCAGTCTAGCCCAACATTGTCCAAACATAAATTACCATCCTTTTTTTTAAAAAAAAATCCTTTATCAAAAAAATTAAAAGCTACCAATTCATTAAAAAAAAAAAAAATTACCATTTTTTTTGGAAGGGAGTCTCAGTCTTCACGACTTCATAATTTTTAAACCGATTAATATTTTTATTAGAGTAAGATAGATAATATTTCAGGAAAAAAATAAAATGAGCCATATAGATTTCTTATACAAGTACTATACACGCGATGTACGTGTGTCTCCTACCTTATAAAGTAAAGTATAAACGGGAAAAACACAACATTATTCAAAAGAAATTTATGTCATACATTTAGGAGAAAGTCCTAATATATCATCGTTAGACACAAACAAAATTGCATAACAGTCTTTTGTACTACTGAAAGTCCTATTAGTACTACTGAGATGTTTTTTTCAGTACTACTTAGAGTGTGTCTTTTGTACTACTGAAAATCATATATAGGACAACTGAGAATGTTCAGTAGTATAATATTGCCTCTCATTAGTACTCTTAAAAAGTCATTATTTATAAAATTGTCATTATTATATATTTGCTTGTGCCCAACTCTAGGTCCTAGAACTCAGAAGCGCTCTACATTTAGCAACTCTTCACATTCTATATCGATCAATTACAAGTTACAACAACAAAATTAATGGTCTTTACTCTTTAGTGTAGTGACGTAGAACAAAATGGCGGGAAACGATTACACTACCTTGTTCTGCGACTGTACAGCTACTGTAGCTGCACTAGTTATTACTCCTACTCGTAATCTGTATCGTCTCATCTCAATTGCCGACTCTACACTCAAAATTCCCACAAATTTCCAGAAAAATCCCACTCAAAACACAATAAATAAAAAAAAAAAATACCCAGAATCTTATAAACATTGAAATGTTACAACTGGGTTTATTTGTGTTTCTTTGTTCAATCCATTCTTAATATCTAGTCTTTTTATTTTATTTTAAATTTTTAAATTTTTGCATGCATGTTTTCTTTGATTATATAGAGTTTGAAAAGAAAATGAAGAAGATAAAATATGTAGATGATGCTGGTTTTACCTTTATTGATCATCTAATCTCATGGTCAGTTAATGATATACTTGATGATAACTTTTTCAATGACAAGGTTAGTTCCTCATTTCCTCTTATTTAAAATATATTATATGGTTGGTACTTTATGTTTGTAAATTGTGTAATTGAATTGTATGATGAATTGCATGCATGCTTTAGTTGTAGTCCTAGATAGATTATAGATAGGGCAAAAGATTTGATTTTGTTGTTGATTCACTAATTTGTAGTTAATTCCAACAAGTAAATACTGTAAGAAGATTTTATTGCTGTTGTTGACTCTGCATTTTGTGAACTACAGGTCAGGAAGATCCCTTGTCTGTTTCGATCGACAACCGAGTATTTCGATGCATTTGTGTATCCTTTGTTAGAGGAGGCACGAGCCGAATTGTGCTCAAATTTGTCTATGTTATCTAGAGCGCCTTTTGGTAGAGTAGTTTCGTGTTGTAAAGCTACCAAAGATACTAAATTACACTTTTTGTACAATGTTAAGGTTCATCATTGGAGGGTTAATTCTGCTGGTGGAGATAGCAAAACTTATAATGTTTTGCCAGGAGATGTGTTTGTATTGATGGATTCTGAATTTGATGCTGAGGAACCTGTTCTACAGTCGGGGCGAAAATGTGTTCTAGCATCTGTAGTTAATATGTCTCAGGATGATGCAGATGAGGACACTTCTGCTACTTGTATCAGAGTGATTGTGTCTAAAGAGATTGACATGAATGATTTTGTAAATAAATATTTACTTATTGTATTTTTGACTAATGTGATTCCATTTGAACGCATATGGAATGCTTTGCACATGAAGGAGAACTTGAAGTTACTCGAGAAGGTCTTGCACTGTGATTCCTTGGTATGCTTCCAGTCTTATTGTTGAAGTTTTCGTATTTTCGTTCTTGTAATGCTGATGAACTTCTATTCCGCATTTGCCAACATGTTCATGATAGTTATATTATTTGTCATTTGTATCACTAGGATCATCCTAGAAAGAAAGGTTTATGCACATTAGTCGACTTGGAGAATGATTGGACTGTAATTATTCTATGATGATCATAACATTTTGAAGCTGAGAGGCAACTAGAACAAATCTATGTTGCTGATTTAGGACTAGGATGCTTATATATGACTATTTTCATTTTATAATGCATAAATAATTGATAGCAACAACCCATTTAAGGCTTAGTTATAATATATTATTCAATTTTGCAGGACAAAGGAACTGATGGCAATGGCTGTTCAGAAACTGATCATTTCTGGCTCAACAAACTTGGTTCGGGTTTACCACGTCTAAACCCATCTCAGAAGGATGCAATTTCGGCTTCTTTGAAAAATATACAGTGTAAGGACAAGTTTTCTGTTGAACTTGTATGGGGTCCTCCTGGGACTGGTAAATCTAAGATGATCAGCACATTGCTATGCATTCTGCTAAGGCTTAACTGTAGAGGCCTGGCTTGTGCCACAACAAATGTGGCAATTACTGCATTAGCTAGTCAGGTTGTAGAGCTGTTGAGAGCGTGTTCTGCAAGGAATTCAGACAATAGGTTTTGCTCATTGGGCAGCTTACTTTTGTTTGGGAGCAAGAAGCAGGTAGATGTAGGTTCAGATATTGAAGATATTTATTTGGACTACCGTGTTAAGAAGCTAGCAGAGGTTTTTAGCCCCATTAGTGGCTGGCGCTGTTCTTTCTCGTTGTTGTTGAATGAATTCCAGGATTTTTCTTCACAGGATCATTTTCTCACTGGACAACATGGTCAGAATAGGTGCCTTGGCAATTCAGAGCAACTTCTATCCTTTCTTAATTCTATTAGAGATCAGTTCAATGAACTAATTGGTCCTGTCAAGAGATGCATCTCAATCTTTTGTACCCATATGGCAAAAAGTTTCATTCAGGAACACAATATTGAGAACTTGACTAAGCTTTATGATTTGCTTGATTCTTTTGAAAGTTTGCTGTTGCAATATATTGGTCAACTCAGTGGTTGGCTCCTTGTAGTGGAGTCTTTCAGAAGTCTATTGTGTATATACTAGGTCTTCTCGAAAAGAAGGGAGATGAATGCTTTGATCTTTTACAAAATCTAATTGTTTCTTTGGGCAAACTTAAGTTTCCCCAAGTGACAAATTATGATTTCATCTCGGATTTCTGTTTCCAAATGTCATCCTTGTTATTCTGTACGGCTTCAAGTTCCTATAAATTGTATTATGCGCCTATAAAATCACTCGATGTTGTGGTTATTGATGAAGCTGCGCAGTTGAAGGAGTGTGAGTCCATTATACCACTCCAACTTCCCGATCTAAGGCATGCTATTCTTGCAGGAGATGAGTACCAGCTACAGGCCATGGTGAAAAGTCATGTAAGAATATCGGTCTAAAATTGATTTCTATTTTTACTCTTAAAATTTTACTTAATCTTATGATTGTTTATATGATCCAGAAACCTTTCCTTTTTTTGATGCAGATTTCAGCGAGTGTTGATTTTGGCCGAAGTTTATTTCAGAGATTAGGTTTGTTAGGCTGGTCAAAACACCTACTAAACATGCAGTACAGAATGCACCCTTCAATAAGTGCATTTCCAAGGAGGATGTTTTACAGCAACAAAATTACTGATGCACCTAGTGTGAAGAGTGACGGCTATGAGAAACGTTACCTTGAAGGATTATTCTTTGGTCCTTATTCATTTATAAATATTACAGAGGGAAAAGAAGAATTTGATGATAATGGACAAAGCAGAAAAAATATGGTTGAGGCAGCAGTTGTCCGGGCTATAGTACTTCGTCTTTACAAAGGTATGCCACGCGGATAGTTCCCTTTTCAGGTTGCTTACAGAATTTTTATCTTGAAAGATCAACCTACTTATTTTCTCAGTTTCGTAACACATTACAAAAATTAGCTTCTGGATGTGCTGCAAAATGCAGATTTGATCCGTGACTAGAATTTTTTAAATTCTGTTGTAATTGTCTTTATATTCCTTATCAATTGGAAAAATACCTTCCAGTTCCAGCATCGGAGCAGGAACGAACTGTGAAATATTGCCGTTTTCTTCATGAAAAATAATGCTTGTTTTAGTAGTGCGAGTATTTTTTTTTTTTTTTTTTTTGGTTACGGTGTAGTATTGATGTTCAGCAAGTAACTAATTTATTATTTTGGCGCACCATTTCTCCTTGATGGAATGTGTGCTACCCCAGGCTTTAGTGACCTGGAAAATGGATCTATATTTTAGCTTTGGACATTTTTTCACTAGGTTCAACATTCTTTATCGAGAGCTGCATTGTTTGAATTGGTATTTTTACTTTTGGGATGCATTGTACACTTGCATTCTATACAAAAATCTGTGTTTTAGGGCCTCTATTTATCTAATACACTAATTGGCCTTTACAAAATTCTTTATTGCTGCATTCTTAGTCTTGGTTCATTTTCTTGTTTGCAGGATGGTGCAAATCACCCTGCAATAAAAAAGTTAGCATTGGTGTAATATCGCCTTATTCTGCACAGGTTAAGGCAATTGAAAGAATGATTGGTCAGAGATTTTCGAATCTGGAAAATTTTACAGTGAACATCAAATCAATTGATGCGTTCCAAGGTGCAGAGGAAGACATAATACTGCTATCTTTGGTCAGATCTAACAACTTTGGCGAAATTGGTTTCTTATCTAATCCTCAACGACTTAATGTTGCATTAACAAGGGCAAGGTATGTCTTGGAAGTACTTCCAAATAATTTTTAGGCTTCACTGCTGTTTTTCCTACACTAGTTATTTTCCAATTTACATTCTTGATTCCAGACATTGCCTATGGGTGCTTGGAAATGGGAAGACTTTAGCCAAAGCCAACCTTATTTGGAGGGATTTTATCACCGATGCTAAAGAGCGGAAATGTTTTTTCAATGCTAATGAAGATGAAAAAATATCAGAAACAATCATTTATGTTAAGAAGGAACTAGATCAGCTGGATGATTTGCTCAGCGGAAATAGTGTGCTTTTTCGTAATGCAAGGTGGAAGGTGGGTAACTCCTCTTATCAAATTAATGATGTTCAATTTAGTTGAACCTTAAACACTTCAGTTTGGGCTTACCTATTCTTGTTGCTGAACATTGCTCATGTTATTTTTCCTAGGTTCTCTTTGCTAGTAATTTCATCAAATCATTTTCAAAGCTGCAATCAAGCCAAACAAAGATGCATGTGTTTAATCTTATAGGCAAACTTTCAAATGGATGGCGACCAAGGAAAATCAAAGTCGATCCTCCTTGTGAGAGCTCTGTTCGAATTGTCAAGCAATTCAAAGTTCAAGGCCTCTATGTCATATGCTCAAATGACATTGTTAAAGAATCAGAATATTTCCAAGTTATGAGGGTTTGGGATATTTTGCCATTGGAAGCAGTGGCCGAATTGGCTAAGAGAATTGACAAACACTATGGTTTATTCACTGAAGAGTTTGTCAGATGCTGCAAGAAAAAATGTATTGAAGGGTATGCTTTCTTTTGTTACATTTTCATCAACATGCATCTATAAGATTGCGAAATTAGGAAAACTATCTTGTTGAAATGATTAATCCTTTTTGGCAATATCTCATTTATCTAATTGATTTGTTATGCTCAGTACGCTGGAAGTTCCCGTATGCTGGAGCAGCAACTCTAATATTGTTCGGTACAAGAGTTGCAGTGATGCTGAGAGAACAAGTATATCAGATGACGATGATGTCGCACCAAGATGTATTGACAAGGCAGAAGTCAAGGAGAGCTTGTTGCTAGTAAAATTTTACTCTTTATCTGTCGGTGTAGTGAAACACTTGATTTCTGTTTCTGATGGTAGGGCATTAGAGCTTCCCATGGAAGTGACAGACAACGAGTGGGAAATAATTCATTACCCAAGAAGCTCTTTTGTGTTAGGAAGGTCTGGCACTGGAAAGACCTTGGTGTTAGTCACGAAACTATTTCAGAAAGAACAACTATATCACATGGCTTTGGGTGGTTCTGATGAGGTACATGGCGATGCTTCCTTGTGTGATGACCCATCAATTAAGCTTGAGGGTAGAAGCGCTATTCTGCGACAACTGTTTGTAACAGTTAATCCGAACTTGTGCCATACAGTAAAACAACACATCTCCAATCTTCAAAGGTAACTGTGAGATACTTTACATTTCTCAATTGTGACATTGTCAACTCCACATTGTCTCTGGGAATTTAAACAGAAAAATGTCGTATATATTAGGGAAGAAGAGTGTATTCAGTATTCAATAGATTTGTGTTCTCGGGTCAATTGTCAATCTCATATGTGTAATTGTTTCACCTCTTAGGGTGTTTTCTGTTAGGAGGAATTCGTTTGGTTTGTATAAGGGTGCAAAGACATTTTCTTCTTCCCGCATTATCCTTATTTTTCTTGCCGATTACTTTCTCTCCTCCCTTTCATCCCCTTCCCACCATCCCCATTCTTTTCCTTCTCTCTAAATTTTATTAAGGTACTAAAGAAGGATACTTAATCTTTTGTAGCATTTTCCCTTTCAAATTTGTCCATGGAAAACAATATCTAGTTGGCAGTGTTTTCTGTCCAACCAAATGGAATTTTAGTGATAATGTTGAGGAGCATGCTCTTGGAGCATGTTTGATTATATGCTAAGCTATTTTGTTATATTGATAATCTCATATCTGTTGTCGTACTGAATTTGGCCTCACTGATGCTTCAGCACTGTTCGTGGAGAAATCTTGAATAAGGAAACCTGCATCCAAGTTTATGATGAGACGCAACTATTTGAAGATATTCCTCACTCTTTCTGGGAGATCCCTGCTGAGTCATATCCTCTTGTGATATCTCTCAAGAAGTTCCTGCTCATGCTGGATGGTACAATAGGTACCTCATATTTCCATAGATTTGTGAAAACTAGACAAACTTGTAGCTTAAAATCAGTTGAGCTGCAAATGATGGAAAGGAAAGAAGTAAGCTTTGATAAGTTTAGTGTCTCATACTGGCCTCACTTCAATTCGACTCTTACAAAGGATCTTGATCCTTCAAGAGTTTTCACTGAAATACTCTCTTGTATAAAAGGTGGAATAAAAGTTGAACAGGGTAGACTCACTTTAGACAGTTATATTCAATTGTCTGACTGCAAAAAGTCAAGCTTAAGTAGGAACGAGAGGGAGGCCATATATGGTATATTCTTGTGCTATGAGAAGATGAAGCTTACAAGAGGTGAGTATGATTTGTCTGATGTAGTGAATGATCTTCATCATCGGTTCAGCCATCAAAGGTATGAAGGTGATGCCTTGGATTTTGTGTATATAGATGAAGTTCAAGATTGGACTGTGCGGCAACTTTCTCTTTTAAAATATGTTTGCAAGAATGTCAAAGAAGGTTATGTGTTTGCTGGTGATACAGCTCAAACAATTGCCCAAGGTGTAGATTTTAGTTTTGATGAGATCAGAAGCTTTTTCTATGTCAATTTTCTCCAAGGCCCGTGTGTGAAAACTAGTAAACAGGATCAAGGAAACATCTGCCCAATTTTTGTGCTGAATCAAAACTTTCGATCCCATGCTGGGATTTTAAAGTTAGCTCACAGTGTCATCAAACTTATCTACCATTTCTTTCCATACTCAATTGATAAGGTTAATCCAGAGTTCAGTCTTATTGATGGAGATGCTCCCATACTGCTGGAGTCTGCATCTGGTGATGAAGATGTTGTCATGAAAATCTTTCAGGACAATAAAAATGATGGCAGGAATACTGTCATTTTTGGAGCTGAACAAGTTATTATTGTACGAGATGAAAGTGTGAGAAATGAAATGCCAAGCCATGTAAAAGGACATGCACTTGTGCTCACGGTATTTGAGTGCAAAGGCTTGGAGTTTAAGGTAAATAACTGTTTGGCTTTTCTATTTCTTGACATTGACTTCTTCATTATTGTTATAAGGTTCTCGCTTGACATTTCTAACTCTATATTGTTTTTGTTTGATGCCTTATTTTTATTTTTATGTTGCAAAAGTTGCTTAATATACCAGCTATGCACTTTGATATTCTGTGATCCTGAAATAGCTTATCCCTGTGACATGTTTATCATCACAGGACGTTCTCTTGTACAACTTCTTTTCATCATCACCTATTAGAGAACATTGGAGTGTAATATATAAATATATGCAAGAGAAGAACCTTGGCTCATCATTTCCACATTTTCCAAAGTTCAATCATGCAAAACATAGTGGTTTGTGCCATGAATTGAAGCAACTATATGTGGCCGTCACCCGAGCAAAGGAAAGATTATGGATCTGTGAGAGCCATGGTAGTCATGCAGAACCTATGGCTAATTACTGGAAAAAATTGAATCTGGTCCGAATTAGACAGTTTGACAATTCATTAGCTCAGGAAATAATATTTCCCAGCTCTAAGGAGGAATGGAAATCGCAAGGTTTCAAGGTTTGTTTTTTGGCTTTATTTGGAAGACATTCATTATTAGTTTTCTCCTCCAATTTCATGTTAACCATCTTAGTTTAATAGATTTTAGAGAACCCATGTGATGCTCATATTAAAATTTAGTAAGTTTGTAAGTCTAATGCATCAGCATTGAGGATTTTGGGATCATAGCTCAATCATTTATCAGATGTACCTATAATTGCTGGCATCATGCTAGGTGTCACCATCAGTGTGTGGTGTTATCTGAGTCAGGAACTCAGGATTTCATACTTGAACTATTGTAACTATTTATTTTGTCTTCAATATTCCTTGCATCCTGATTCACCTTTATATGCAGTTTCTCGAAGTAAGTAACTATGAGACAGCGGCAGTCTGCTTTGGGCGAGCTGGAGATACTTACTGGGAAAAATACGCCCGTGCTACTGGCCTTAAAACAACCGCTGCTCATATGCGTGGCTTGAGTTCTGAAGCAGTCAAAATGCTTACAGAAGCTGCTGAAATCTTTCAAAGCCTAGATAACAACAAAGAGGCCGCTAAGTGCTTCTATGATGCAGGCAATTATGAAAGAGCAGGTAGTAGTGAAAACAGTTACTAATTTCAATGTATTCTGCTATTTTTAGAAACCATTATTTGGAACTATTACTGATATACCTTGAATTCTTTCGCTAGAACATAGCAGACTTTTGACACAGTCCTTTGCAAATGAACATTGAAAAAATAGAAACAAAAGTATAATGGGCAGTATGAATCCTAGTTAGTGAACCTTGTCCTAAGCCTGAAAATGAACTTTTACTATATGATTGAAATTGTAGCCTAAAACCCAATGGAGTTCACATTTAAGTTTACTTCCTTGAATTCTGACCCAGATGAACTGATTATTTCCAGAAATGACGCTATTGAACTTTTTTTTTTTACAGGTGATATATATCTGCAGCACTTTCAAAGTTCTGAGCTTGAAAAGGCTTGTCATTGCTATACCTTGGCCGGTTTTCATGCACGTGCTGCGGAGATCTATGCTGAAAATTACCTCTACAGAGAATGTTTGCATGCATGTAATACAGGAAAATTGTTTAACTTAGGATTGCAGTACGTACAAAGCTGGAAACAGCTGGCTCTTGAGGAGGGAAGCATAGACTTGATAACATTTGAGCAAGAATTCCTGAAGAGTTGTGCTCATGCTTCCTATAAGAAAAAAGACAAGAAAAAAATGATGAAGTATGTTAAGAAATTTAGCTCTCTTGATTCAATGAGGACCTTCTTATGGAATCAAGGGTGTTATGAGGAGGGAATTGACATAGAGATAGAAATGGGCGATATTCAAGAGGGTCTAAGAATCGCAAGAAAAGTAGGATTATTTTTACGTGAGGCAGATTTATTAGAAAAGGCTCAGAATTATGAGGATGCTTCTAGGCTCTATATTTGGTACGTGTTTGGTAAATGTTGTTGGGCATCTGGTGGAAAAAATTGGCTCGAAAGAGATCTTTTGTTGAAAGAGGAATTGTTGTCCAGAGCTGAAGCTTCTGCTCTCAATGCTTCAGCTGATTTTCACAAACAAATTCATACAGAAGTTCTGCTTTTGTCAACTCAAAGTACTGGGTTGTCTGAACTGGAGAAGCAGTTAGAAGTCTCCCAAAAAAGCGGGAATTTGAAATGGGAGGTCATATGTACTAGAAAAATTCTTGAAATCCTTCTTCAGACTCAGACTTCACCATTTAAATGGGAATCTGACTCGCGAGAAATGATCTCAGGTGGCCAGGTCTCAGTTGAAAAACTGATATACTTTTGGTCATCCTGGAAAGAGAAGATTTTGACAACCTTGGAACACCTAAAGAGTTTACCAGCACATGATAATCACTGGGACTTCTGTCTACATTATTTTGGCGTGCGAAAGCATCCAAACACTGGTTACTTTATGCTCTATCCTGATGCTGAATGGGTGTCGAAATATCCGAAAAAGAATAATCAAAGACTTGGCACAGAACATTTGGTGACTTCTATTCGACATTACTGGTTCAGAGTTACTCTCAGTTGGCTGTAATATGCTGGAGTATCTGAATATCTTTCAGAAGTTTTCTGCTGATTCGATGCCTATGATTTGCAAAAGTAGGATTGTTGATCATATTTTTGAATGTACCCTTTTTTTGATGGAGTCGGATTATTTAAGGCAATGGGGTCAAGTGTCAACTGCTCGAATGTATTATGCGACAAAATGGTATGCTGCTGCTGTGTTTACCACTGAATGGTACAACCTTATCCTACATGATCAAGTAAAGAACCGAAGCTCCATCATCACACGAAAACTGAGGGCAAAACTAGATCATTATTTGCCTAATATGTGAAAGATTTGAATTCCAATCTTTGTTGAGTAATGTCAGCTAATTGCATTGTTTGCTTGAGTTGCTAAATTATGTTTGCTAGCCTGGTGTCAAGTAAATATCTGAAATAGCAGACATTAATCTAGCTGAAGTTATTGATAACACTTTCATCTTGTCTTATATCTTTTAACTCAGGGAAGTGGATTACCATTTGTTAGGATTAGTGTGGAGATAGATAAATACATGGAGACATAAGGAGATTGCATAGAAGCTGCCTTATTGTTAAGGTTCGACCAAACTTGTGAAAAGTTCGGTCGAACCCGGTTTTAAGTCAGTAGGTGCACCAGTTTTCATTTCTAGAGGAGGAGTGACCAAACCCAAGGAGGTTCGACCGAACCACCCCAGGTTCGACCGAACTCTGGGTAGGTTCGGCCGAACCTCCCTGCTCCCTATTTCGTCGCTTCGTTTTCGGCTTGTGCGATTTGCTTTAATCTTAGCCGTTGGATTGTATTTTCTACCTAGACTATATATACCTTTTCTAAGCCTCTTTGTTGATTATTCACAAACATTTAAACACATAGAGAGGTTTTGAGAGGGTTTGTGAGGAGCATTTGAATTCTATACAATTCATGCTTGTAATTCTTGAGTTCATTCATCATCAATATTACTCCATAGTGCAAGGGTGGGTTTTTTCTCCCGGTTCTCGGGTTTTCCCACAGTAACATTGTCTTCCTTTTACTTGCTTTAATTCCTTCAAAGTTGTTCTTGATTGTTATGCTTGTTTGTTCATTGCTATTGTGGGTTGATTGCAAGTTAGTTGAACACTTTAATCCTTACACCATTAACTTCCATCTTATGTTAATATATAATACCCTTTACTGCATGAGTCCTATACTCTTTGTGCTACCCTGCCGACTGCCGTGCCCAACTTTGTCAAATACCTCTTTTTTACAATAGGAAGAGAAGCTCTAGTTTCCTTAGTTTTGCTCTATGTTGCCAACCTCATTCTCAAATCCATTACAAAAAATCAATGTGAAAAATAAACTTAAGTGCAAAAAAAAAAAAAAAAAAAAAGTGTTAAGAAAATTATTTTACACCCTTTCCGGTAAGATTGATTTAGCTTTTGATTTTTTATTACATTAATTTCTTATACGAAGTATTTCGTAACTTTTAAATTTTATGAAGAATTACTTCTTACACACCTAATTATTTGTGTGTTTAAGTTAGCGTGTATCACAATCCACACCCTTGACGTGTTCCTGTAATATAAAGAAAATGTTGATTTACTTACGAAAATGTCATATTGACTGATATGTTTCTATTTACAGAAATGTCACCAAATAAACAATTTTTGTTCATCACGATGATTAACTGGGGCTCCCTCTTATTTCCACCTATCTATTTACGGAATTCACTTGCATCGTCTAAATATTTTGTTGCACCCACTCTTATCTTCTTTTTTTTTTTGGCAATTTTATACAATAATTGAGATTAACAAAAAAAATATGGAGGTACTAGCATATTACACAATGTAAAACAACAATTACTCATACTGCATAAACAAAAAAAAAAAGAAAAAATCGCTCAATAATTACTCTCTTGGTCTCTTATTTGTTTTGCCTCAATTTTCTTTTTAGGCCGTCATTTTAATTTCGACCCATTTTATTTTTGAACATATAGGATTACACTTTTACTCTCACAATCACCCCTTTAACCCACTACTTTTCTCTCTCATCATTTTTTCCAATTAAAAGTTAATAAAGTAACATTTGTCTATGGGGTAAAAAATAAGAAACGAAGAAATACCTTGTAGTTTAAAGTTTAAACCAAGTTTACTAGCTGAGTATGAATTGGGTATTAGCGTAGTACACAATGACACATTGTAGAACAATACTACGGGGTGCACACAAAAAATAACTATGGAGTAGACGTTATAAATATAATCAATGGCGGCAAACATATGCAGTGTACCCCGTGCCACAACTGCTAAGCTGTAGTGACGTTTCATCTCTCTCCCCATCATTTCCATTATCATCAATAATCGCACTTGAAAATAAACCCATTTTTTGAAAATCCCACTTAAAAATAAATCAAAATGACTACCAAAATTCCTTCATTTTAACACCCACAACATAAATCATCATCATTCTTGAACTGGGTTTGTTTCATTCTTTGTAATTTCAACTTTTTCATGTCTGTTATTGATCATTTTCTTGAACAAAACTTGATTTTTTAGGCTATAAAATCTAATATTTACTTGAATTTGGTTCTTGATGATTTGACGCAGGGGAAGAAAGAGAATTATGGATTTGGAATCCGGAAAGATTGAAAAAATTGTAAGAGATCAAATGCTTTCTTCAAGAAAAGTTAGAAGTAAGAAATGTAAGCTACATAATCTTATAGGAAAAATATTTGGTCCATTTTCATTTATAAACATCTCTCAAGGAAGAGAAGAAGTTGATGATGATGGGCATAACACTAGAAATCTGGTTGAAGTGGCAGTTTTGATGAATATTGTGCAACGTTTGCACAAAGGTAAACCGCCCTTTTAAACGTATTAGGAGTGGATTGTTTCCTTTATGTGTGTATTTGACTGTTCTCTAAGTAGTGTAAATTGTGATTAGTTATTATTGATAGTGGGTTGCATACTTGCATGTCAAGTCTCAACCAACAAATGTTATGTGAATGTGTTTGATGAGTCCGAACCCTAACCGGGCTTCTCGATATTTAAGGACCGTGCAGCTTGGTTACGGGTAAGGGTGATTCGTGGTTTTGTTGTTGTTCACTCCGTTGTTCTGAGTTGGGTATTCTTGTTTGACATGGGTACGTGTCCAAGTGTGCTATTTTGTGAAAATTTTCTATGATTTTGGCTTTGGCCTAAACACATATATATTAATATATCCTATTTATGTTTAAGTGTTGAGAATCTAACATGGGCACTTGAGGTAAATGAAGAGTCCAAGTAACATAGGTTGTTGGCTATATCTGTTATTCCTTGTCAACTTTTTTGTACATAAGTTAGGTTTGGTATGGGTTGCTCAAATTCTTAATGTGGCTCTTACATCTGCTCAAAACATGTACATAGATGTTAAGATTAGAGATTGGTCTATTATAAAGCTTTTTTCCAATATGATGATTTCCATGATACCTGAAGTTTTTGCTGTTGTACACAGAATGGCAGTGCTACAGCCAAAAGATTTCTGTGTGTATAGTATCTCAAGGTGTAGCACAAGTTAAGGATATTGAGAGAAGAATTGGGAAAAGATATGAAAAGCTTTTAAACTTTGAGTTGAAGGTGAAATTAGTTGAAGGATTTCAGGAAGGTGGCGAAGCAGATATTGTTATAGTATCTACTGTAAGATCCAATTCTGCTGGATCTTCTGAGTTCCGCTTAGATCATGGAATGGCTGATGTTGCTTCGAGTAGGGCCAGGTATGACTTAGGATGATGTCTCTGGACTAATTATAGTTTCTGTTGGCTTTTTTTAATCAAGTAAACCTGCTCTTCCTCTTTTTAAACAATTGTAGGCATTGCCTCTGGATACTGGGGAACAAGGAAACCCTTGCTGAAGCAGATACTTTCTGGAAAGATATTATTTCTGATGCCAAACTGCACAGCTGTTACTTTAATGCTGAAGAAGACGAGAATTTAGCTAAAGTCATTGTAGATGTTAAAAGCAAGTTGGATGAACTTGAAGACTTGCTTGATAAGGATAATAATATTTTCAAAGCTTCAGGGTGGAAGGTATACCTTTGCTCTATCCTTCCAGAAATATGCATATTCTGTTGAATTTTGTGATAATATTGCAACATCAAACTGAGTTTTCACAATCCTTTAATTTGTAGGTTGTCTTCAGTGAGAATTTTGTCAAATCTTTTGCCAAGCTGCCCTCAATCTACTCTAAGAAGCTTGTGGTGAATTTTATTTTGAAGTTAGCTAATGGCTGGCGGCCAAAAAATAAGAACACTGATCTGGTCTGTGAAAGTGCTGTTAGAATTGTAAAACAATTTGAGGTTGAGGGTCGGTATATCATTTGCACAAATGATATAATCAGGTTACAAGGATATGCTACTCAAATCTTGAAGGTCTGGGATATCTTGCATTTGGAAGATGTACCAGCATTAGTCAGTAAACTTGACATAATATATGGAGCATTTACTGATGAATTCCTTGCATGCTGCAAAGAAAAATGTCTCCAGGGGTATATTCTCTTTATATAATTTGTATATCGTTCTATTTACAAGTTAAATTCAGTGAGCGATCAGTCTCCAAAGATGTACTGAAGTGCTTAGACGACACAACTGCACCATAAGAATTAATATGCTGCTGCATTGAGCTTAAAAGAAACTACCTTTGTTTATCTGTACCTTTGTATGTGCGTCTAGAAAATGTTGACAAAAGATGAAAAGAAGCACCAGATGTGGCTTTCCATCTTTTCCTAATGTTCTCTATGTTTGTTTATGTAGGAAGTTGGAACTCCCAAGAAACTTTACTTCATTTGATGTTGCACGGTTCAAAGTTGTTAATAACGCAAAATCAACAAGTTCTTTGGATGCTGATAGTGTTGGAACAAGCTTTTTTGAGAATGCAAAAGTCAAGGAGAGTTTGCTGCTTATGAAATTCTATCCATTTTCTGAGGGTGTCTTGAGTCACTTGATGTCTGCGTATGATGGGTTGCTTTTGAATGTCCCTTTGAGGTATCAGACCAAGAAAGAGAGGCAATTTTCAATGGCAAAAGCACCTTCATTTTAGGACGATCTGGCACAGGTAAAACAACAGTGTTGGTGATGAAGTTGTTTCAAAAGGAACAACAACATCACATAGTTTCAGAAGGAAATCTACATGACGCCTTGATGAGTGAGTTTTCAACCAATGCTCCTGGTAGAATGGGAGCGCCCCTTCGCCAACTTTTTGTGACCGTAAATCCAAAACTTTGTTTTGCCGTCAAACACCACATCAAAAATCTTAAGAGGTCTGTGAACCTTTTCATTATCTTTTTCCCCTGCAATATATAATATACTTCATATGCTAATGAGCTACCATGCTGGTGTATGTGCAAATGAGCTTACCTTGCTGGTGTACTCTAGTATGGACCGTATTGATAAAATGTTACAGCACTTATTAATTGCCTGTGGAGAAAATCTTCTATAAGAAAATGCACTTTTCATTCTCCTTTTTTAGAAAATCTTCTATAAGAAAATGCACTTTTCATTCTCGTTTTTTAAAAGTTGGCTTGTGTTCCTAGCATTATTGATTTATCTTATGGTTGTTACAGCTTTGTTAACGGAGAAAACTTTGGTGAGGGATGTGTCTTCAATGATGTGATTGAAATGGATGAATATGAGAAGTTCAAGGACATCCCAGAGTCTTTTCAAGATATTCCTTTAAATGCCTTTCCACTTGTGATAACATTTAATATGTTTTTGCTGATGCTTGATAGAAGCTTTGGTTTGTCATATTTTGATAGATTTACGGATATTAGGAAAATCTGTTATATGGAAACTGCAAGTTTCAGACTGGTTGTTCAGGCAGTAAGAAGGAAAGAGGTTACATTTGAGAAATTTAGATCATCTTATTGGCCTCATTTCAACTCCCAGCTCACAAGAAAGCTTGATCCTTTAAGAGTTTTCACCGAGATTAATTCCTGTATAAAAGGTAGGCTACATTATGGGGAGGGTGATAACAACAATCTGAGTTTGCAGAGTTATATGCAATTATCTAAGGCCCGAGTATCAAAATTCAGTGAGGATGAAAGAGAGGTAATATATAAGGTATTTGGGGACTATGAGAAAAAGAAGGTTGTACGAGGAGAATTTGATTTGGCTGATCTAGTGAATGATCTGCTTTGTCGTTTTAAGTGTGAAAATTATGAAGGTGAGCTCATGGATTTTGTTTATATTGATGAAGTCCAGGATCTAACCATGAAGCAACTTGCCCTCTTCAAGTACATATGCAGTAATGTGGAGGAAGGCTTTGTATTTGCAGGTGACACTGCGCAGACTATTGCTAGAGGCATTGATTTTAGATTTGAGGATATAAGAAAGCTTTTCTACGAGGAGTTTCTCAATAATATGGAAGTTGTTGGAGATGAGCAAAAGAAGATTAAAGGGCTAATATCTCCTACCTTTCAACTAAGCCAAAATTTTCGGACTCATGCTGGAGTTTTAAATTTAGCTCAGAGTGTTATTGACCTTATCTGGCATTTTTTTCCCAATTCTATTGATCCCCTTAAACCGGAAACTAGTCTCTTATGTGGGGAACTTCCAATACTACTGGATTGTGAAAATTGCGAAGATGCCCTCATAAAGATTTTTCAAGACAAAGCAAGTCAAGGTGACAACAGCAATAGCATTAGCTTTGGATCCGAACAGGTGATAATGGTCAGAGATGATCATGCGAGAGACAAAGTAGGCAAATTTGTTGGCAGACAGGCCCTTGTGCTGACAATCTTTGAGTGCAAAGGCTTGGAGTTTGAGGTAATATTAGTACATTCTATTTGGATGTGTAAGTTGCTCTAGCTATATTGATTTCTGTATATAAGCCTTCTTATTATCTGCTGCAATCAATGCTCTCCTCGTTTCAAGGTGTGTTTTTTTTTTTTTTTTTTTTTTTTTTTTTTTTTTTTTTAGGGGGTGGGTGGGGGGATTTGCCGATTTGGTCTTGAAATCGCAGCTTATGGCTTTATTGTCCCTTCTTGTTGCAATTTCCTTTGGGATTGCATTATTTAGTCAAACTGTTCTTGGAGTGTCGAATTTCCAGGATTGCCTACTGCAATACTTACTTTCTCGGCATTTAAGCGTGTTACTGAAAGCCATCATTATCCCTATAGCCATATTAAGTGTTTTCTCGTTCCAAAGTCTGATTATAACCCTCTTTAACTGCAAATAGAAATCGAGACCGTTCAAGTAACACTCTATTCTTGTTATTGCAGGATGTGCTGTTGTATAACTTCTTTGGATCCTCACCATTAAGAGAACAGTGGAGAATTATTTATGAATACGTGGAGGAAAAGCTCTGTGCTTTGAATTTAGAAACTTATCCAAGTTTTACAAATGCAAAGCGTGATGTTTTGTGTTATGAGCTAAAGCAATTGTATGTAGCCATTACTCGTACAAGACAAAGGCTTTGGCTATGTGAAGACAGCGATAGTTTTTGATCTCCTATGGCTGACTATTGGCGAAAGCTGAATCTCATTCAAGTTAAAAAGTTGGATGAGTCATTTGCACGATCTATGCAAGTTGCTAGTAGCTTAGAGGACTGGAGATGGCGGGGTAAAAAGGTTTGTCTTATTAATTCATGGTATTAAGGTTCTTGCTTTTCTATTTTTTAAATTTTCTTGTTGCAGATAAAGTACTCCTGTCTCATGTGTCTGCAATTTATTAGTCTGACCTCATATGCCCCATTTAGATTCCTCACTTCCTTTGATTGGGCCTTTTCCAATTACAGATGCTAGAGGTGCATAACTACAAGGCTGCTACGCAATGTTTTGAACGCGCTGGAGATTTTTACTGGCAAAAGTTTGCCAAAGCCTCTAGCTTTAAGGCAGCTGCTGACAACTTACGAGGTTTAAGCATGGAAAAGTCTTTGGAAATGCTCAGAGAAGCTGCTGAGCTATTTGAAAGCATAAGAAACATCAAGAAAGCAGTCGAATGTTACATAGATGCTGAAGACTATGAAAAAGCAGGTAGTGTTTATAGCTATCCCCCAGCCAAGCCTCAGGGAGTGCTAGAGAGAAATTTATATTTGGCATGAATTTGATACTGATACCCTATGGAAATATATATACCTTTAGTAAATACTCTGTACATGATCTTGATTTACGTGGTAAAAATTACATCCTTCAAGAGATGATGGTCCAAGTATAGAAGCGCAGTTGAAGAGTTGGTGTTCATTGTATTTTAGATTGACTAATAGGATAGACAGCCTGATAGAAGTAATACTAGTTGGCTATCTTGCACCATATGCTGAAAAAATTATGTATCTGACAGTCAAGTCTATTGTTTATGCCTGTTTGGTATCTGATTACTTACTAATGTGTATGCTTTGCAGGTAAGTTATGTCTTGAAGAATCAGATCTGCAAAGAGCAGGTGAATGTTTCACCCTGGCAAGATGCTATAAACTTGCTGCTGAGGTGTATGATGAGGGACTTTATTTCAATGAATGCTTGTATACTTGCTCGGAGGGTAAGTTGTATGACTTGGGTTTGTGTTACATACGAAGTTGGAAACAAAAGTATCATGGTAAGCCTACAAAACAAAGGATCGACTTCAATGCAAGTGAACAAAAGTTTCTTCGCAAATGTGCACTTGCATGTTTTGAGCAGCAAGACCAGCAAACTATGATGAAATATGTTAGAGATTTTAGCTCTCCGGAATCAAAGCGAAATTTTTTGAAGAAGTTGAGCTGCTTTGATGAACTTTTTGAGTTGGAGTTATAATATAAGAATTATCTAGAAGCTGCAAAATGTGCTAGACAAATGGGTGATATTTTACTGGAGGCGGATATGTCAGGAAAAGCTGGTGATTATGAAGAAGCATCTAGGCTCTATCTTGCCTTTGCGTTTGCTGGCAGTCTTTGGGCAGATGGTAGCAAGGGATGGCCTCTAGAAGAGTTTCAATCAAAAAAGCATCTTTTGTCAAAAGCCACAGCTCATGCTCGTAACTGTCCACGCCATTTCAATGAGGTGTGTGAAAATATCAAGCTCATATCAAGTGATGAAGTCGACTTACATGAGTTGCAAAAGCAGTTGGCATTGTCACGACAGCATAAAAATTTAAGGGGAGAAATCTTGTCTACTCGTAGAATTCTGGACAGGCTTCTTGCAACTGATGTTTCAATGCATGAATCAAGACGAAATAGAATTAAAAATCCATTGAATTGGATATCTGTGACAGAATTGATTCATCACTGGAACGTGTGGAAACAGAAGATTGAGACAATATTCAAGTACCTTGACTCTTTGACAGAACAAGGAACTAGTGGTTTTCAAGAATATGAAAATTTCTGCTTGGAATATCTTGGTGTGAGAAAACGGTCCATCTGCCCAGATGCTGATTATTTTCTTCTCTATCCAGATGTTGAATGGGTGAAATATGTGCCCAGAAGATCTGAAGTTAAGATGGAAAGTATTGATGCTAACCAACTGGTGTACGCTGCAAAAAGGCATTGGTGTGCCGAGATATTCTCTGTTGGCTTGAAATATTTGGAGCTTATTGAATCTTTCCGAATTGTAGCTGTTGAAAATTCCATGCCAATGTACCGTATAAGCCAGACTCTGATTCATATTTTTGAAGCTGCACAGCTTCTTATCATACAGTCCAGATATCTGACGCAGGCAAATGATGTTTTACCTTCTCTGATGAACTACATTGATCACTCAGCAGAAGAATACTTTCTCCATTTCTTTTCTCTAGATTTGGGAAACAAGAGATTTATGGGGTCTAAAGACCTTGCGATGCAAAGCAACACTTCAAGAAACCTGCTGAAAAAAGCCATACTGAAGAAGTTCATGGTTGAGGTAGATGAAGCTTTGCCAACACTTTCACAAGTCAGTCAGGTGGCAGTAATATTATTTGGATCGAATTGGAAAAATAATGAAAAATATGAGGGAGTTACAAGCAAGATCAAGACTAGTTCTCCTTGGAATTCATTGATTAAGAATCTTGTGACTGGCACAGGGCCACAAACATCAGATGACTATTTGCAACTTGCTCGGAATCTTTGTGATGCTTTAATGGAAGCATACGACTCAAAATCAAATATGTCGCCTTCTTGTTTTGTATATCTTCTTGAACGCCTGTTAGTGCTTTTGATGGATGCTTATTTGTAACAAGGTCGTCTGTTACTGAATGGCTTGTGCACCTGAACTGGAATGTAAGCAAAGAACCGTTCACACTCAGTGTTGCTGAACTGTCATCTTCTGTGGAACCCATCTTTGACTTCCTGGCTTGCACAATACACGAGCTTCTCTTGAACAAGCAGGGCATCGAGGAATGGATTGAGAAAGCTGGGTTTAACGTGAAGAAAATTTTCCCAAGGCTGATACCGAAATTGCTGGTTCTGATGTGCTTAATCTGCCTCAACTCAGGAAAGTATTTGGTGCTGCTGAATGATGTGATTAACAGGTCAGATGCCATATCATTCTTGCCAAAGTCTTTTAAAGAAGTCTTTTTCCAGAGAGAGGGTTGCAGCTTTCGCAATGTGATCGCTGAAGCTTTGAAGACAATCGATGATCCCCTAGTCATTATAAGAAATCCAGACGTCTGTCCATATGTGTATGCTAGGCATACTATATTCCTGGATGTTTTCAACCAGAACATGAATAGTATCTTAAAAAGGTTGTTCCCATCACTTCAAAAGAGTAGTTTTGCTCATAGGTGAGGATTCGTCATTTGATGAATGATACTGGATGTTAGTTTTGTAACCTGATTTAGCTTGTGCTATACTTTCACTTTTGTTGTACATATATTAAGTTAGTGCTTCGATGTGAAAATTTGTAATGTGCTGATATCCTCATTGGAATTGGTCCTTTTTTGTGACAAAACAATGGACTAAATGCATTATTAGTAGTTCTAGTGGTGTTTCTTCTACTTGTTATCTCAAGATAAATATAGGTTAAAGACAATATGACATATGACTGATATGAGTGATAAATATACAATGTTTTTCAAGTGGCCAAGTATAAAGTATTTGTATGTTTAAGTTATTGTGTATCACAACTCACACCCTTGTATCGTTCACCTGCATCATACACCCACTCTTTTTTTTTTTTTTTTGGCAATTTTATAAATAATACTTGTATACAATAATTGAGAATAACAAAAAACGTATGGAGATAGCTTATCTGCCATTATTTTGCGAAAGGCCCATGTAAATTTAAAGAATACCCTTGGCTGCACCTAATAATATGTACACACATATGCATATCGGTTGATTAATGCAAATTATTACTCACGTTGACTTTGACTTATTATTCTAGCCAATTATGACCAAGCTTTAGTAAATAAAGGGCATCTATTAAATTTACTAAAGAGTGACGTAGATAAAGGGCATTATTAGTACTATTATTTACCAAGCTTTAGTAAATAAAGGGCATCTACATTATTAGTACTATTATTTATCGTGGTTTTTGGGTTAGAATAACATGTACACACATTTACTCACGTAGACTTTGACTTAGACTTATTATTCTAACTCACCACGATAAATAATAGTACTAACAATGTACCATTTCTTGACTAAAATCTCAATAAGTATACCCAAGTTAGGGGCACAATTAAGCATCACAAACACGACTAACAATTATGAAAAAGCTTGTTAATGGCACACCAAGCTCCTACTACTATACTTTTATAGTAGTGCTCCTCACAATTTCCACCAAATTCTTGCACACAACCAATGCCCAAGCTTGCAACCCAGGCCAGCCCCTGATCGGAACCGGTGGCGGCCAATGTAACCCCAATACAGCCAACTGTTGCGAAGCTGGGCAGTCATACACTACTTATGACTGTTCGCCCCCGGTTACTGCCCAAACCCAAGCTGTGCTGACTCTAAACAACTTTGATGAGGGTGGGGATGGGGGTGGGCCCTCAAAGTGCGACGGCAGCTACCATTCTGGCAATACCCTTGTGGTGGCGCTGTCAACTGGATGGTACAACGGGGGGTCCCGCTGCTCCAAGGAGATCATCATTCATGGCAATGGGCGGACGACAAGGGCGAAGGTCGTGGATGAGTGTGACTCCAGAAATGGGTGTGATGAAGAACATGGGTACCAAGTGCCTTGTGAGAGCAATGTTGTTGATGCGTCTAAGGCTGTTTGGAGCGCCCTTGGAGTGCCAGAGGACTCAGAACAGTATGGTCAGATGCAAATTACCTGGTCTCTGAGTGACTAGTTGAGTTTTTTTAAATGTTCTCATGTAATGCTGTGCATGTTGTTTCAATTATGTTAAATAACAATTAGTACAACTAGTAGCGTACTATTCATGTACGGTTAACGTATGCGTAAGAGGTTCAACTAAGCTAAAATTTATTGCTACCATTATAAACAAGTATTATATATGGAAGTAAATATATATTATGTATTGTAATCCTGTATGAACTGATGCCTGAATTAAGATCTGCACTGTATAAGTAGAGTATGTTGGTCAATTAGATGAGTAATTATATTCTTACTGTAACAAGACTAAAAACAACCAGACAATCACTAGTTACCACCAGGGTGGTAAGGTTTGGAGATGCACATAATGAACCTTACCACCACTCGATACAAACCACTCCAGACTCAAGAAACTCTGCTAGATATTTGAGCATTTGACGATTGGCTCCGCTCGATTTCCAAAAATCAGATACGAGCATTTCTCGTTTACACTAGTGACATAAACTACAACGTCAAAGCATCAAACATATACTCCGTACTATGTATCAGAATATTCATTATCCAAGGCAGGTACTTGGCAGATGAAAGAAAATTTTGTTAAGCAAACCTAACATATACGAAGTATTCAGTGCCTGGTTTCAAAAAAACAAAAAAAAAGTATTCAGTGCCTAGTAAGAATGACATAAACATGATTTCCATGTCAAAATAAGGGAGTATCAAGCCTAAAATGAGCCCTACTCCTTTCTTTGGGTTGAGCTGCTGATATACAATAGTTAGATTAGACATTAATTAGTGTATCTTCAAAAGAGAGAAGATATTTACAGAGGTAATTATCCCTTTCATCCACGCATCAGATCAATGTCCATATGAGAATTTCTCAAGTCCAGCGTTTGTGGACTAGCCCATGCACCCATCGCAGAGGTTGGAGACGATAAATTTTGGCTCTGTCGACCACTTGGAGGAGCCATCATCGTGTTGTCAACAGAATAATGCTCCGAATCTTCACCACCTTCATTTCCTTCTTTGATCTTTGGATTTGTCTTCGGAGATGTCCATAAAAAGCTCCCAACTATTACCTAAATTTTCCAACTTAGAATTACTGCTGTGTTTCCGTTTTCTAAGTAGAGCTTTATATTTTAATTGAATGAAACAGACATCACTTCTTTTTATTCCAGCTACTCTAGATTCTTCATGCATCAAAGCATATTCTATATCTAAGGCAACAGAGATCGTAAGCTTACCTGAACAGGGCAGGCTGCAATAAGCATTCCGCCAATGGCTCCACCAATGACACGGCCATCAGGGCTTGCAAGTGAAATGCTCACACCACCACTTCGATCACGAGAACCATCATTACCAAGAAGCAAGAAAGATCCTGACATGCATAATATGTCAAAGCGCCCCTACACAAACCAATTTTCAGCACTAAGAGATTTGAAAAACAGTTTAAAGCTTTAGGTGAGGTCAAAGCAGTCTAATGTAAAAAACAATATTAACTAAATGGGTTGTCAGCTAAATTTGCAAGCACATGATTATGGCTATGTTAGCTAAAAACAATAGATTATTGGAACTTTGGAAGAGCAGTAACAAATCTAATGATGCCAAGGTTCCTTGGTGAGAAGATCCATTAATTGGATCTTAATGCAAACAGGGTGGTTATGGCTATGTTTTTTCACCTAAATTCTTCCAAAACAAATTTATTCTCCCTTATCTAAAGTTTTAAGGGCTTCAGGATATGCACAAAGGTTTTAAGAACAATGAGTCTGAAACAATGCAAAATATAGCAACTAATCAAGTGGTAAAAACCTCATATGTGACGGTACCACCAGAAGTTGAGGGCTGTCGTAGGGTCACTGTGGAGACAGCACCATTTGCTGACAATATACATACAGCTCTAGGCCCTTGTTGTGCAAATGCCAAGAGTTTTGATGCAATGTCCTGGGCAATGTTGAAACATACGTCAGACAGCAAGCATATTATGTTTATTTTATCGAAGCTGCAAATTTCTTCATAACATTAATTTACTTGGGTCAACATAAGTTAAAAATTTATAGCAAGTACAAACTTTGTAAACATGCATAACAGAGCCAGACAGTAAACTTCTGGTACAAAAATAATCAATCTATTTCTCAAAGCCAAGTACAAAAATAGGATTATTGTATAATAGAGACAGATAGCATACTTCCCCTGCTGCAACTTTAATAACATGAGGAGTAAAGCCCACACCAGCTGAGCCAGACACAAGTTTGCCTGGTAAGAAAATGAAACATAGACAAATATCAATACGACAAACTAGTTCCATGGACAAGCCAGTGTTATGCTTGTTACAGATTAGCAGATTTTGCCAAATTACCAACTTATACTAGCCAATACTCCGTATCTCAAATTGGAACATCACAACTGATTCGTGATTTTGAAAGTGAATAAGCTTCAAAAGCAGATATGCAACAAGACAAACCAAGGTACAAGACTTGGAACCAAGATCACTGGTGACATTGATATCACAGATACAATTGACATTACTGGAAACCATCAAGCACAGGTTATCATAGTTTAGCACTCATCTCTCCAAGCACATTGAGTCTTAAGAGGTGACTCATAGTCATGAACTACACTAGTTAAGGCGTATAAACCCACCCTCAAACTACCATATGTTTAAAACACATCATTTCAATTACTAGGCGAGTTCAGGCATTCTAGTGCATCAAGTGGCGAAACAATAAACCATAAATCTATTATGGTCATCAATAGGGCCATCTATGAACAAATTGCTAAAAGCTAAGCAGAAGCAAAACATGTCATTGCCATTCCCTGAGAAAGTCAAAAATCTTACCAAAGGGAGCCAATGGTTGCTTTCTTCCGCTACCAGGAGGCCGGCCTCTACCTCTCTTCTCAGTTGAGGTGTTCATAATCCTAGGGGCAGCTGATACAGAGGAGAGGTCTGATGACATTTTCCCTTCAATTCCATATTTCCGAGGCCTTCCTCTTTTCCTTCGCATTGGTGTAGCAGAAGCCTGCATTGATGATGGTGCACCTATACCACGGCCATCTGATAGAACAGTTGAAGAGGGTTCCACCCTCATACTCGGTCCTGAAGAGCCCCCGACATTTGATTGGAAAGGCATCCCGGAATTAGGCAATGAATGGACACCTTGCGGCCCATGTAACCCGGCCAATCCTCTCTGCATATAAAAGCCACCAGGTCCTGACATTGGCATAGGTTCCCTCTCCATGCATTTAGTTCACAGAATCACAGCAATTCAAAGATACTTGCACAACCCCAATTGAGAACACCCTTAGCTTCCAATCAACTTCACAAATTATATACCTTCAACCCAATTAGTCTCCTCACCTCTTTGATCTAAGAAGGCTTGGAAACTATGAAGCAACCTTTATAGCAAAACTGATTGAATCTTCAGTTCAGACACATAAATACACTACAATGTGCTTAATTTCCCTAGTCAACAGCTACTCTTGTTTCCAAGGCACAAGAAATTTTCAGGAGTTCAAGCAATTTAAAAGCTGCAGCAAAGAAAGTTCAAAAACTTGTGAGTTGAGTGATGAAAACTCTAACAAAACTAAATAATAAAAATTGAATTAGGTAACAATTAAATTCAGATTTGTGACATGCTATTGTTACATGGGACAACATTTGGATCTAGGTTATTATTGTGCAAATTATGCTACTAGTTTTCTAAACTTTTCAAGTTCCAGGCTTTTTTTAAAGAGTGTGTTAACAATTGTAGTTGGGTCAGGTTCGTGTCACCAAGTTACACAATGAGCACAGGAAATACACTTACAAGGAAACCAACCAAAATTGCAGCACAAACAAAAACTTCATACTAGGTAACAGCGCATCAATTTATTTACTAATTAAAACAGACATGCAATGCCATAAAATAATAATAAAAGCAACCAAACAAAATTCCAAAAGTACCTTACACTAACTAACTAAGAGAAAACATAAATAATCAAAATTACAAAAGTTTACAGAACATACCTATAATTAGCCAACCAAATCTTGTACTACTCCATTAACAAAAAAAAAAAAAAAAAAAAAAAAAAAAAAAAAAAAAAACCATTTAGAAGAATATAACAAAAATTGTTAAAAGGGGTTAAAATTGAAGAAATACAAGAAAAATTCTGGGTTTTTAGAGTTGCAAATGATCAAGCGCCGCCATTAATGAAAGATGAGTTTTTTTAAGTGGGTAGAATGTAGGTGGTTTTGATTAAAGGAAGATTTTATCATCAATCTTAATTATAATAATGATAAAAAGTGAGGAAAAAAGGATGGATTTTAGCAAGATTATGTGATTCTGTGAGGTTGAAGATGACACTTCATTTCCACTACGGCGGGATTATGAATGAATGAATGAAAGAGAGAGAAAATTGGAGTGTAGTGTAATGTAGTCTATCCAAAACTACAAACAGTGTTAATTTTTTCTTTTTGGGGTAACAGAAAATGAAAGGAAAGAAAATGGGATTTTTTTTTTTTTTATTATTTAAATTTTATTTAATTTTCTTGTGGATAAACTAGCTCTTCTTTTGTGAGTTTTATCTCATCATCAATCATCATCCACTTCTTTCTTTCTTCCTTTTTAGAACCTTACCTCGTGCTCCCACCACAATCCCCATCTCAAACAATTATCAACCCGTGCTTGTAGATCATATGTTTCCTCTGTGGTCTTTAGTCTCTACTAGAGTCGTCAAATCGGATGTTCGAGTTAAATTAAAGAAGAAAATGGGTCTAGTGTGAGCTGGCTCAAGGCATTATACGACCCATCTAAAATAAAGTATAATATGAATATAGATATGGGTAGGCACCGCACGATATGACTTAAAATGTCATTGCAAGAGTTAGGTTATGGATCGTGCTTAGGCTACATTTAAGTTAAAAAAGCACATAAGCTTGACATGACGCGCATTTGGACACAATATGTAACAGGCACAGCTAACACCATCACCCCAATATGCACAGGCGCAGCCTAAAGCTATATATAGGTAAGATTTCGGTGATTTTGAGTCATATTTGTTGGTTACTTGAGTTGGCCAATGTTACACCTTTTGTCTCAAAGATTGGCATTGTCTTACACTAATGTACACAATAAAAGGTTGTAATGAACAAAAACACTACTCCATCATGTCGTTTCAATTCTTTCAAACATTATAATTTATCTTTTAATAACAATTTAAGACATTTTGGTTTAACTATCATCTCTCTTTACAGTATGTCATTATGTAAATGTAAAATAAAAATACTGAATCATCCTCTTTCTTTATATCTCACTTCACAATCCACTTCGAAAATTTTTGGTTCACTCTATTTAAATTTCTGGAGCTGTTGGCGTACAAACGGCCAATAATTTCTTTCCTTTTCAGAAAAATTGAAGTGTGAATCCTGAAAACTAAGAAATATCACACATTTGGCCAAGAAAATCCCCTTCAAACATTAATAATTCATAGCTAAATTACTCTGTATTGCATAGTATTAGAAATGCAAAAGGAAATGTAATCATATGTCTGGATATAATTGACAACCCTGAAGAACATTGAGGGTACATGAAAACGAGTTCTTCTAACTAAGCAGAACGATCTAGAAAACTTCGCATAAAATTCTCTATCGAAAGACCATGACTATTAACAGCAGCGAAAAGTAAGATGAATACATCCAGCCTACAGAAAACAAAACAATCGGTGCAGTCACATCGAATCTTTATAATGGATAATTGAATCCCAAAAAAAAAAAAAAGCAAATGATCACCCAGAGCCTATAGGGGAGAAATCCGTGGGTGCCCCTGCTGAAACAAGATTAACAACCTGCATAAAAGAGATGGAAGGTATTCAGAGGGATACTGACCATAATCCATTGTGTGCTAAAGATTGTGACAAACATCGAATGCAAAATATAATGAAAGTAATTAACTACATGAACTAGAAATTATAACATAACCCAGCTTGGCTGATATAGTTATTCAACAAATTGAACTATTGCGAGGAGACAGCCGATAAGTAGCAAAATTAACAAGCTCAATGGCTTCTTCAGTACAAGGTCATAGATTTCCCAAATCCCAACTAGAAATTACTTACTTCTTAAACAGTTACTTTACAAGAAATGCTCCATGCAGATATCTCTGATAATATAGGATAATTTCCCCCAACTAGAAACCTTTATTTAAGATATTCTCATAATTAACATGGAAAACCCTCTAAATCTCTGCAGTTTGCATAACCCAATTAATCTTTGTCTTTGGCAAATAAGTGGGAAACAGGATTACAGCCTACGGGCCATAAAAAGCCAAATCCTATGATACAATTACCAATTCAAATGACCAAGGTAAGTTACTTCTTTATTTATATACATGCACTCCTTGACCGGATTTACTCCTAAAAAATCAAAAGAATATTCCTCAATATCCAAGTTAACCTCGTTTTTTCAAAAACTGAGACAAGCAAAGATGCAGAACAGATAGTTACCCAATGCTTGAAGGCTACCATTTCTAATATGACCTACATTAACCAAGCATTGTAGACTTGTAGACAATGGAACCGGCCAAAAAGGTGGAGCTACCATCTCTCGCGCCTGATTATTTATTTCTAAGGATCAAGCACATAAACTTGCATATATAGCAAATTCTCGATTGTAGGAAGCCTACCACGCAAAATTGCATTCCCTGGAAATTTCTCTTCCTAAACTTCAATCTCGCAAGCATGATTATGTATCTTAAAAACTGTCCGCTAGCAACCAACTCAATTCAATGGGGCAACTCACTTTTGATATAAGCAGCCCGAGACTCATTAGATAGTTCCATACTTCCATTGCCACAATAGTATCTATAATAATAAAAATGCTAACTTCAACACAAGAACAATAAGACCTACAATAAGTAGAACACCTTTTTAAACCACGAAGGAAGTATTGAATTATTGATTACAACATTGGCATCAGATAGAACAACCAGATAAACGGAGTAAATTGCATTGAATTTAAGTTTTGATGCAACCACATTAAACCATATGAAAATTCATCTAAGCATAAGAAAGTCAGTTCATTGCAAATAAAATCATATTGGCATTGCTAAGATAATATATTAAACCTTAATCATCAAGCTCCATAGCTTGTTGAGCTTTAGCTTTCGCCGACGCCGACAATTTGGTCTTCAATTTCTTCTTCACTGAGAATTTACTCGTTTTCTTTTTCTTCTTATCACTCCCATCAACCTACACATGACAAATTACAAATCTAATTGACAAATTACAACATTGACCCAAAACACTTAAACATCCAATTTTCATTGACATGATATTCAATCAAATTCCAAAATCAATGGAGTACTAATTACCTTCATTTTGTTCTTATTAGCATGAAGCTTCTTCGCCTTTTTCTCTTTCTCCTGTTTTTCTCCTGATAATACAGCAACAATTTGGGAAATTTCAATTAGCAAAATCCTAATTAAATTGACAATAAAATCAAATTAGAAAGGATGAGAAAGATGAAAGATTACTTCGCATATCGAAATCGTGCTGTCTCTTGCGAGTAGCAAGATTGTTTTTCTTCGACATCTTTGGCAAAGAATTTTCGGCTTCAAATTATGAAATTATATTACCGAACTTCTGCTATTTCACAGTTAACTGACAAAAGAACCCTAAATCCCCAATTTCTGGTATAATTGATTAGGTGCCTTCAGGCCTAACATCTCCTATTGGATTTTGACCACCCAATCATCGGGTAGCCAGGCCCAGTCAACACTCCTTATACCACTATTAAGTGAATTAACCATTAAATGGCCCAACCAAAATTTTCCTTTCGATCTGTCTAGACCACTTAAGTTAAGATTCGTTTGGTATCTCGATCAATTTTTAATTTTTGTTTTTTAATTAATACTTGTAGACTGGTAGTATACTGTGTTTACATTGAACAAAAACGGCAAAAAATAGAAATTAATGACTTGTTCATTTATAAAAGTATACTTGTACCCTCAAACATTAATCGATTCTATTTTTGTTAGAATCGACCTAATTTCAAAAATGCAGAGTATACCGGATAATGTACCTGTGTTAATGCTATGTTTACGGTGGAGATTGAGATTTCGAAAATAATTTAACATAGATTTTTTTTTTCCCCAATTATGGAGAATTCTCATCAGACATCAACTTTCACGATATTTTTTAGTTTTAGCATCTGCATGTCAGGTTATAAGGTAAGGGAATCTTTGTTTTTAAGAGCGTGAACATAAGGGAGGATACATCATACTTGTATCCTTTTCTAATTTATCTCCCATTACGTCCATTTAATACATTGCATTTTCTTTCTTCCACATCACTTTTCACTATCTCTATCCTTTGCCTCATTCTCTTTCTTTAATTTTTCTATCAATAAGGATATTTTTTATTTTTTCTCTCCTATTTACATATACCCCCACCATATATCATTTCTTCTATTAATATAATAAATTACTCATTAAAAAAAATATAAAAATAATCAATATTTTGGCTGGGGTTGAGGATTTGTTTCCTATTTAGGAAGAGAAATCCTTCAAGCTATTTGAGCATCAATAGGAATCCTTTAAGCAACCCAAACATCTAGCTAAAAGGATATATATCATTATTGATGTTCATGTTCTAAGTACTCTTACTAAGTAAGATTTGAATCCTAAATCAAGCAACATATTACTAGAGCAACATTTTTACACATTTTTACACAGTCATACGTAAAATATATAAAGATGGTCGTGTGTAGTGTAGTGTCATGTCAAGTTGTGCCTCGTGTTGAACTAACGTGTCACAAGTGTTCATAGGTCTAGTCCACATACAAGCTAACTACTAATGTCTCATGTAGTGCCAAAAATTTTAAATTGTGACTTAGGTAAGCAATTCTCAAGCTTGATTGTATCGTGCATAACCGCATAAGTCAATTCTCACTTATTTTTAGTATGGTTTTTTTTTTTTTTTTTTTTTTTTACTTTTTACTTTTTTATGTCATATCTTGTCATGCATTTAAAAAAAAAAAACTAATCTCAAATTTAACATCCACATTAACATGCCTACGGTATGTCATTTTTTAATTTTTTTTTCTTCATGGACCAAGCTAACTAGTGACCACATACGAGTGTTGAATCATCAATGCCATTTGCTTTGCTATAAGAGTACTAGCACTAGGTTGCATGAATAAGATCTTCTTTCACAACTCTGAAGTTCCCTATTTGCCTTTTACCTAGAGAAAAGTTAATTATTACAAAATGCAAAAGTAGCCTTAAAAAAGGCCATTAACCTTCAAAGAGAATAATGATTCGAATCTCAAGTATGAGTACAACCCACGTGCAACTCCCATAAAGTTCTTCTCTTTTTTTCATTTCATCTTATTAATTTCTTCTCCCAATTCAGAAAAATTGACCAAAATCTCAATTATTATCTGGCGCCGTTCTGTAAAATCAACGCCTAAAATTATTACAGCCACTCTCCTACTACTAGTCTTCATCTACTGTTTTTTTTGCTTCAATTGTTAAACATAAACACCCATTTTATCCTCTTAATAATGGAGTCACTTTAGTATACTCTAAATTACTCAAAAAATTTTGGATTGATTGATTGACTGACCCCCCCTTTTATTTTCTTCTTCAAATTCCATGAATTTGGACAATACTTCCAATTCTTTTGTCAAAATTCCCTGATTTCATGTTTTGAACCCTTTGATTTTCCTTAGATTTTGTTATTTGGGTGTATCTTCAATGCCCCACTTATTAATTTGATGACCCAGTTGCTTGATCTGATCCAATTTGGTTTATTTAAGTTGATTTATTAAGTGGGGTTTGTTTGATTTTCGAGGTACCCAATTTTTTTATTTTTTTTTTGGATTGAATTTTGTTTAAAATTGATCAGATTTTTCTGGGTTTGAGATATTTGGATCTGGGTGTGCTGATTTGTTGATAAATTTCCATGCTTTTTAGGGTTTTGGAAGTGTGAGAATCTAATCTATTGACTGAATTGAGGAGTAAGAAGCTGTCCAAGCTGATTGTGTGTGTAAAAGGTCAGCAATTCCTCAACTTTATAGAAAAATATTCTGTTTGTTTGTAATTTGGATTTTACTAGAAAATGGTTGTTAGGTTGCTAGATTTACTGCTTACTTTGTTTGATCTATGTAATTTTTACTCGTTTAGGTTATATGATATTGTTGCTTTAATCGATTTAGTGACAGTTGAAAAGCTATTTTGATGGGACAAACTATAAAGAGAGAAAAATAGAAAGAAAGATTTTATCATGCATTAGTAAACTTTTTTATTTTATGAGTCATCTTTATTAGGAGCCTTTAGGCTTTAGGTGAAAATTTAACTAGGATACTGTTTTGATAATAATTCTAAATCGCCCCTTTATGTTAGAATAATTATCTTTTTAATGCATGATGCTAGAAAAGTATATTTGTTGCTTGTGCTTCAGGTAACTGTGTAGAGAAATGGGATCTCAAGGGTCTAAACTTGGAACGTGTTGCTTAGGTTCACCTAATAAGACAGCAGTGCTTGAGGCTCCTGATGCTGGTAGGTCAAGCAGTTTCTCAACATTTTAAGCATAGTCATTTTCTTGAGTGTGTGTTTGTTTTGGGAGAATTTCGGTGCTGATTGGTGATCATGTTTTGTAACAGGTAATGAGGATGATAATGGGCTTGGGTTACTTGCATTCCGCGAGTTCACATATGAACAACTTAAAAATGCCACATCAGGTTTTGCAGTTGAGAACATTGTGTCTGAGCATGGTGAAAAGGCCCCAAATGTGGTGTATAAAGGGAAACTAGAGAACCAGACAAGAATTGTTGTTAAGCGTTTTAATAGAAGTGCATGGCCTGATTCTCGCCAATTTTTGGTAAGGATGCTCTCTTATGGTCCTTCGAATCCATATCATCTACCATGCTTTACCCTTCATACGAGTAGTTCTTTGAGTTTTGTCATGCATTAGTAGGTGCTCATGTTTGACATTTTAATATAATGTACATAGTGAATTACCAGATGATTGTCATTCATCTGCTCTCGTTTTCTCTCTGATTATAAAGTTACTTCTTGAGAGAGAAGACTTACTGAATTTTTTATGGCTGCACTATGTTAGCTCAGAATTAAGTGCTTAGGTAATATATATTAGTATTTATTTCCTGGAAGCAAAAATCAGGTCCTAGAGCTTAATTAAGGAGTTCAATTTCAATCTGTTCAAAAGTCACATTTGAAATTGAACTCCTTAACCAAGGTCATATAAGCTATGTTGTCTTCCTAAAAAAATTAAAAATAATAATATAAGCTATGCTGTCTGGACTCAAGTATCACTGTTAGACATTGCCACACTGGTACTAATCCAAGTTTTTAATCTGCTATACTATGAAATATTTTCCATCGTGTTGTCCACTTGTCCAAAATGAAGTGTCAAATGTGCATACCCTAGTTGGAGTGTGGATCGTACGACATCATTTGTAGCATAATGAAGAGTTAAAGTTGATTGTTTGAATCAGATGCTCTGCTGTCAATTTGAATTATCTGTGCAATTGTCACTTAATATGGATATTCTTGTCTGTGCCCACCTTGTCTGCAATAAGCTTTTTAGTTTATGCAGAGTGTGATATTTACGTGGCAAAAGTTTCAGTGTGTAGTTTTTGTGTTAGTTTAGTTTAATTTCCTTTGTGTTAACTTTTTTTCCTCAGTCACCATTCTTATCGATCTCAAGTGTGATTTTCTTATACTATTAAATTTCTCATTTTGAGTTATTATATGTGACCATATGAATATATACTGGCACATGTTGAATATTATTACCCCTCACATGATAGTATCTTAACTTTCCTAGCTAGAATTGTTTTATAAGTATTTATTGCCTTGCTGAATCCGTGTTCCTGGTCCTTCTTTCTCATGTTCAGGAAGAAGCTCGGTCTGTTGGTCAGCTTCGTAACCAGAAGTTGGCAAATCTGCTTGGCTGTTGCTGTGAAAACGATGAAAGGCTACTTGTGGCTGAGTACATGCCCAACAGCACCCTTGCAAAACATCTTTTCCATTGTAAGTATGTGGTCTGTGTGGCTATGTTGCTTTAGTGAGCTTTGTGGGGTGCTTACATGTAGTTCTTGATAACAGTGTCTTGCAAATATGCAGTATTCTGGTTCAAGCTCATCGGGCCTGTACCTGTTGATGCCCCCCCCCCTCCTCTCTTTTCCATATCTTCTTATAGAGATGATTTAGCAGCTTCATAAATGTTTTTGCTAATCACGTGCTTGTTAATTTATTAGAGCTAATGGATATTTTTTTTTTCTGATATGAAGGCTGTGCTATGTTGAAAGTCTTAAAACTGCTTCTCACCTTACATTTTAAACCTGAATTAGGTTTAAATCCCTTGTCTCCACAATTAAGGCTATATAAAGACCCATTGTATGCAATGCCACCTTCAAGACTCTTTTCTTCCCTAAATTAGGGTTAAATATTCTTCTTATGTATTTTGAATTGTTCATTGTTACTCACTTTGGTAGGGGATGCACAGCCAATGAAGTGGGCAATGCGGTTGAGGGTTGTCCTACATCTTGCTCAAGCTTTGGAATATTGTACGAGCAGAGGACGGTCCCTCTATCACGACCTCAATGCTTACAGAATTCTATTTGATGGGGTAAATAAATCACCATATGATATTTTGTCATTATTCTATGAATCTATTTCATCGTACTAGTATATCTTTCGATATTCTCCAAATCATTTATTGAAAACTTGCAGGACTGTAATCCCAGGCTTTCTTGCTTTGGCTTGATGAAAAACAGCAGAGATGGGAAAAGTTATAGTACAAATCTGGCATTTACTCCTCCAGAGTATTTGAGAACTGGTAAATTAAGATCTTTTCCCTATCTTCTTTCACTTATCTTCTATAATGATGGAAAAACTCAAGTCATTTCCCATTTTCGAATTAGGGGTTGTTATTGTGGAGTTTTCTTTTCAATATTAGACATTATTGTTCTTTTAGGTTTGATTTCTTGGTTAGCTGCTCAATAACATGTTGAACTTGGGAAGAGTTGCAATGGAAGAGTTGGGGTGATTAGGAAATTTGGTTTTCAGTTTAGTCCCTAGCAATATTCCTGTGTTATGGTTGTTCCGCTTTACGCTGCTTGAAGGACAAGGGTCGAAATTAAGGCGCTTTAGGAGTCTGCTTTTCCTAACTCTTAAGTATGTTGGTTATATCAATTTTGGTATTATATATGTTGAGTCGTTTTGTGTGTGCAGAACTATTTAAGGTTTAAGTCATCAATTAAAACTGGGGTAAGCAAGAGGGGTAAAAAAGAACTATGTTTTCACCAAATTTGGATTTTCTCTATCAGAGGATATTTGCTTCAATTGAGTAGGAAACTAGGATATTGAGAACAACTACATGTGATTTGTCACATTGAAATCATACCAATTATGAGTTGAGCTTTGCAAACAAATAATAATTACCAATGAACTAGACTGCATGTGCCAAAAACTGAGTGAGGAATTAAAGCAAAAGGCAAAATATATGATGAAAGATTTTTTTAAAAAACTATTTTGAGCTTTTTTCTTGTGAGATAATAACTACGTAGTTCTCTCAAAGTGTAATAATGAAATATTCTTCCTTGTTGAACTGAATTTCCTGTTGGAAGCTTGTTTTGTGTTTGTGACCTGAACTTTTATGAATAAATTGACCATGGTCTGAACAGAGCCCTTCCCAAAGGCCAAAATGTTAAGTTCTTTATGTGAGGGAGGTAGGTTGAACTGAATTTCCTGTTGGAAGCTTGTTTTGTGTTTGTGACCTGAACTTTTATGAATAAATTGACCATGGTCTGAACAGAGCCCTTCCCAAAGGCCAAAATGTTAAGTTCTTTATGTGAGGGAGGTAGAACTTGGGAAACAATTACCATTATAGAGTTTGCTGTTAGGCTACATATATTTTGCCACATCAGTACATCGCTACTGTGATAATTGAACATAACAGCCACACAGTATCCACATTGCTCGCAAAAGTGGTTCCTTGAGTCATTGACCATTACTGTGCTCAAAAAGTCACAACCACATTCGAGATTTAAATTTCAAGGAGTAATATTGCAATTGTTCAGACATCTCATAACTTTGTTAATAGTGAATTTCAACGCTTTAGGTAGAGAGGGTGTAGATATCTTCCAGGTATATGCATCCCATATATCTGTCCTGCACATGGATAGGATTTATTTTAATATTTTGTAGCAATGTGGTAGCTGAAGGTAATCTACCTAGAGGTCTCTAATTTAATTATTGTTGTGTATTATGTTATGGTTGTAGGGAGAATAACACCAGAGAGTGTTATATATAGCTTTGGAACTCTGTTGCTTGACCTTATTAGCGGAAAGCATATTCCACCGAGTCATGTATGTATTCATCTCTTTCCTCTTCATTATTGTTCAGATATTTATTATAACTATAGTAGAATGATATTTTGTCTAACTTGTTTCTGTGAAATGCGCTGGGTGAGGAATGTAATGTTCATGTTTGCATGAATAAGTTGGATTATTGGATAAATAAATTTTTCCTTTGGCTAAAGTATTAAAGTATTGTGTACTGCTGAAAAGTGACTAGGATTAATATGACATGTGTTAAATATCTTTGATTGATTGAATCTTATTCATTACGCATATGATTAGGCCCTAGACTTGATAAGGGATCGGAATCTTCAGATGCTGACTGATTCCTGCTTGGAAGGACAATTTTCTAATGATGATGGTACTGAGTTAGTGCGCCTTGCTTCCCGATGTTTACATTACGAACCACAAGAGCGACCAAACACTAGGTCACTGATTTCAGCTTTGACACCTCTTCAAAAGGAAATTGAGGTCAGTTACCATTTACTGTTCTTGGAATGCCTCCATTCTCCTGATCTAAGTTGTAATTTGGCAAATGTTAAGATTTCGTTTATTCCTGTCTCCTGACATGCCACATGCCTTGATTTATTCATTTTATAAGTGGGAGATTTGTTATTACGGAGACAAACCAGTATTAATTAGCTACTGATACCCCCCCCCCCCCCTCTTCTCTGAAAGCGGAAATTGCAAATTAGGTTGCAAAAGTGGTATGTTTTGGCCTAATTCACAGAAATAGGTAGCAAGTTGCAGTCCCGCACCCCAATTTTTCCATAAATTAAGTTAAGCTGCCAGTCTGCCTCTGCATTCACTGTGCTGGTCTTTGTGTCAACATTTACATAATTACATGTACCCATTTATGCAAGTTTCATGATTTAGTAATTTAATTCTATCAATTCATTATGCAGGTTCCTTCTCATGTGTTAATGGGTATCCCTCACAGTGCATCGTCCTTGCCTTTATCTGCTCTGGGTGAGGCATGTGTAAGAAGGGACTTGACTGCCATTCATGAAATTTTGGAGTCAATTGGTTATAAAGATGATGAAGGAGTGGCAAATGAGGTTTGTTTTTGTGATTTATTTTACATTTGATTTAATTGTCGTCTAATGTCTCTACTCTCAGTCTTTGACTAGATACTTTGTAGTTATGGCAAAATGTATTTCCTTTTTAAAGTCATGTTCTTTAGGGCAATTTCAACTAATTGCTTTATTTAGTCTATCCAGAGCAGATTGAATCTAATAATATCAGTATTGTAATTGTAATTTGATGTAGTATGAGAAATTACAACAGTGGGAAGTCATGATGTATGCAGCTTTAGCTTCAAGCAGCCTATATGCACGAGACTATTAACTGTTTGTTGAAATATTAAATGTAGCTGGGTGTTAGCAGTTCATGACATATAAATATAATGTACCATGTCGATGAGACTTTTCAGATTTTTGGCTTTTCTGATGACTTAGTGCTCTTATATCCACACTTCTTCATGTTCAACTCCATGATTTGTTCCTGATATAAGGAGAAGCCTAGCTCATGGTTATTTCTTTGCTTTGAAATCCAAATAGACTCAAATGATGGGTATGGAATGTGTTGTCAGTCATGTCAAGAGTTTGTTCTCATATTCATTCAAAGTATGCCTGGCATATTTTGGCAAACTAATCAGTTTAAATTTTTTGAGCATATAACTTCTCAAATTATATTTGGTTGGATACAGAATAAGCTCTTCTAAAGCCTGTATCTGTTTGGTACATTATTTGGCTTTAATTTAATCCATTCTACTATTTTTTTTCTGAATGGAGGTAAGGACTGTTTATATACATATTAAAATATCCTTGATGAGTAGCTTATCATGGATTTCCATATACTGCAGCTCTCCTTTCAGATGTGGACTGACCAAATGCAGCAATCTTTGGAATCAAAGAAGAAAGGTGATAGTAACTTCAAGCAGAAAGATTTTAAGTCAGCAATAGAACGATACACACAGGTGGATTTTTCCTTCCTATCCTGTTTGATGATTTCTACGACATGTTTAGCATGATTTGATGTCTATTTCTTAGTGGATCATATAGGAATTCTGAGTGTGAACCATGAGTATGTGTCAATTATTTGTTTTGTGTGTTTTATTGCTACTGATACACCTATATGATGGTGTAAATATCAAATATAGAAAAGTTTTTGTTTTTTCTGCTGTCAAACTTGGTAGCTTGGGATATATGCCCAGGAAGAAAGATTTTGCTGGACTGTTTCATTCATTCAAGAATGTTCTGGAGGAAGTTTTTTGAGTCGCAGTGGTTAAGATTTAGATGGCTAAAACATCTTCCAAGGCCTGGGAATTTTAAGTTTTACTCTCTTCATCCCAGAGTTATCTTCCACCCTACTTTTTTGGGATGTCCTGAATTTGCCTCTCTATGGAAATTTCCACCCCTAGTGAGTAGTGAAAATGGGATCCTATTTTTCCTTTTTACAACTCTTTCCACATTTATTATTATTGTCTTCTACCAGCCTACATGATATCTTACTAAATTTGTTGGGTTTTTTCAAAAAAAAAGTTTGTTGGGTTCAAAGTGTTATGCCATTATGAAATGATTGACAAATCCAACCCCGATTGATAGTGGGGTTACTTCCCAATTAACCCCTCAGATTTTGCTCTGATCAACTTGCAATTTTTTCTGAATCAAACACTGTTGGCACACCCTCCTAGTTATTTTTTTGTGTATATATTTGTGCATGACAGCCTAACCAGAGAATAAATATGGATGGAGGGACCAAAGACCTGTTTTATGCTCTTGACTGCTCTATTTAATTTTGTTTTATCCTCTATCTCATGAGCACTGATAACTTGTGCCTTAACAACTGAGCCCCTTTTCACTATGTGCAGTTCGTTGATGGTGGAATGATTTCTCCAACAGTCCTTGCACGCCGCAGTCTCTCACATCTTATGAGCGACATGCCACAGGAAGCTTTAGAAGATGCAATGCAAGCTCAAGTGATTTCACCTGTCTGGCACATTGCTTCATATCTTCAAGCTTCTGCTCTTTTTGCCCTTGGAATGGAAAACGAGGCACAAGAGGCTCTGAAAGAGGGCACTACCCTTGAAGCGAAAAGGGATGTCAGAGATGCAAAATAATCAGAAACCTTGTGCAGCAATGAATTAATACTGAATGAAGCATGCCCTCCCCAGAAAAGGTCTTAAAACGTGAGTTTTGAAATTGAGGAGAAGGCAATGCAGTGATTCTCTTGTCCGAAGATTTTTGCCTCCTTTGCAGCTTCTCAGACGAAAAATTTCAGCTGTCAAGAATTTTAATAGGTTGATTAGCTTGTCCGACATTCTCCTTGGAGAGTTTGCAAGTGCAAGGCATCAAAATCCTATAAACTTGTAATTTGTGTACAGTAAAAATGTGGTTTGGGTGGTTTTTGAACTAAAAAACTCAAGTTTTCAGCTTATATTTACGGAAGTAAATAATGGCTTCCGTTTCTCCATCAAGTCTTGTTACAATTGTGTGGGCAATGCCTTTCTTTAACATATATATCCAATGAAAGTTTCAATATCAAGGTTCAGACTCGTTATTAATCTGTTATTGTTATTCAGTTTGGCTTGCAGATGAAACATTTTATTCGCGTAATTTAATCAGCAACTAACAGGGACAAAATGTAACGAGACACTACTTACATTTTGCCCCCTGTAAACTCGAACTTTTAGGCAATTCCTCGACTCTTCTCAAATCTGCTCATGTATCCATGCATCACCCAACAACTAAACGTATTCAAAAACACGTCCTCTAATAGTAGTATAAACTAACTACATTTTACTAACGCCAATGTTCTTGATCATCTCAAATCTACTCATGGACCGTCATGACTCTAAAGTCTTGAACTTCTATGTAGTACTTCCTCTGTTTCCTTAAAATCTAACAAATCGCAGCTACTACCAGTCTACCAATAAGTCCCTAGTAGTCCAGGAAAAATGCTCCAACAATAGCCTTCGTCCATGAGACTTTGACGGGTGCTTCATTAGCCTGTTGTTTCTGTTGATTCAGCTCCATTTCCCTTTGGATCTTCGCCTCGATTTCTTTTGTCATATCACTTCTGAGTTTTTGGACCTCCGCTTCAACTTCCCTAACACAAAAGAATGAGTTTAAATCAGACATTGGAAGTAGACTGTAAAGTAATCGTCGAGGTTATTGATCAAAAATGTATCCTGACCTTCTTATTTGTGCATTCATCTCCTCCCTGTATAAACATAATTATAAATAGTATCTATCAGTTTTGCCACAAAAAATTCATAATTAATTCCTAACTTATTTTAATTGCAAGGCCGCTTTATGTTAACTTATCAACTCTTATAAGAGCTTATGCTTTGTGATAAAAATAAAATATTACCTCTGTTTCATATTATTTGCAATGATTTGACATAAAGTAGAGAGTAAAAATGTCTAATCGTTGCAAATAATATAAACGGAGGTAGTAAAAAAAATACGCAAAAAGAATGCAGTCTTAAAAGAAGCAATAACTAATTGCCACATTTAGGACTTCAAATTCAGGAGGTAAAATGATAAAGCTTAAACCTTTTCGAGTTTCTTCTTGCTGCTATTTCGTCGTACACCCTGTGTAATTGCATACAAAATCAGTAAGTAGAAGCTTATCATTCAAGTAATACTTTATCAATTTTGGAAATAATAGTCATGTGTACTAAACACGGAGTATGGGAAACCTTTAATTAATAACTAAGCAAATCGTAGTCTACAGTCTACTTAGTTATAAAGGCTCGGGGTAACAATATAATGTGACAATTATTTTCGGATAGAGGGAGTATAAACGAGGATAAAAATAAGCTGTATTACATACCCCTTAAAAGGGTCGTAGACTGCAACGCTAGATAAACCAAGTATACCCAGAATCCAAGCTACGAACAACACTAAATAAGGAGGAAATAAAACATGGTAAAATAAAAGGAAAAGAAAAAACAAAAAAGTAAATAACACTAAATTAAAGGAGAAAAAAAAAAAAAAAGTTGCGTACCTGATGATGTCTCATCACTGCTTGACCTGAAAGTCATTAGTAATTCTTCTTATGATCTATACAGAAAAGTAATAGTAGTACTCTGTCATAGCAAATACAGATAATTAAATCGAGAATGTTCATGTTTAAGACGTACGTACGTACGTTTGATTCAATGTGGCACGATTCTGAGCAGAAACATTGCAGGGATTTGATATAGCACGACTTTGAACTGGTGCACTAGAGACATTGTAGGGAATACGTACATTCTTACCCCTCCAACTCCAAAATTTCCTGCTGATTTAAAATCACGTATGTACATAAATAGTATTTATCTACCTTGTGTTGTTTACTTGTTTGTAACGTATTTGAGGTTCATCATTACGTTGAGTGAACTCAAGTGATAGTTGATTTCTCATACTTATACAAAAAACAAAAAAAAAAAAAAAAAAAAAAAAAGTCTATATAAATATAGAAACCGCGTAAGATAGGATTAATCTAAGATAATCGGGAGATGGGAAGAATAGGAAAGGTCGAGATTATTGTTGTTAATACTACTTAATACTGAAACAAGAACAAATTAAGCCATTAATCACTAATTAATTCTTCATTGTCAAATAATGTGTAGTACACAAAAGAAGTTAAAATCCTAATATAATGAATTAAATTTTTTTGGGAGACCCTAACAACATACAAAAACCCTAATAGTATAATAATAATATGATCAAAGAAACAATAACAATATCAACAAGGACAACAACCAAAAAAACATACCTAGTATGCTTCGTGAGAGTGGTACGGATCACCATAATCTTGTATGTTAGTTGTTCCAAGAGAAAATTATTTGTAAACTATACTGTGAACAAACTTACCTTGGAGAAAAAGATAACACGCAGGCCAAAATTTGGAAAAATTAGCTTAATCTAAAAAACGTAACAACAATTAATCTTTAACCCTAAAAATGCTTATATACATGAAACTATACGATAATGGTCTGGACTTTCAGCTATATATGGGCCTAATTTAAAGGATTGGAATTGATTCAATAATTACTAATATATTTTTGACGATAATTTTTTTTTTTTTTTGAAGAAAAAGTAAGGCATTATATCAAGAAGATAAGTCCATCGTGGCAAGAGATACAATACTTTGTGAGAAAGGGGCAAACCGGATTATTTCCAATTCACTTCCCACCTCCTCTCTAGCAACTAAATGAGCCACATTATTACACACCCTTTTCGCATAAGAAAAGACACACAAATCAAAAGAGGCTCTAAAAATGGTGATATCCCTGTAAACAGAGAAGATAGGTAATCTACCACTATTCGAGTACAGAATTGTATTGATCACATCTTGCGCGTCTGACTCCACCCAAATCTTCCTATAGCCGAATCTCTTTGCCAACATAAGAGCAAATCTAACGGCTTGAGCCTCAATACACTCAGGGGATGATAAAGGCACACGCCTTGTAGCAGTAAAAATCAATTGGCCTTCATGATCTCTGGCCACCACACCCACCGCTGCCATAGCATTAACACCTAAGTGGGCATCCACATTAATACGATAATTACTAATATTAAACCACTGAAAAATTATTAAAAGTCAAAATTTTACATATATTTTTTAAAAATTAAATCAATACTTCAAAGTTATTCTATTATTATATCATTTGTATGACATATTAAGCAGAAAGTAAAATATAGTTGGGGCTAAAGTCAAAAGATATAGCTTCTTGGCCTGTACGTAAAGCCCAATCATAATATCTATTTCAATGTAGATGTCAACTAACTTAGTAAGATCGAATTCCACCTATAGTCCTACTCGTATATCATAAGATTGCATATATAGATACATACGATAGTGAATGGGTTGCGATATCAAGAAGATGGTAGTTTGGTGGACAGTAAAGACAAAGAAAAAAGCACAACATTTGCTGTAACACCTTGAGGAGATTGGCCTTCCATAACATAACAAAGTCATACACTGTCTATAGAAAGCACTGCCAATAATCTGCTTATTCAAACCATTAGAGTGCCCAAATATAAGGTCACCGTCTTTATAACTTAGTACAGGACACAATGAAAAGAGCACTAATAAATACAAGTATCAGCTTATTCATACGGCCATACTATCAGTCATGTCTTTATAACTTAGTACAGAACACACGGAGAAACGTACGAGGCACTGCCAAATTGGTTATTCAACCTACTACAGAGTGCCCATACAATCAGTCCCCTCTACGGACTTTTATTGAACAAGTTTTTGAGGCTCTTGGTAGCTTCTGTAATGTCTCGTTGAGCGATATCCTTTCAGTCTCTGACTTCCAACGATCCAAAGCTACATCCAAGTCCTCCAAAACTAATGAGCTTCTCAGAAAATATTTAACCACTTCCAGTTCCCATTCGGTCAGCTTGTAATCTTGTACTGAGATTCTTTTGAGATTACTCGCCAAACAAGACGGGATTATGGGAGTACAACTCCAAGACTTACACTCTTGCCCAGACATCTCCATATAATGTTCATCCTCCTCATCATCATCAAATACGATTCCCTGAAAATATAAGAGAATAAAGTCGTATATCAACAACATTCACAGGAATAGTTAAAAAGTCACTTTAAATTATCTGGAATAGAAGACATCACACTAACCTTCGGTAAACTAAGTGTTTCTAGAAAAGGCGCACAATTAAGCAGCTCCATCAACAATGTATACCAACTAATAAAGGCAGAACAACCAAGCTTCAAATGATTCAGATTACGAAAGACAGGCAGCTTAAGCTGCTCTGATTCACAAAGATGCAGAGCCTAGATCAAAAAAGAGCAAATCAGTCAACTCTATTGATAAAGTACAGTAGTATTTCTGAAGCACAAACAAAAGGTTGAAGGTGATCAAAGGACAAACCACTACACATGATTCCATCAGAAACAAACGACGAACATTAGACAGCCGCCAAAGAAGGTTAAGCGTATCCTCAGGAACAGTTTGGTTGATTTCAGCTTCAACAAGAGCATTCAGATCTCCAATGCAGTAGTGAGATGCAGAAACGTCGTCATACATTAGATACTCCACATTAGTAACATCAAGTACAACCTCGGTCCTTAGGTAACTACTCCCAAAAGTACGAGTAATTACAGATAATCTACGAAGTGATGGTGAAGATATCATAATGGGATTCAAAGGATTCCAGTAACCATTCAGAGTAAAGTGTTCAAGGGATGGACAGCTTGAAACTAGCCTAGTCGCGAAGTCACCATCAGGAATGACGGGTAAAGTGAGATTGAACTCTTTCAAGTTTGGCAAACAGAAAGACAGAGGAACTTCAAGATGAAGATTCACATTGATCTTTAACACCTCGAGTGTCGGACAACCAAAGAGGGCCGAAGGCAGCTTACCGGGTTCCCTAACGCAAGCACGAATGTCAAGTTCTTTAACCCCACGGGTTAATGGAAAACACATCCAAGTATTAAGATGCATAGGGTTTAACTGAGGTAAACAACCTTGTTTACACCTTCCAAATTTGTAAGGGCTTAGATCATCCCTGCCAAAGTGAAGTCTAAAAGTGGTAATGTTGTGAGAGTGACACAGTTGCAATAAGTTATCAACAAATCTCTTGAAATTGGGGAAAGAATCAGGCATACAAGGACGGTCCACACAAAGAGATGTAGGTGAGTCGTGTTACCCAGGTGAAAACACGCCTCCATCGCCTAGACAATACACTGGTAACAACAGCATCCTTAGTAGGAAGGAATGAGAGTATGTCTCCTAGTAGAGCATCAGGTAAACTGCTGATTCTGTCTTCTAACAGTATACCATTACCATGAGCAGAATCCCCTTTTTTAAGTCGTTTAATGGGCCGACGCTCCTCCAAGTCTAATAACTTACACCTGAAGGAGGAAAAATATATCAGAAATAATCAATATTGTTTTTTTGGGTAAATAGGGGAATTTTATATTACGGATTACCAAAACAATGAAAAACAAATTGCAAACAAAGTAGAAACAAAATAACAATCGCAATTGGAACAGTTTGAATTATTTCATAAAATCCAAACTTTAGCAATAAAAAACAAGTCTTTAGAATCAGATGATCAAGTTTTCGCCTTTACTTCCAAAAACCAACCATTAAATTTTTATTCAAGAGAATTCAATCAAGGCAAACCCTATGTTGGAACAACAAGTGTGTAGTGTGTGAATTTTGTGAAAAAACTCAAAGTCCCACATTGGTGGGAAATGAGAGTTTTACTCTCTTTATAATATAGAGAGTGGGCTAAAGGGGTGTGGCCCTTGGGCTACCCACATTTTGTGGAGAGGGAGGACCTATATGGTAAACCATCTATCACACACGCGCGCCGAACCGAGCCGGGCTGGGTTTATTAAATAAACTTATTTTTTGGACAAGGCTAATTGCGTGATTAGTTCCTTGATTACATTTGACCGTTTTTCAAAACTGATTAATGGAGCGTTAATCATGCAAACGTTTTCACTGATTTTTTGCTAAACGTTTTGCCACGCATTAATCTTCTGTAACCGTTTTGAACGTTCAACTTATGACCGTTTTAATTGCGTGATTAGTGCCTAATTAAACAGCAGCAGTTACGTTGCAATTTTTCCTATAAAAGGCGTGTTGATTTCCTGTTTTTTATACACAACAAATACAGAAAGCAATCTTCTTCTCCTCTCTATTTTTCCTCACAAAAACAAAACCCTCGAGCAGTTTCATTTCTTTTTTGGTGTTTCGTTGCCCGGTGGTTTTGTGCAGTTCCACCGGTATAATTACAATAGAGGAAGGCTGTTTTATCCTGGGGAACATCCGGTTGTTGTACGAACTGCTTGCACAAATTAAAGGGCAGTACCGTGAATGTTCTAAAGAGAGCGACATAGTCCGCGACTCAGTCTATTTCCCGGTAACTTTGTTCTGTTTTTATTGTTTACAGCAGTTCGGTTACTAACACCCTAAATTAACAATAAACCAAACACAGAAGAAAAAGTAAACCCAGATTTAAAATTCGATCAAAATTAAAACCATAACATGATCTCTTTGATACATAGATCATAACTAATAAATAAATAGAATTAAATTAGAAATATAGAACAAACCTACGGACTGGATTGGAGGAGGCAGCACCGATTGGCAATTCTGGAATTTGAAATACGGTTTTTTTGGAGGGAATAAATAAGGAGGGAGAGACTAAGAGAGGGACCATGTTTGCATCAGGATCGAAATTATAGTCGCAGTCCTTGCCTATCAATTTCTTCTTTTTTTTTTTTTTTTTTTTTTTTTCTTTTTCTTTTTTTGAAAGAATTTTTTTTTTCTTTTCTTTTTTCTGGATCTATGTATTTGTTTGGTTTTTTTTTTGCTTTTCTTTTTTCTTAATCCGTGTATTTTTTTTTTCCTTACTTAGTGCTTTGTTTTCCAATAAAATCATGCTTGAGTTTTTATTTTTAAAAATATTAAAGTGTGTGCCCGTGCTAAATTGTTAATAATGTGATTTATATTAGTTACAACGTTTCTCAATGGGTAGTTTCAATCAATTATATCACTTATGCCTAATATAAATAGTTAAAATGGACAGAACATATTGTAAACACAAATTTTAAATCTGCAAATTATATCAATATAAATGAAACAATATGTTAATTTTTTTTATTATTGCGGATTTAGTTAGCGTTAAGGTTTTTGATGATAATGATTATCAATTGCGCTTTTTTGATAATTTGTTTTTGTTGTTCATGAAAATATTGGTTTTGTATGTATGGTGTTATTCGAATTGTTTTTTGTATGAATTGGAAGGGAATGACGAACACAGACCCTAGGTTTTATTGGTTAGTGTTAATTTTGGTGTGAAATAGGGGTATTGTGTTGGGTGTTTGAAATTGGTTTGTTGCCTGATTGTAGATATTTATTTGAAGGGAAAATATGGCTGATCTTGAAGACTTGAATCATGTCCTTGAAGACTGACAATTTATTTTTATTTTTTTTTAATGTTCCAGAACACTACAAGAATGATGGAAGATCATTCCTTTTGTAATGCAAAAATGATGAATCTTTTCGTTACAAAAGGAATGATCTTCCATCATTCTTGTAGTGTCCTGGAAAAAAAAATCAGAATGATGGAAGACCAAATATAGGGCTAGTTTTTTTGAATTGTAGCAAATCGTATTTATTTTGACAGATTATTTTCGTAGCAAGTTTTTGATGTATTAAATGCTCCAAGGACTTAACACTGTAATTGAAGGACTTAAGTTTTCAAATTGAAGGACATCACTTTTTGGCCGGAGCTTAGGTGGGTTAACTTGCCGGAAAACTAACCACGGGTCCTTAAAGGTGAAAAAAAAAGTGGGAGGTCCTTAAAGATGAAAAATGTTAAAAGTGAGGTCCTTGCTTTATGCTTAACTCTAATTTTAATTAATATGAGAAATTCATCCAAAACCCAGATTTAAAATTCAACCAAAACCAAACAAACCCATAACATAGAATCCAAACTTTAATTATTCAAGGCAAGCCTTAAATTAAATGCTAGACTTTTGAATGGCTACAACAAAATAGTAGCCACTACAATTGATGAAATCTCAGCCGTTCATTTGTATCTGATTAATTATGGCCCTTCAATGAGATGACTTTGTAATTTTACAAAAAAAAAAAAAAATTAACCAAGAAAAATTAAGAAATCCCCCCACGTTTGTTTCAGTTTCCTTCTCCTTTAATATTTTTTTGGGAAAAAAGATAACCCTAAATTCACCCTAAGGAAGAGAAGAAGGGATCTAAACTCGATTTCATATAATTAGATAAACATAACAATCAATTGAAGAAGGATTTGCAAAGAAGAAGGGGTGAAAGAGAGAGAGAAAAGAATAGCAGACTACGAAGTACAGTACATCAGAAGAGAAGGAAATTGAAAAAAAAAATTGGGGGGAATTTTTTTTTTTTTTTGTCAAAGTTGTTTTTTTTTATAAAACTACCAAGTCATCTCAATGAACGGCCTGATTAGCCAAATACAAATTAACGGCTGTGATTTTACTTAGTATAATGGCTACCATTTTACTGTAGCCGTTGTAAAGCTGTCCTAAATTAACAATAAACCAAACATAATAGAGTACATGAATTCAAAAAATAACCTGAAAATTCTTGGAAAACCCAGATTTAAAAGTCAATCAAAATTAAACAAACCCATAACATAATCTCTTTGATATACAAATTACTACATACGCAGATCATAACTAATAAATAAATTTAAATTAGAAAATAGTAAGTAAAGTTGTCACACCTAAGGACTGGATTGGAGGATGCACCACCCATGCTATGTTCATGGATTGTCCATCTTGGTTGCCTACAATAAGTTTACAAATCTTCCTAATATATTTGAAGTAGAATTCATTCAGTAGTGCTGATTTGATGACAATTCCCCCATATAATACAATCTAACGATTTGATGCATCAATGGAGCCAAAAAAAAAAAAAAAAAAAAAAAGAAGATGAAAAATAAGCAAAAATATATCGTGTATTTTGTCAATGTTAACCTTGTATCTCTCTAATTCTCTCCATCGTATTACTCAAATGTCGGGTAAGCATACCCCATAATATCATATTGCATTCACCAAAATACCAAACTCAATTTTTTATGAGAAGATAATAACCAAGGTTCAATTAAATTAATACTCCCCCGTCCCATAATATTTTTCTTATTTTTCATTTCAAATGTGTTAAAATGATTTCTCATTTTCTTTTATGGTGTTCCAAAATAATTTTTTTATCCTCATTTTTTCTAGAATTTTGTGTCCACATTAAATAATTAATGCATGGAAAAATATATTTTTTGTTTTTAATGCATTGATTGTGTACTTTGAAATAAAAAAAATATCTTTCCAACATTAATTGTGTACTTTCCAAAAAATTCAATTACAAATGTAAAATAATAATTGCAAATCATACAATTTTCAAATTCTTTAATTCTTGTGAAAATTTCACAATGAAAAATACATTATGGAACGGAATGAATAGTTGATAATTCGAATATCAAATAAAGATGATAAGTCGAGTATACACGACAAAGCGGTGGCAAGATGTTTGCTATATAGTTAATGGCAATTGAGTTTTATAGGCCCTACCTACCAATTCTTCCAAACTAAACTTCGACGACTCGTTTCAACACAATTTAGCAGCAGCGGGTATCATCATTCGAGACAGCATCGGCAACATTCAACGGGCATGCACGTTCAACCTCGGCAACACTAAAGCTTTCATAACTGAAGCATTTGCACTCCACAAGGGCATCCTGCTTGCGATTGAACAAGGCATCAAAAACATCCATATATTGAAGGCGACAATGTCATGGTTATTAACTCAGTTAAAGGTTTATAGGCGACCCCGTGGCAGATTGATCATATCATTGCAGACATGCGTCTTCTTCTCAACAAATTCGATAGTTGGAGCATTTGACACGTATATCGTGAAGCAAATCGAGCAACTGACTGGGTAGTTTATGTCGGTCATTTAGTTAGTGATACTATGGACATTATACCTTGCAATAACTCTAGTTTATTTCCTATTCTTGTATTCGACGCATTAGGAGTTCCCCTCGTGAGAAGGATCTCCCAATGTTCTTTCTTTTTCTTACCTTTTCCCTAAAAAAAAAAAAAAAAAAAAAAAAAAGAGTTTTGTAGGACATGTAAGAGTAGTCAAGATTTAAGAGGGCGTGGGGTTGGTTCATAGATCGAGGGGAAAGAGAATTGAAGAGGGTAAAGTAGTATTGAGAATTAAAGATGAAAAAAGAGGAAAGTGATTTAGACTCCGTTTGTTAGAAAACGATTTTCCTTCATTTTTCCTTTTCCTTTGTTTGTTTTGTTAAAGGGTGGAAAACAATTTCTTCATAGGTGGAAAGTTACTTTTTAAAGAAGGAAAACCATTTTCCTTTTGTAAAGAAAGTATGCCACATTTTCCTCTTTATTCATCACTTCTCTATTTTCTCTCCTCTATCTTTCCCCTCCCTTCTAATCCCCTAAATTAGTAACCTATCCCCAAATAAATTACTAAAGGTTTGTTCTCTTCCGCTTAATTTCAGTTCAGTTCAGTTCAACTCCAATTAGTTCAGTTCAGTTCAGTTCCTAATTTCCTTCTCTCATAAAATATTCATTTCAGCTCTATTCAGTTCAGTTCAATTCAGTTTAGTTCAGCTCCAATCAGTTTAGTTTAATTCAAGTTCAATTCAGTTCAGCTCAGTTCAGTAAATCAGAGCAGGCCCTAACTCACACCTAAAAGCAGTCCCGGCCCTTCCCCTCCATTATTCCCGAGCAGCCCCTCCCCTTCCCCGTTAACCCGCCCACTTCCCTCGAACCTCATCAAAATTAGTGGAAAAATGGGGTTGAGAAGGTGGTATTTATGGTGGTGTTGGGTGGCCGGGACAGCAGCAGGAGGTGGTTGATTTTGTTTGAAAATGGATTTGTGTGGTGGTTTTATGATGGGTTTGTGTGGTGGTTGATTTGGCTTTAGGATTGGTTGGTTTGGCTTTGGTAGGGGTCGGTGTGGTGGATTTAGGGTGGGTTTGTGTGGCTGGAGACCTTTATGGTTGGGTAGCTTAAGAGGTGGGTGTAGGGTGGTTTTCGTGAGTTGGAGTGGGTGGGGTGGTGTTAGGGCAAAAAGGGGTGGTTTAAGGTGTGTAGAGGGTGGTTACGGGTAGGCGGTGGTGATGGTGGTTGGATGGTGGTGGGGTCAACGATGAGATGGTTCTGGTGGCTTAGGTGGTGGGCAACTAGGGTAGGTTAGTCATTTACTTATTTAAGGTTAGTAACTTAGCCATCCTAGCATGGGTTAGCCGATTTAATGAAAAATAGCACACGTTATGTACATATTCAAAATTAGGGGTCACATGGCCAAAAAAGAGTTGGAATTTGTAAAAATACAGGGGAAAAAAAGAGTTTCCACCCAGTGGAATTTATTACTTAAGTAATTAGTATGCAGGTTTGAGTTCCTCCAAAAAAAAAAAAAAAAAAAGAAGTATGCAGGTTTGACTTTTTGAGTAAAGAGAGAATATGTGGGGCAGTTAAATTTAATGAAATAGTTATTTTGATAAGTTAGTTTTATGAGGGATATAAAAAAAATAGATTTATAAGGACATAAAAATTAGTTATTTATATCCAAATGAAGTGGAGGCTCGTTGAGAAATTCTCCTTCAATGGATCTTGGTACAATATTAGATGATCCAGCTTGATTATTGAGTGGTGCATTGACCAGAGACTCGCTATAAAATTCTTCTTCAAAGGATCCTGGTACATTTATGTCGTCTTGAATCACAACAGGTGAAGGCTCGCTGAAAAATACTCCTTCAAAGGATTCCAGATTTTCCCATTCAATAAAATCTGACAAATTGTTGAAAAAACCAGTCGAATCCATTTCTACATTTGGGTTTGTAATCATTTCTTCATTTGGGTTAGGACCAATTTCTTCATTTGGGTTCGGACCCATTACTTCATTTGGGTTTGCTTAAAAAAGTCTCTCGAGATCTTGTAGGGCAAAATCTTCTTCACCACTTTTAGAATTTATCCTAGATAAGCATGGAACAAAGACAGTCCTGAATTGTAGCTTGCTGAGAAAAAAAAAAAATTCTTTATTCATAATGTATAATAACAAATTATATAATTATTTATATATTAACAAATTACGTGAAACTATAATATATTAACAAATTACGTGAAACTATAATATAATGTACTACCTCCGTAAACGGTTATGTGCAAGTGTGCAACAAACGTACCGTTCACGGAGGCCTAGGCAAAACTTTTAAGACATGATTATTAAAAACTAAGGGCACTTTGTTAAGTATTAATCCTACTTTTTTCTTAAAAAAAAAAAAAAAAAAAACAATTAACAATTAACAAAATCATATCACCACCGAAACCCAAAACCAGAAACACCACCAAAACCACCGACAACCACCATAACCACCAAACCCATCAACACCCAGAACCCAAAACACCACCAAAATCACCGAAACCCAACCACTCTTCACCACCGAAACCCAACAAACCACCCACAAACCAAACAAACCACCCACAAACCCAGCAAACCCAAAACCCAGAATCAACAAAACCACCGACACCCACAACTAACCACCACCAAAAGCAGGGGCGGAGCCATGTAGGAACAAGGGGGGACGGTTGTCCCCCCATTTTTCCAAAAAAAAATTTAATTTATGTTAGCTTAAATAAATGCTGTAAATAAGAATAAATACCTTACATGTATACCTTACATAACAAAGACAACATTTGGTCTGGTGGTTGATGGGCTTGAGTAAAGCTTGTATTTCTCTTTGATCCTAGGTTCGATTCTTTACCCGATCATTTTTTTTGTTTCTTTTTGCTATTTTTGGACTTTATTTTTATTTCATTTTATAGTTTATACAAAGTGCTCCTATTTAACTTCTTTTTCTTGTTTTTGGATTTTGCCATTTTTTTTTTACTGGTTTTTAAATTTCATTATATAGTATGTAATTTATATATACAAAGTATTATAAGTCTTCAAACCTCTAATTACTCTCATTTAACTGTTTAATCAAGTATCGCCTTGTTGATAGTGATTACTAATGTGTTATTAAACTATTTGTAATGAACACATGTCTCCGTATTTTTTTATCTCTCTAATTATGTGTGCCTAAATTCTATTTTTTTATAGCTTGTTTGGAACTAAGTTTCCAATTTTATTTTTAGTCAAAGAAAGTTTATTTATTTATTATTATTTTTTTTTTAAAATGTAACCCAAATCCCTTTACATCTACTATCAATTTGTGTAAATGCTTATCATTTGATAAATCATATTTATCGATTATTAAGGATTACATACCTTAAAATTGGGGTTTACCAGCATAAAAAAAAAAAAATTTGGTTAATAAATTTCTTAATATGCAATTAATTTTTTAACAACTCCTCTTTCACCATATAAGAATAATTGTCATATCTCATAAGCGATTTCAAATATATATTAAACAATTTATGTGATCAATTTCTTTTTTCTTATAATTATTGTCGATTATTAAACATCTAAAAATTGTCCCCCCAGATTACAAATCCTGGCTCCGCCACTGACCAAAAGCCACGAACCCACAACCACCACCACCCCCAAAACCACTAAAACGCACAACCACCAAAAACAGAACCCACTAACTACCACCAAAACCCACGAATTTAAATAATCCCAACCACCAACACAGCAGACCACCCATGAAACCTTGAAAAAAACCACCAACACCGAAAACAACCACCACTCCCACGAATTGAATTAATCCCAACCACCAACACCACGAATTGAAATAATCCCAATTAAGCCACTACCACGAAACCCACAAAACCTAGACCCCGACACCCACGAAACCCACAAAACCTAGACCACCATCCACGAAACTTGTGTCGCCAAGAACCACCACACCTGTGAAACCCACGGGTGACCACCTCCAAATCTGGACAGAAGATGAAGGAGGAGTGAGATTTTGATGCTTAAGGAGGAGAGAGAAATTTTGATGATGAACCACCAGGAGGAGAGTAAGACTTTGATGATGAAGGAGGAGTGAGAAATTTGATGAACAACATGAATGGAGATTTGGTTTTGTTTTTACAGATTTGGTTTTTTTTTTTTTTTTTTTTTTTTTTTGAAGATTAGATGAGTTAAGTTAGGTTTATAATAGAGTATGGTTAGTGAAATGATTAAGGGAGTAAGTTGTTTAAGTAAGGGCAGTTTGGTAATTTTTTATAGAAAAACTTACTAAAAGAGGAAAAAAAAACATTTGTTACACATAATAGAAAGCGCCTACTTTTGGTAAATGTTGCAGATAATCGTTTACGGAGGTAGTATATAAATAATTATATAATTATTTTATGTTGGTTCCCACTAATAAAAAAATGTAAGCTTAGATTCGCCATTGGAACAAGCATCCATTAAGACATGTACCCGATTTCTCTTTAAAATTATAATTATGATGATCACCGTCATCAAAAATCCTTCACTTGGCGTGAAATTGAGCACTGATCCTTAACATATGTTATGGACCAGCTTTTGGGCTCTGTACGTAAGTATTACTTCATTCGGGTTCAGACCCATTACTTTATTTGGATTCGGGTTGAGATCCATTTCAAATCCTCCGTATACAATTCGCAGTTGATAGGTAATCTTAGCCCTATTAAATGCTGTCTCCCACTCAAATCTAAAGAGGGTACTCTTAATGATATTGTTAGCTTCAACGAATTTGGACCATTGTCCTAATATTTTACCAATACCTCTTTTACTCTTCTTGCAAGAAAAGCGCCAAATTTTACCGGTTTCATCTTCGGCCAAGAAATCAATTTTCTTACCACCCAATATTTTTTGTCGATAATTCGGAAGCAAAATAGTTTTAAATTTATCAAAATCTTCTTGAAGGATGATGAACCGTCTTGATTTTTTACTGACATCAGACGCAAGAAGAAGTTTCTCAAAAATAAATTGAAATTGCGAAATCGCCATCTGCCGATCAGAAAAGGAAAAAAAAAAAATCAATGGGAAGGAAAACAAAATTTATGACTTAGAATTTAGAATGAAATAATAAAAAATATTATAAAACCCTAATAATCGATATTAAGATAAGATTACTAAACCCTAAATAAGATATTCAAACAATAATGATATTTAAAATTCAAAAAACCATTCAACTAAGTAAATAGAAACCATTCAACTAAGTATATCAAAAATCCAATTTTACTGATTTTGATTATAAAAAATAACAAAGATGAGAATCAAAATTTTAACATAGTACTAAAACCTTTTTAAATTTAAACATAAATAAATATTAAAGATTTACCTGAAAGTGCAGTAATTGTTGATAGGAAAAGTTTCAGATCAAAGTTTGAAACTAGCGAGAGCGAAGAGTTTTCTGAGGAGGAGCACTAAAGTTGTTGATTGGGAAATATTTAAAGTTGATTTAGTAGATAAGAATTACCAGGAATAGCAAGTGGTTAGCTAAGAAAGAAACAAGTTACAAACTTGTTAATTCGGAAAATAAAAATCTCGCACTCAATATTCAAAAGCAAGGCAAAGGTGTGAATCTACAAAACTTATTGTCTAGAACACTCATCATCCAGAAGCAAGGCAAAGATTGTATTCAAGGTCTAACGAGGTTTAAGCTACCAATATAGAATATAAAGCTGCATAGAGGAAGCAGCTTCAAGTGCTATCTTTAGGATCCTCTCCAAACTTCTTCACCACCAAAACCGCCTCAAGAAAGGGGGAGGGGGAGAAAAAGCCAGTTTGCAGTAGCGTTCGATAGAACAAAGCAAAAGACACAAAAGGAAAACAACATTAAATGTTTTGCACACAGCACATAAATGGTTACTTCAGTTAGGCTACATTTTTTACATCTGAGCTAAAGATGAAGAGAAATTATCATACTTTCTTGGATCTTGCGGGCAGCTTCACAATTTTGAAATTCGCAAGAAAAGGCATCAATGTCTTGTTATGACCATACAGAGTACTGATCAGCACACTAAAAAAAGGATCTAACTACCTAAATAGGAAAAAAAATGGAAAGTTGCATCTAATGTGTAGCACCCCGTTTTGGCAAAAGTTAGTGTTAAATTTGCCAAAAAAGGAAACAGGTCAGGTAAAAAGAAACTTTCCAAAAAGAAATACAGGTCAAGTAATAAAGAACAGAGGAAGTATTTATCTATATATGCATATTTTTAAACGCCTATTGACATTGGTTGTTGATCATCTCAAATCTATTCATGGACCGTCTTAACACTAAGTCTCTAACTTCTATGTAATATTTTCTCTGTTTCCTTAAAATCTAATAAATCACTGCTCATACCAATAAGTCCCTAGTAGTCCAGGAAAAATGCTCTAACAATAGCCTTCCTCCATGAGACTTTGACGGGTGCTTCATTAGCCTGCTCTTTCCTTTGATTCAGCTCCATTTCCCTTTGGATCTTCGCCTCGATTTCTTTTGTCATATCACTTCTGAGTTTTTGGACCTCTGCTTCAACTTCCCTAACACAAAATAATGAGTTTTAATCAGACATTATTGAAAGACTGTAAAGTAATCGTCGAGGTTATTGATAAAAAAATGTATCCTGAGTCCTGACCTCCGTATTTGTGCATTCATCTCCTCCCTGTATAAACATAATTATTACTAGTATCAATCAGTATTGCCACAAAAAATTCATAATTAATTCTTAACTTATTTCAATTGCAAGGCCGCTTTATGTTAGCTTATCAACTCTTATACGAACTTGTGCCTCGTGATTAAATAAAATTAAAAATTTACGCGAAAAGAATGCAGTCCTAAAAGAAGCTAAGCAATAACTATTTGCCCCATTTAGGACTTCAAATTCAGGAGGTAAAACGATTGTTTAAACCTTTTTGAGTTTCTTCTTGCTGCTATTTCGTTGTTCACCCTGTGTAATTGCATACAAAATTCTAATCAGTAATTAAAAGCTCATCATTCATGTAATACTGTCAATTTTTCGTAAATAATAGTCACGTGTACTAGATACGAAGTATGAGAAACCTTTAATAACTAAGCAAATCGTGTGGTCTACAATCTACTTAGTTATAAAGGGTCGGGGTAACAGTGTAACATGACTATTATTTTCGAATAGAGGAAGTATAAACGAGAAAAAAAATAAGGTGTATTACATACCCCTCAAAAGGGTCATAGACTGCAACGCTAGATAAACCAAGTATACTCAGAATGCAAACAACGAACCACACTAAATAAAGAGGAAATAAAACATGGAAAAATTATAAGGAAAAGAAAAAAAAAATTAAATTAAAGGAAAATAATGATTTGCGTACCTGATGATGTTTCATCACTTGTTGACCTGAAAGCCATTAGAAATTCTACTTATGATCAAACAGAAAACTAGTAGTAGTACTCTGTAGTAGCAAATACAGATAATTAAGTGGATAATTTTATGTTAAAGAGGTACGTACGTTTGATTCAATGTGGCGCGATTCTGAGCAGAAATATTGCATAGATTTGATACAGCACGACTTTGAGCGGGTGCACTAGAGACATTGTAGGGAATATGTACATTCTTACCCCTCCCACTCCAAAATTTCGTGCTGAATTAAAATTACACATGTACATAAATATTATTTATCAACATTGTGTTGTTTGTAACGTAATTTAAGTTCATCATTACTTTTGTGCGTTCGTTTGTATGTACAATTGTATTCAGAAAATCATCAACTAGAATAATTCCAAGTTTCCAACCTATACTCGTGTTGCATACTCGGAATAATCCTAAGTGAGAGTTGATTTCTCATTATTTTTATGTTTTATTTTTAGGGTACACAGGGAGCCCCTCCTATCACAGGTGGGGAGGATGAGTATACAAAAAGTCTATATGAATATACAAACCACAAAAAGTCTATATGAGTATACAAAAAGTCTATATGAGTATACAAACCACAAAAAGTCTATATACAAACCACCTAAGGTAAGATTATACCCATCTCCTAGATCCCCTAGAGTTGATTTCTCATAGTTATACCCACAAAAGTTCTATATGAATATACAAACCACTTAAGATAAGATTATTCTAAGATAATCGAGATGACAAAACAAGGAAACCTCGAAATTATTGTTGTTAATATTAAAACAAGAGCAAATTAAGCCATTAATAACTAAATTATGTTTCATCATCAAATAATATGTAGTACACAAAAGAAGTTAAAACCCTAACATAATGAATTAATTTTTTTGGGAGGCCCTAACAACATAGAAATCCCTAATATTATAATAATAATATGATCAAAGAAAATAATAATAATAATAACAACCAAAAAAAAAACATACCTAGCATGCTTCGTGAGAGAAATAGTGGTACGGATTACCATTATGTTGTGTGTTAGTTGTTCCAAGAGAAAATTATTTGTAAACTATACTATCAACAAAATTACCTTGGAGAAAAGGATAACATGGAGGCCAAAATTTTTGGAAAAATTAGCTTATTCTAAAAAACGTAACAACAATTAATCTTTAACCCTAAAAATGCTTATATACATGAAACTATACGATAATGGTCTGGACTTTCAGCTATATATGGGCCTAATTTAAAGGATTGGAATTGAACTCAACATACTTCGTAGTAGTTCAATAATTACTTATATATTTTTGACGATAATTACTCATATTAAATCACTGAAGAAATATTAAAAGTCAAAATTTGAACTATATTTTTTAAAAATTAAATCAATGCTTCAAAGTTATTTTAACAATTCTATTATTATATCATTTATTTATGTGACGTATTAAGCAGAAAGTTAAACATTATTTGGACTATTTCAAAAAAAAAAAAAAAAAGTTGGGACTAAATTCAAAAGATATAGCATCTTGGCCTATATGTAAAGCCCAATCATGATATCTGTTTCAATGTAGATGTCAACTAGCTTAACAAGATCGAATTCTACATATGGTCATACTCGTAATCTTGTATACCATAAGATTGCACATACGATAGTGAATGGGTTGCGATATCAAGAAGATGGTAGTTTGGTGGACAGTAAAGACAAAGAAAAAAATGTAACACCTTGAGGAGAATGACCTTTTATAACATAACAAAGTCATACACTGTCTACTGAAAGCACTGCTAATAATCTGCTTGCTCAAACCACTACAGAGTGTCCACATATAAGGTCACTGTCTATATAACTTAGTACAGAACACAATGAAAAGAGCACTAACAAATACAATTTACATGGTACATGACACTGCACGTTAAGAGTATTAGCTTATTCATAGTGTTGGTCATGTCTTTATAAACTAGTACACAACACACAGAGAAACTTACGAGGCACTGTCGAACTGATTATTCAACTTACTACAGTGTTCGCAGTGCTCATATTATCAGTCCCCTCTACAGATTTTTATTGAAGTCTTGGAGGCTCTTGTTAGTTTCTGTAATGTCTCGTTGAGCGATATCCTTTCAGTCTCTGACTTCAAACGATTCAAAGTTATATCCAAAGTCTTAACATGCCATAATCGCTAATATTAGATACGAAGTATTTATTATATATGGAGATATCTAAGATTATTGTAATTCAGAAGGAGAAAGGAAATTAAAGATACAGGAAAATGTTTTGGCAGGACAAAAGGTTACAAATCATAAATTGCAATTAATCCATTTACCAAATTGATTAGGAAATTCAAAACCAGATCATTCTGAAACAAAGAAAGTCGCCAAATTCCTACAGCAACTAAATAGAAAGTCATACTCCACAAGTTGACAGCCTCATATACAAGAGATTAGCAATGGGAGCTAGTTTCTAGATCCAAAAAGAAGAAAAAAATAAAAGAAAAGAAAAGAGCAAGCCTTCAAAAATTCGCCCCACCAAAAAAAAGATGGAATAACTAGAGTACAGATGCTGGCTTGATCAATATTAGCTCTTGATAAGAGACCATAACCTTCCAACAGTTGAGAAAATAACTCATTTACCGGCCCGAAATGACTCCTTGGTTCTGCCATAATACTCAGGTTTAGTTCCATGGAATGTGATGAAATTCCAGCCAAATGCAGAACCACCAACAATGTAAGTTCCTGTGATCCGGGTACCGCCATGCATTGGCTTTTCAAGATTATTTCCTACTGGGAAGCGCTTTTCTTGTGATGGCTGATCAGCAGGCTTCTGCCCAAGCCCTCCCAGTTTCTCGTTAGTGAAATCTAAACTTCCTGCTCCGCTGTTGCACTTAGCTAGCGGTACCTTCTCCGCTGTCTGGTGTCTACATAACTCCACCATAAGCGTCATTTCTGCAAGTTTAAAGAAAATTTAATAAGTACTTCATAAGATTTACCAAGGATAGCAAGTGATTAGCAAAGAAAGAAACGAGTTTAAAACTTGTTAACTCGGAAAATAAAAGTCTTGATCACTCATTAATCAAAAGCAAGGCAAAAGTGTGAGTCTACAAAATTTGTCTAGAACACTCATCACCCAAAACCAAGGCAAAGTGTGAACACTCATTTTATTTAAGGTGTAAAGTGTTAGAGACCAACATTATTGGTCTAACAAGGTTTAAGCTACCAAAATAGGACCTATCTTTAGGGTCCTCTCCAAACTTCTTCACCACCAAAGTCGCCTCAAGAAAGGGGGAGAGGGAGAAAAAGGCACTCTGCAGTAGCACTTGATAGAACAAAGCAAGTGATACAAAAGGCAAACAAGATTAAATACTTCGCACACAGCACATAAATGGTTACGGCATAGGGTACACTTTTAACATCTGAGCTAAAGATGAAGAGAGATTATCATACTTTCTTGGATCCTGCGGGCAGCTTCACAGTTTTGAAAGTCGGGGGCACGGAGAACCTTCAACATAGAAAAGAAAAGGCATCAATGTCTTATTATGATCATACAGAGTAGTTATCAGCACACTTAAAAAAAGGATCTATGATAAAAAAAAAAAAATTGAGGCAAACTGGTATCCCAGTGGCCAGTACTAATTAAATATGAGGCAACTGGTATAATGGTAAGACACTAAGACCTCATCTCAAGGGCCTTATATATTATGTATTCTTTTTCAGAAGTCTAGTTCAAGTGTCAATGAGTTTAACTTAGAATATCATATTAAAACAAACTACAAATCAACTTGCAACCAGTTCAATAACTTTTTAGGGAGTACATTGAAGAACAAGGTTAGAGAGGTGCATTGCTCTCACCAAGGAATCACTGAGGATTAGGGTGCGATAAACCTAACAGAGTACAGCATATTCTACAGGACTGATGCTGATAAGCTACGAAACAGGAAGAAAAGCATGCTGTCAAGGCAGCCAGCACACATCCATAAAGAAAATCCATAGCATCCTCGAAAGAATTCAACAAAGAAAAGAAGAGAGACTCTATCCGGAGTGGTTGATCCAATATTTGTTTTGACTAAACTAAGATCTGAAGCTAAGTTTTCATGAAGTTGGGCGGAAATTTGTAAACATGAAAAATTTTACAAGTTGTAGCTCATAACAGTTTTCGAATCAGAATGCAAAAACGAGCATGAGCTATAAAATTGACCAAAGATTAGTAATGGACATCAATGGAAGGTTCAGTCACAAGTACACCCATGAAGCCACGACCGTTACATATCGAGTAATATTTACACATACATCATAGAATCTAGTTCTCTTTCCCATTCTGCTGCACCTTTCCTAGCTTTGGTAACTTCATGAGTCATGACCACTTATTCAATTAAACAGCTCAGGAAAGCAAATCATATAGAGGATATGCTTTGATTATTTCCTAAATATGCCTATTACATGAAAATTAATACTGTCATAGTGGAGATTAGTATTGGTTGACAGTAAAATATCTAATACTCGTGCAAACCAGAAGTACGGATTATCACTAAAAGGAAGGCTCGAATCAAGGGATAGCCGCAATCTTGTTATTCACGAATAGGCATCATAAATAATCCTCAGTGGCATATTATTTTCACCCACATCAAACCCTCAGAAAAACACCACTTCCTCAAGGATAGTGCATTATTGCATCTTTTACCTAGAGTGTCAATTCAGATTTCTGAATAAAAATGCAAGGTAAGTTACTCGGAGTCTCGAACCATTCAAATCATGACTTGTAAAAACTAAATAGACTTAGAATAATAAGCAAACACGAACATTTGATAATCACCTCTCAGCAGATACAAAGCATTAAATTAGCACATTGATTCCACATGAATTTATATGATCTAATTAAAACTCCAACAATCAATTACAATAATTAACATGACCCAAAATCAAATCAACTTAGAATTGCAAAATTATCCAATTCCACTCACATTATCAAGAACTACACTCTGCTCATGCACCATTACGCAATTAGGGAAGATAACAACTCTTTGACGCAATCAACATTTTTTTTTTTATTTTTTTTTTTTGCAAACTAAACCCATAAAAATCTCAAAAAAAAAAAATCGCCCCACATAATTTTATTTGATTAAAAACAAATAAAACTTCAAATTTTGGCAGAAAACAGAAATCCAGGCAACACCCAATTGCAGAAACAGTTAGAACAAAAACCTAAAGATTCAAAACTTTACAGAAATCAACTAAAAAAAACAACCCACAAAAATTAACAATTGGAAAGTAAAAGTTAACAGAAAATCAAGCAACGTTATCCAAAATAATCAAATTTCCAGAAATCAAACAATACCCAGAAAAAAAAAAAGAAAAAAAAAACAGATAAAAATAGAAGAGAAGAGTAAACCTGAAGAAAAAGGGGACGAAGGTCTCTGATAAAAGCACGCATCTTAAAGTAAGGAGAACTCTGAAGAAGATAAACATGGTCAAGAGGTCTCTTCTTCGGATTGAAATTATTTGAAAGAGGTGGTTGAGATTGTGGCGGGAGATTTGGAACTACTGGAATTTGATTTTGATTTTGATTTTGATTTGAAGTTGTTGTTAATGGAGTAGTAGTTGTTGAAGGGGTAACTATGGGTTGTACAGTTGAAGACGCCATTGAATTTTCTCTCTCCTCTTTTTCTCTTCTCTTCTCTTTTCTCCTTTGAAATCGGTGAATTTTCTCTCTCTATTTCTTGAGTTTTCTTCAAAAAGAATTTTGAGTATTTTTGGGATTTTTTTTTTTTTTTTGGTGGAGTTTTGTATTTAATTTGGTCTCTTTGAATTCTCAGTCCCACAACTCCTAGTCTCCTACTCTTCCAGATCTTTGAATTCCCTTCTTTTAGTTTCTGACCGGGATTTGAGTATTATCGTTGTAGTCGTAGTTGTAGTTGTCGTTGTCGTCGTCGAGGTTGTAAGATGACCAAATTTTAGGTCGGAGACTCTAATCTTATGATGGTTAATTGTTATTTGTCTGTTTTATTGAATTAAATTAAGATAAATATTGATTTTTAAGACTTGAGATTAGGATAAATTTTATCGGTATGAAATTGATTGTCTAGTCCATAATCAATTCTATTGAAATTTGAAAGCATTCTTTTGAATGAACACATGAAATAAATTAGCTATATGACTACAAATAGCATTGACTTGAGCTAGCTAAATCTAATGATCGGCAAAATCAATCACTTGTTCGTTCCTTAAGATAGTGATACTTCGCATAATTGAGTATTATGGTTTAGATGACAATTTGGTCCGAGGGAAGAAATTTTCTTAAAAAGTTCATATCAACATCCTAGAGAAAATGTATCAGTCTTATGAGGAGTTGAAAACGTTTATGTCACCTATTGTAGTTATCAGTTTTGATTCAGGCCTTTGAGTTTGGTCTTTAAAATTTTGTGAATTAAAAATCAAAATTTCATCTGAAAAAAGTGAAATAGTGGTATAGGCGTATAGTTGATCATTATAAAGCCTGATTCGATCAAGCTAAATTTGGATAGAATTTTCAATATAACAAACAAGCTTGGTGTATCTGAGTTCATGCAAAACTTTAACATATGGTTTTGTTTCACGACCACTTTAGTTAAATAAAAATATCCTTTTAATTTGATAACATTGAGGGGTCGTTTGGTTGGGGGTATTCATCAAAGGGAATGGAAATCAATAGGAATCATTCCCTTTGTTGTTGTTTGTTAGGTCTTTTTTCCCATTCCCTTTACCCTCTTCGATCCATTCCCCAAATCATTCCAAGTTGATTCCCCACCCTCCCCCCCACCCCAAGGTATTTCCATTCCATTCCCTAGCTACCACCACACCACCATACCACCACCCTCCCCACCACCGGAACAACTAGCCACCCCACCGAAACCCCTCCCCTTACCCTTGCCGTCCCTCCCCCACCCCCGGAACAACCAGGCACCCCAGCGAAAACCTCCCCACCACTAGAACAACTAGCCACCACACCACCACACTCCCCACCATCGAAACAGCTAGCCACCCCACCGAAACCCCTCGCCTCACCCTCGCCCACCACCGAAACCCCTCGCCTCACCCTCGCCCACCACCGAAACAGGTTTGGGTGGAGATTTGAAATTGGGAGTGTATTTTAGGGTTGATGAGGGTCTACGAAAGACGATGGTGGTGGTGGTGGTGGTGGGAGAGGAGGAAGAATAAGAAGCGGTGGGGTTTACACGGGGTTTCGAGGGTGGTGGGAGAGCCGACTGACGGTTTTACGGGGAGATCTAGGGAATTGTTTCTAGGGTTTTGCGGGGTTGGGGGAGGTTTTTTCAGGGGAAGGGAGAGCTGTGCTGGCACGGGGAGCGGCGGCGAGGGGCGGGGGAGGTGCGGCGAAGGGTGGCGAGTGGTGGGGTGGCTGGAAATGGTGGGAAGTGAAGCAATTAGGTAGTTATGTGGTGGTGGTTGGATAGGTGGCAGTGTTTCCCTTTGTTTTTAAAACAAATAATATAGAAAATTTAAGGTGATTTCATTCCATTATTTTCCATTCCCTTTGTTCATTCCATTCTGTTTACCCTGTGTAAACCAAACGGCCCCTGACTACATTGATGGTATCAAATCTGCATATTTCCTCACTTCATCAACTCTCTCGAAACAATACTCTCTCCGTCCCAGGATAATTGATACCTACAAGTTCTCATTTTCGTCCGTTCCAAAATAACTGACACGTTACTAAATATAGCATGGGACCACTAATTAAAAACTATTTTCCTCTACTCTTCCCTGTCCCACTGATTTTTTGAAAATAATTTCAACCACATAAAAAAATCAAAAGAAATATTTTTACATCAAACAAATGTATTAAATGGTCCCACTCTAAGTTTTCTTAAGTGTGTGCCCATTCGAAATCCCAAATATTTTGGGACGGAGGGAGTAATACACAAGAATTCAATGATTGAACATTTTGAAAGTTATAAGCATGCTCACATAATTGCAAAAAAGAACAAGTAAAAAGATTCAAATCAATACAAATGTTACCTAAATTTACCAGCATATTAATTATTTATGGTAATAATATTTAATGTACAAATGCGTATCAATAAATAGGAGTCTCACCTAAACTTACTAGCGTAATTAATGAAAGTTTCAATCTTTATGTTACTACTCACTAGTATCCAAATTCATTATTCAACCGATACTAAAAAAGAAACACAATTTATGTTTACAAACATTCATAGTAAAAATTGATAACAAAGTTAGAAAGCTACTTTGATGAGAGGAGAGCAAAAACCGAAATGCACTTATTTGACGTGCCACATCATTGCCACACACGCTATATCACATAAAAGACAAAAAAAGGTATTTAAGCAAAAAAAAAAAAGGGAAACATTATTTTCAATCAATAACAAATTAACAATCAAGCAACAAAACATTTTACGAAGATTTCAATAAAACTTTTATTTATTATTTTTTTAAAATACATTCCAACATTGACACGGATACATTCTAATTATTTTGTTAAAAAAAAAAAAATTTCTCTGGGACGAACAAAAATATCGACTCCATCTCCATGTGAATATGATTTAGTGTAATTTTAAAATAAACTAAACTTAGTCCACCTTTATATGGAGTTGGCCTTCCACATTATTCTAGCCTGTTTGCGAGCAAGAAGAAGAAATTGGATGATTGCCGAGCAAGATGAATCCCAACACAGACAAGCTTATACGACGCACAACCATGGTTGGAACTGTTGTTGCTGCTTACTTACTATTAACCGCTGATTATGGTCCTCAACCTAATGTTCTTGACCCTGTAAGCTCCCTCTTCTTTCCCATTTTCTTGTAATTTTTCTGTTAATTGTTGAAAAATGGGTCATAAAATTGCAAATTATGTGATACCCAGATGTCAATTTCTGATCTTTGTAGATAAAATTAGTTGCTATATGCTGTGATTGACAAAAACTACTTCCATGATTTGAGTTTCTATTTTTTATTTTTTTTGGTTTTGAGGGGGAAATTGATAAAGCTTTGATCTTTTAGGGTTTTGTTAATGAAATGGGTTTATATGTCACAATGAATTTGAATTTTGTAATACATGTTTTGCTTGAAAATGACTGTCAATTTACCTTCATTTTGAATTTTGTGAATGGAATTGAATTGGGTTATTGCCTTTGGTTTCTGGGCTACCTGCTATGTAATATCCGATTGTGTTCTTATTATGTGGCCTTGAGGGTAAGGATTGGTTACAGTTGTGGATTTGATTTGATGGCCGAACTCGGCTAGTTATGGAGGTCTCTGGTTTAATCTGAAGTGTTGGTAAATGATCTATTTGAGGTTTCCAAGTGGGTGCTCTTGATTGAGTGATGTATGGAGTAATTTGTTATCTATCTTGCATTTTAGGAGGCATAGTATGGTTTGTTAGAGTATTAGATTGTCAAGGGTTATCTTTCTTGCATTTAGCAGGATAATGTATGTAATTATAAAATAGGTTTTTGCCTAATTTTGGCATGAGAATCTCTGTAGACTGTAGAGTGTAGTGATTCAATTTAACATGCTCCAGCTTTACTTAAATCCTGAATATCTCGCTAGTTTCAAGCAGTTAGCCCAAGTTCTCAGAATATAGTTGCATCCCTTTGAATTGCTATTTTCTGTGAAGAAGAATGCTTTCAGTATTTTCGAAGGGAGTAAACACGCAGGTTACAGTCTCCTTGCTGGATGCTACAGCCCTATAGGCATAGAGCTGATGATGCTGTGACAAAACTGGCCGCAGTTTTAGAAAGTAAAAACAATTTTCATTAGCAGTGTCAATTTTTATGTTTATTCCTGTGATAACAATATTATTGTCCTGTTTCTCTTGCTCTTGTTGATTGGTTCCACTTCATCATGATTTCTGCATTGAGCCACTTTATCTTTTGTAGACAGCTGCTTACAATGAATGCTTAATATTCTCCAATTTTGGTCCCCTAATCAAAGGGGAAATTAAATTCTTAAAACCCTCACTATAGGCCAATGATGATCGATGAATATAAGCCTTTTGTGATGCTTTTGTTCACGTTAGATGTTCATTTTAACCACCTCAAAGTCAATTTTGTTGGTTCTTGATTGAGATGTACTACAACTTGACTTAAGTCAAACAAGATATAGGTAGTTTTCTGTACAGGAGGACAAATCTGCAGATCCCATAATATATCTGTATTGCAACTCCTGTGTTAATGCAAGAATTGGTTTCTAGGACTATTATAGAGCTTTCCATCTGACATTAAAATTCTTTTAATGCCATATGGAACTCTGCAAGAAGCTCTCTTGAGAAGAAAACAGAAATGTTTAAACATCTAGAAAGGTAAAGGCCTGTATATAATATTTGGGAGAACTGTTGTGGTTCACTGGTTCTGTGAGATATGAACTTACGACGTAAAAATAAAAGAACAAAATAATATGACTGCTTTTTGTAGTAAAATTCTCTATGCTACCTTATGACATGAGTGCTGCAATGCATAACCATCCCTAGACTAGAGTCTGATTTGTGTTCTTCATTGCATGCTGTTGTGCTTAGAGTTCTACTCACTTATTTTGAGTGTCTATAAACCTTTTTCTCTCTACTCTTTATGTTTATTAGGCTCATTGTTTTTGTTAAGAATTATTTTTTTTATAGTATTGAGTAATTTTCTGGTGGCAGATCAAGAACAAGATACAATCATTAGAACGTTCAGCAAAGGAGTTCATATTTGGATCAAAGAAGAAACAGGAGGAAAATGATGCTGGGAAGACAGAGTCGAGCAATGCCAAGTGAAATATGTAGTCTGTATATATGTTATGTGTCAGGATCCCGCTTTTGTTTTCTGTTTTAGCTTATGGTGCATTACAGATTTACAGTATAGGAACTCCTGTCATTAACTGATAGAGGCTTGGTAATTAGACTAATTACAAGTGTTTTTTATGTATGTTTTTGACTAGTTATATCAGTCTTTTTATTGTTGTTTTCACATAGTGGTATTTACCATATCAGTTTTGGTGTCTTACTAATTCAGAAAGTGATACAGAGTTCTCCTACATCAGTTTGAAGTATTTACTAGTATAATCTTTGTCAATATATGAAATTGGCTGTCAATTGAGAATTTTTATTTTAAGGAAAACGATCATGAATAGACCTCAACCCTCACAAGTTCTTGGTCCAGCATTTACAGGTCAAAACACTTGAGAGTAGGGTGAAAGGTAAGGGAATTCTCACACAAGTCACACCCAAACACTTTCTAACATTTGAGGTAAAAACTTTATCAAATGAGTCAATCCTAGTTTGATACCAATTGGGAGAAGTTGGGCATCAATAAAGTTTAGAATCAAAACATGTGTATGCCTAAATTATGTATTGGAGCCTCGGAGGTTGTATAATTATATCAAATATGAAATATCTAGCCACCCTTTAATGATGTTCTTTACCAAATTGAAGCCTTTCTAAGAATTAATAACTTATTCAATATTTTCTCTAACCTTACCAACTTATTTTTGAAAGTAAACCTTACAACCTTTACAAACTTTTTTTTTCGAAAGTAAACCTTACCAACTTAATCACACATTCACAAATCACAACATTCACAATGTGTTTCCAAAAAGATAATTTTAAGTTATGTTGTTAATTTTTACAAGTTCACCTAAATATAGTGTCTTTAATCAGCATTAAATTTTGTCAAAAAAAAAAAAAAAAAAATCAGCATTAAATGGAATAAGGGTAAACAATGTTAAGACTTATATACAGTCGGATGTATATATAATATACAGAATTAAAAGTAGCTAAAGAAATGTAGATATTGGCATTTTGGACAGGGGTGACTGGGTGAGTTGAAGGGACAAAAAAAATCTATAAAGTGTCCAATTTTGCATAATTCCATTTGAGCCCCATACCAAAAATAAGAATATACTCCGTACTACTGTAGTAGGTTAAACGTGTAAAAAAATCTAACACAATCAACGGTTTCTAACTACCCATTTCATCTTCCCCTTCCTCTCCTCTCTTCTCTTCACTGTACACCCCAGCTTTGAGCTCCAAGTTTCTCTGCCCTAATTCTCTCTGGTTATCTTTCAAACCCAAAAAAATTCCTCCAATGTCAAATTCTACACATCCAACCATAAACCCTCCTTCAAAACCACCTTTTTCTTCCAAATTTACCCCAAAATTCACCCTCAAAATTTCCCCTTTACCTCTTCCTTCAAAACCCACTTACAAATTCCCCTTAAAAATCCAATCTTTACATTCCCCAGATCCCCAAAACCCCCCCAAACCCCTAAATTTAATCTCAATTTTGAGATCTTTACCTGATTGGGCTGATGAAGTTCAAGAAAAGGGTATGAGAAAGAAGAGGGTTTTGTATAATCATCAAAATTGGGCTGAACATAGAAGCTCTCTTAGGCATGTAAGACATCTGATGTCTTCACTTTCTTCAAGGGTCATTGTTTCTCTCATCCCACCTGTGCTTTTCTTCACTTCTGTGGCTGTTATTGTTTCTGTGTATAATACAGCTGTGACTATGAATTTGTTGCCTGGATTTTTCCCTGTGTTGAGGGCTTCTACCTTGCCTTATCAGCTTACGGCGCCAGCCTTGGCCCTTCTGCTGGTGTTTCGAACCGAGGCCTCGTATTCGAGGTATGAGGAAGGGAGGCATGCTTGGACTAAGGTCATTACTGGGGCTAGTGAGCTTGCTAGGGAGGTTGTTGCTTATGTGGATGATTTGAATGATGGGGTTATGAAGAGGAGTCTTTTGCAGTACATCATGGCTTTTCCTATTGCCCTTAAGGTTGATCATCTATTGCTTTCTTATGTATTAGTTTTTCACTTTTTCATGCTCATATTTTTCAGCCTATTTTGAATTTGAATTTACATCTGTATGACCTTATCAGCTTACGGCGCCGGCCTTGGCCCTTCTGAGTTCTGATGTTGTGTCTTCAATTGGTTAGATAAAAGGGTGTTTGTAGGTTGAGTGAGAATTTATGTGATGAATTGATGATTTGTTGTTAAGGAGATTAACCTGTTTCTGCTTTATAACCCAATGCAACTCAATGTTTGTGTGAAATGTTGGTAATGAACCATAAAACTCCAGTAATAGAGTATTTTATTTGGTGATACTTTGTGCTGTATGATTTCTGTGGTTTAATTAGGGGATTTGGATTTCTGTAGTGCCATTTGCTTTATGACTCCGACGTTAGGCGAGATCTCCAAAGTGTCCTTGAAGCAGATGATCTAGCAGTAGTTCTCAGTTCAAAGCACAGGCCGCATTGCATCATTCAGTTCATGTCTCAGAGCCTCAAGTTATTGAACTTAGAGGAGCATAAGAGGAACGCATTGGTAAATTTCCTCCCTGAATCATTCATCTATATTATTGAACTATGATGAAATAGGTTAAGTGGTCTCAACAAAGTAACAGGTATGCTATAGGCTTTGGATGCTGTGGTGGATTTCTTGATCCACACAACTAAGTGAAGGTAATATTTCAAAAATTCAAATTCTTAATTAAGCACTTGCAAAAATGCAGGATTCGAAGTTATCCCGTTTCCATGATGGAATTGGTATTTGTGAACAAATAGTGGGCACACCCATTCCTCTGTCATACACCCGGCTAACCTCAAGGTTCCTCGTTCTTTGGCATTTAACATTACCTGTCATACTATGGGATGATTGCCACTGGATTGTAATTCCTGCCACGTTTATTAGCGCAACATCTTTGTTCTGCATAGAAGAGGTATTCCCCATCCCCTTGTTTTGAAACTGATATGTGATGTTGCATACTTGCATATCCTTCATAAAGAATACTGTAACTTATGTCTTTGTTGTTTGGTGGATCATGCTTATGCATTCTCATGATTTTGACGTCTGGTGTTCAAAATCTGTGTAGGTTGGTGTGCTTATAGAAGAGCCCTTCCCTATGCTTCCACTAGATGAATTGTGCAAGGTGCTTTGTACCAACATTCAGGAAGCTATTGCAGTCCAGAAGACAATTCAAGTGCAGGTCGCTGCTAAAAGGAAGATCCATTACAACAACCATTCCACAAATGGTTGGCCAGCCTCAAGGGGTGATAAGATTTGATGGAACTTGCCAACTTTCCCAACTTATGCATGCTAGCACTCTTCAGTATACCCAATGAGAGTCCTTCGACTGAAACTATTATGCAACTTCCAAGCACCCAGATGATGCAATGTAAACTGAATTTTTGTTCCGAAAATATCATTTGAGAGTGTTATAAAAGCTCAAAGGGACGATTACAGAATAGAACAATGGGGATATTTCTGCCATTTGATGGTTTTAACAGCCAACAAGGAGTCTTGCTTGTACTCTTGTAGACATACATGTACAGAAAGTAATGATCTGTAGTCATTTGTATATCAGTATATATGTAGTTAAAGCACATGCTGCTTCTTTTTGTAAAATATTTGACCCTTGGAATAAATATATTAAGTTGAGTTCTGCGCAAATACACTCATTATTCCCACAATATTTAAACATTTCTGTTGTATGAGAAATTGAAATTTTTGGTCAGTAGTACAAAAGTATACTCTGAAGCAATAACTTGAGCTCATCAATCTCTGATCTCTCAGGACTCAGGCTCTCTACACATTCAGATGCTAAGGAGTGTAAGGAGCATGCAGCAACTGAGTAAACTGTATTTTCATATTATTATCATCAAAGAATGAACAAATATCAAAAATACCCCTCGAGCAATACACTGTCACGTACAATCCTAGTTGATAAGTCTGTCAACCTTTTACTTCGGGCAACACTCATCATTGTCGAGCAAGAAGTTTCATTCCCTGCCCAAAGAGGCAGAACCTCCACTACCACCTTCTGCATTGAATTTGTTAGAAATCCTTCCTCCAGAATCTCTTCCAGCCCATCAAGCTTCCCTCTCAAATCTATCAATACATTGCACATTCCTTGCCTACTACAATACTCCAGAATAGCATCCAAACTTATGTCATCCATAACCACTGTTTCGATACCCTTCTGAGACAATTCTGAGGCTAGAGTTACTTCTTTGTCAGAAAATATAATTGCTTTACAGTTTGCTTCAGCAGGCAGATCGAGATTCCAGTTAAGAAAATCAGATTTCTTGGCTATAAAAATGTGTTGAGGTTGGTGGGCATTTGGTTCTTGTGATGCAAGGAATGACAGCTCTTGGTTCATCGTGGTGGTTGCATGTATTACCGCATCATATTCTTGAAGTAATTGAGAGTAATATCCTCCACACTCGGTGACTTTTTCCCCCAGCTGATCTAAAAGCACAGCATTTGTGGAGATGGTATATCTGCAAGTCAGTCAGTAGTAACCATTAGCCAAAAATGCAAGAAATCGTGAAGATAAACCAAAGAAACCTAGTGAAATTCTAATGTACCATTTATTCAGAAATACAATTATACAAATGAAGTAATATTAAAAGCACACACTCATCCACGTATTAGCTAGTAAAAAAAATTTACCATGACTGAAAAAAACCATTTCACCACCAAAGGGAAACACATAATGCATAACCTGACATTTCCTATAAATTTTTTACACTTGTATGTAACTATGTAAGAACAATAAGCTCATGGATTCATGTACATATGTTGCTCAGTGCAAATCATAAACCATTACACATTATATTTCCACTAAAAGATACAATAAGATGTACCTGAGAGTCACAAACGGCTTTCCAGAAATCATTTTGTGGATGAATGCTTCATTGAGCTTCTTACACAAATCTTCCTCTACTCCAACGACGACTTCAATGCCTGCTTCTTTAAGTCTATTAATCCCCCGTGAAGAAACAATGGGGTTTGGATCCACCATACCAACCACAACTTTCTTCACTTTGGCTTTGATCAAAGCCTCAGAACAAGGAGGTGTTTTTCCATAATGATTACAGGGTTCCAAGGTCACATAAGCAGTTGCATTCTCAGCTTGTTCCCCAGCATCCCTCAATGCAAATACCTTCAAAATCTCACCTTAACATAATTAAAAACTTCAAACAGAAACTAAAACTGTCACGACGAAATGATGAATAAAGACAAGTATACTCTCCACATACACAACTACAACAGTATAACATCCAATAAGCACCATGAACAAATCTCCTAACCAAAGTTGACCATCAATTCAAGCATTTCAGGAGTACTGCTATGAACAAAATTAGCATTATACCACACTCCATTTACAAAAACATACCATATCGTACAAACAGGAAGAACCTATAAAGGCGAAGGAAGTGATCAATTAGTACTAATTAATTACCTCAGCATGAGGCTGTCCTGCTTTAGGATGAAACCCTTGACCAACAATCTGACCATCTTTAACAATAATACAACCAACCATAGGATTAGGACTAGTACACCCAATTGCCTGTTTAGCCAGCTCCACACCCTTCCTCATATAAAATGCATCTTCTTCATTTCCACTCTCAAAATCAACCCCAATTGTATAACTAAAACAAACCCCAGATACCCTTTTGCCCATATTCAAATACCCATTGTTGAATTTTGAATCAAATTCGGGTTTTGGAAAATAACCCGTATGTTTTTGTGAATGGAGCACCCATTTGGGCACACTGCAAAACCCAGAAACAGATTTGAAAGCTGAAATTGATGATTTGGTGCAGTGAGGTGAGAGAATAGGTGGATTGAAGATGGGATTTGGGTTTGAAAGAGTGAGAAAATTCATTGTTTTGCTAATTAGTACAGTGATTAGCTAATGTAGAGAAGGATTAATTGATAATTATGTGAATGAGAATTGGCTAAAATAAGTTGAATTGATCAGCCATTAAATGAAATTATCACTAAAATAAAGCTTAAGTATTTAAGAGAGAGAAATGCATTGCAATTTTACAAGAGATACCTGCAAACAGCAAGAAGCATGCCGAGGGAAGCAGCAGTTGAAGGAGGCTTAGAAACGACGTCGTATAGTTGTCTAGTAGGAATTGCAAATTGGTCTCACAACTTCACAAGTCATACGGAGTAATACAAAATTATTAAATTACCTACTCACTAATTATTCTCTCTATATTAATTCAAAGTAAGGTCTTGTTTGGTTTATGTATGAAATAAATTTCCATGAAAAATTCTAATTACTGGGAAATTATTTTCTTTATAAACTTCTTAAAAATTACACAAAAAACTTTTGGTTTTCATATGGTAAATTTTGTGAGATGTTGAAATTGTCATAAAATTGTGATTTCCTCTATTTTACTTTTTATTGTCAACCAAACAACAAGAAAAAAAAAAAAAAAAAAATTCATGAAAAATTTGCTCTTTTTGATTAGTAAATTTTATAAAAAATAAATGTCTGAGCCCGGGTTCGAACCGGGGACCTCTAGTGTGTGAGACTAGCGTGATAACCGACTACACCACCCAGACATGTTTATTCTTTTGAAATGAAATAACATAATATTTCAACAGTTATACTATCCGCAAATTTAATTTGACTTTTGAAATCAAAGATGAAAAAAAACCTGAAGAAAGGAGCGCTTACCATAAAAATTCAAATCAAAATCCAAAAATTCGCGAAAATTGAAAGCCCTAACGTCAGCCAAATAAACCAGTAGAAACTTGAGAGAGAAAGAAGAGAGAGAAAGAGAGCGAGTCACCGGTGACTCGGAATGGACGACCAGCTCAGAATCGGTGAGTCAACTCGCGAAGACGAAGAAGTGGAACAAGAAGAAGATGAAGAAGAAACAGTGAAGCTTGAAGAACAAGTTAGAGAAATGGCAAAGAAAGTTGAAGGATACAGATCTACTTTGCCTGATCACCTTAAATCGTGTCTTGCTTCTGTTTTGTCTTCTCAGCGTCCTGCTTTCTCTCTCTTTGATGATGTTTCTGAACCCGGTCCTTCGTGCGGGCCCCACTCAGGTCACTATTTTTCTCATTTGCTAAATTCTTTCGATTTTGGAAGTTGTGGTTTGTGTAATGTGGTGCTGGAGTTGTTGTGAATTTTGATTTTGAATTTTCAGTTGAACCATTTAGGTTTTTCCTTGAGAATTTTGTTGTGGTTCGATTGCTGTTTTCGATTTTGAATTTAAAGTGAGTTTGAATTTTAGGTGGAAGGTTATTTTGGAGTTTCAATTTAACTTAATGTTGATATTATTGTGAAAGTGGTGATTTTTAGGGTTAGGAAGTGATTAAGGGGTTACATTTTGCTGAAATTTGCAGAAAATTTCGTAAGAGTGAGTAATCTGTGTGGTAGTAGGGTTGGTGATGTAGTTATTGAGCTCTCTTTCGTGATATTTGAAGCAGTTTGTGTTGCCATCGTGGTTCCGTGCATTGTTTGATGCAAGAAAAGAGAGCTAGGAAATTTGACAAGGGGGATGTTTGTGTAAGGCTGTATGAATTAGGGATAATTGTCTAAAAATGAAGTGTTAGGGGTTGTTTTGAGTGCGCCTATGGTGTTTTTGTGTTCTGCTAAGCATGAGATGGCTTTGGTGGGACTTAGCTTGTGTAATTATGCACCTAATTGTAGACTAAGAACGATGCCTGAAAGTAGGTAGTGTAGAATCCTTACAAATGGTGTTCGGAGCTATGGAGATATGTTGGATTTACGAGTTGTTATTGAGGCTTATTGTTCCTGTCCATGTACAATTCTGTGAAACCACATGGTAGCGTGTTTCTGGCTTTTTATACTCTACAAAGTCTTTGGGCATATTGCTCCGAGTTTAAGTTTCTAGGTTAATAGATATGCACCTCTCTTCTCTCCATTCAATTTGTTGGTTCTTAGCCTTTCACCCTATGAATCTTTAGTTGGCCGAAAACCTGAGACAATGTCAATGCTAGGTTCAAGGTTTTGTTATCCCTGTTCGGAGTGTCAGACAGGCCAGGAGATTATTCTATCCTTTAACTTTTGGCCATGAGTAGGTGATGAAAATGAGTCAACAAAATCAAATGCCTTTTGTGTTCTTTGATTTAGAAAGCCTCTCTTCTAAAACTCCATTAATTTATCCCGAATATGTACTCTCTGAGTTTCTGACAGAAGGAGATTATGTAAATAATTATATTACTGGCACATATCAATAGCCTTTTTTAAGTTGTCCTGAATCCTAATGCATTTTACATTTGCAACCTTGGTAGATGATCTCTCAATATTACACTTATCTAGCGCAGTAAAGTTTATCCTAGTAGCTACCAAATCCTAGATATTGACAAAGTGATCATGAGTAATAAATTGCATTTTCATCAACAGGTTTTTTAGCCTTATGAAAGTTATGTCTGATGCATTTTGTAGCCTTTGCTATATGACATCTCAATGAAACAATTCAATGCAAACCATTTGCATGTAATGAAATTAGGTTGAGAAGGTACTAATAATGGTTAATATGGGGGTGTGGTGGTAAGACCTCCGGTTTATGTTGCTTGCCTGCTGTTATTTTAATAGCAATCCTTTGATTGTGGTGATCCACATGTATTTGCTTCACCATTTCTTTACATACGAGAAGAAGAAATAAGAAATTGTAAAAAAAAAAAAAAAAAGTTTACACATTTGGTTCTTTTTTTTTTTCCTCTTGAATTCACTCACGCTTCAAAGTCTGTTACCAATTAGTTGCCTTTATGGCCAGCTTATGTGTTCACCGTATTGAGTGTCGACCATCTTTCTCTGTTTACAGGTGCAGGATCTAGCCATGGTAACTCCAGTACACAGTTAGAAGTTGATGACGGTGAAAAAACCCCTGATGAAGTTCAATTGCTTAGAGATAAGATTTCTAGTAACATCTCTGCAATTCCTAAGGTTTTAAAAAGGATGAATGAATGCATTTCTAGAATCGACAAACTTGTTTCTTCCAATGAAACCATTCATCCTGTATTCAAAAGGAAAAAGAGTTGATATACTTTGTTGTCCTACTTTATCTTCTAGTTAGTAAGGGATTTGTTGTGGGTAGCAAATTTCATTTTGTACAATGATTTTATGACACTAGGCAATAGGGTTTCACTGACAGGGAGCTGTATAACAAAAAATTGTATCTCCATTTTATGTAATTGAGTCACAAGCTAGTCCAATTTAGTTAATCTTAATTCATATTTTTTTCTGGAAATTGAGCATGTGGAGAAAAAACTTATATCTATTTGAAGGCTTGAAGCCCATTCTATTTGTTTTGTGTTTTCCACTTCACCATTTAGCTACTAGTGTGTTCATTGCCAAATACCTTGGAACAACTGGTACTGGCGTATTGCTGAATCCTGTATGCCCCGCCGGAGAGAACTGTTCGGTGCTTCCAGGGAGTTTTTCCAATTTAGGTACTTTCTTCGATCCTTCCTGCAAATTCTTCTCAATACCAACTGTCAAGGTTGTTTTTTGGTGGTTATTGATTATTTTCTTCAATTTTCGTGGTAGCTAAGTATGATATTTCTTTTGCAGGTTGATGGCTTTGATTGTGATATTCTTAGATCTTCCACATGGCATTGTATCTGATGGTCGTGCAATGGGGCTTGTATCGGCCTGGTATCATTTGATTTGTTGAGCTTATGACGCTGTTTAATTTTTAGTTTTCTTAGTCCTTTATAAGAGTCTGCTTATTTCTCCATTTGACTTGTAATATACATAGTTCAAACAACATCAAGGTGATTTTGAAAACATCCTGTATATATGACCGAAACTTTGGTATTCATGTCATTACCCATAGCAATGGTTAGATGTTGATAAGCTGCATTAGTCATTGAATAACTCTTTCCCCTTTCCTTTATCTTATCTTAATGTACTCGTGTGTCATGTCCCAAAATAAGCTTCTCACCTTACATTTTAGGGTGCTCCTAAAAAAATTTGGCACTTTTCTTAACCCTTTCTTTACTACTTGTCTTATATCTTTAATTTTTATTTCATATTATAAGATACTCTTAATCTCCATGCCAATCCCAACTCGAAGTGGTTTAGATAATATTGAGAGGGTGGAGTATCATTTTGACAGCTTTGGTATAATGCAACTACTAAGCTTAAAGTTAGTTCACAGGTGAGAAGACATGATTCACTATTTCTCTTGCTTTTTCGAGAAACTTAATTCAGAGGCAGCAAATTTCCCTACTGAATGAGGATATAGGATCCAAAATTGCATTAAATAACCCAAATGATGATATACTAGGTATTATTTACCATTACGAATTTGAAATTGGTTGATTACAAGGACTTGAAAAGTCCCATGGTAAAATACAAACATCAGAGTAGATTTACATGAAAAGAATTCAGATTGACACACTTTTACAGCAAATTACATCATCATCACAGGAAAAATTTGGTATAGATGAGCTTGCTATCACTCTATCCGCATTACCAACGTTGCCAATGTCCAAAACAACTGCGCTGAGCCCTTTGCCAATTATGAAGATTTTTCTTCCAATAGCAACCATCTGACATGGTGGTCTTGGAAGGAGAGGCGAGAGCCTACACAAGGGAATCCATTCCCTAGTGTTTTTCTGCCACATCATCAACTTGCTTCCCAAACTCTGGTCCAGTACATAGAGTGTATCATCCACAACTACAGTAGGGCCCTGCCAACCTGATGCCATATCAGCATCTGTTTGTTGCCACTTGCCACTCGATGGATCGTAGACAGCTATATACACATGAGGTGGTATGGTTGAAGTGCGAGATCTTATGTAGATTTTTCCGCCCATCACTACAGAATCCTCTATGTCAAGGATGATATTTGGGTCTGAATGTGAATCCCAAGAGTTTGTTCTAGGATCATAAGTGTCCCAAGAATGTGGATCACTCGTCTCTAAACCATATCCGCCTATAGAATAAATCTTCCCGTCCATATTAACACAGCCAAAATAGCACCTGAAAGAATAAACTAGAATATAAGTTCGATTTCCAACATTCCTTTTCTGTATGTGTCACTAAATCAGAAATTGTGTATATAAAGCACAGATATTCAACTCAACAGCTAAGGCAGGAAGCAATTCAAATTCTATATAAAAACATGATCTTTTCAACCAGCTCCAATTTTTAGCAGGCATGAGATAGCAAATTAACAAGGCCATTATGAGTGGTTCATTGTGCAAATTCCAAAGAAACTCCCAGAAGATCCAACCACTCTCAATGAAATAAAGCAATTCTATTCAATTCTCTTCCACTGAACTATAGGTCAGTTACATTCATATTCAACAAGTTACCATCCACTCATACCTTATAAAAGGCAAAACCATAGTTTTTGATCAGCAACACAGGAAGAACATAGCACATTATATGGATAAACGAAGTATAGCATAAAAAATCTTGGGTATGGATTCGATGTCTGACATCATAAGAATTTGTAGCACAGATATGTTGGTTCAAGGTTTTATATGGACATGGAAACATATAATCCACAATTACATACTGGTATATGTTTAACTAATAAAATGCATCACCAAAAGCCAAAAGGGTATGCATATACCTTGCAGTTGACATGGAAGGTGCTTCACTCCAAGTATTCATGGCCACATCATAGCAATAAACTTCATCAGTGGCATCCTCAGACCAACCACAACCCCCTAAAAGGTATAACTTTTTGCCAATTGTTTCAAAGGCCATTCCTTTTCTCTTTAAACATCGAGGCGGAATACCAGAAATAGACTTCCAACATCCCTGTCTAGAAGAGCTAGGGTCTAACACATAGCAGCTCACTTGATCAGTACTCTTGTCTCTGCACAATGCATATATCCAAGATTCGCCTAAATTGTTCTTTTGGCGATAATCCCACCACTCTTCACTGCACACCAAGTCTTTCCACCTCTTTGAAACACACTTCAAAACTGTATGGTACTTCCTAGGAACCCTTGCCAAGCAAAACAAAGCAATGTCATCCGGAAGTCTGCTTATCAGAGGCAAATGACTCGATTCGGTGTCGCTGTATGAGCTAAAACTACTTGCTGATGGGTCCATGATCATGTTAACATGTAATCCTTCTACGCAAAAACCAAATCGACAATAATTAATTTCCCAAAATCAAATCAATAATACAGATATTTGCAATTCCAGGATATTAAATAATAAACAATAATTAAAACCCATGATCTATCAAATTATATCAACAAATTAACAAATAATCAATCAAATTAATCAAAACAAATGCCCATTTTGTGATTAATTGTACTTTTTAAAGCTGAAAGACGAAAAATGAGGATTAAAACAGGTTAGAACATAACCCTAATTTGAATTAATTAAATCGAAATCAGGAATCAAGATACACACAACATTACCCAGTTCCAGGATCACCATTGAAGAAAACAAAAACAAAGAAAATAATGAAATACTGGAAATGAAATCATAAAATTAATTTTTTTTGTAAAAAAAAACCCTACAATTTTACAACTGATTTAGGGAAGAAATCAAAGACAAAACAAAATTTTAAAGCAATTGAATGATGATAAATTCTGTTATACTAACCGTTGGGGAAATTCGTAATTGGATCCAAGAATTCTTTAACTTGATTGAAGGAAAGAAAAATGGATCTAGCAAAATCTTCAAAATGGCATCACGTTGTATGAAATACCCACCTTAGTTTATACTGTACGATAATCATTCTAGGAGGGAAAGTTAAAAAAAACGGCTATTTCACCAAATATTATTGAGCACTTTAATAATTCACCAAATGTCAAGTTTTAAAAATTCACAAAATGCCACCGAGTTTTAAAAAAATGTACCGAGTGCCTGACTGAAGGCCGTTAGTTGATTGCCAGTGTCCGTTAGTTGACCCCACCACTTGCCACGTGTCACCTTCTGATTGGTCCGTTATTAATAAAATATATATTTAAACGAAAATTAAAAAAATTAAAACAAAAAAAATTAAAAAAAAACAAAAAAACAAATGGGGGCTATGATGTGTCATACAACCTCTTACCTAGGTATTGTGATGTAGTTAGAGGCTTGAACCCTAACTCATTAGCCTTTGTGCCCGGAATCCTCCAAATCACCCAGAGAGAGCCCTTTAGCATTTAGTAGCATCTTCATTTCCTTAAAGCTGCTTTGTATGGGTTACTTAGTGGTTGCATAAGCCTAATAGGTATTGATGGAGTTCACTTAAAAGGAAATTATGGGGGATGCCTGCTGTCAGTTGTGGCATTGGATGCCAATAATGAAATATTTCTAGTGGCTTGGGCTATTGTAACAGGGGAGGACACTAAAAGCTGGAAATTCTTCATATGGCACCTGAAAACGCATTAAAGGATAGTGGCAGGGGTGATGAGTGGTGTATTATGTCTGATAGACAAAAGGTAACACTTTACATCAATTTTTTTTGCTTTTTATCATTATTTGATCACTACCAAAACTAATTTGTTTCTTAAACGCATTGTAAGGGTATTAATGTGGCACTTACTGACTTGTGACCAAAAGTGGGGAGAGATATTGTTGCAAACATCTTGTGAAGAATTTTAAAGGACAATTTCCAGGCTTGCTTATGTTCCAACTGTTCTTGAAGGCTTGTGGAGCTTATAACCCTTTCACATTCAGGAAGGCAATGCAAGCTCTACAGAAAGCTAATCCTGAAGCATTGGTCTGGCTAGCAAATGTAGGACCACATGCATTCAACCCTGCTATCAAGTCTAATGTGTACAAGTCAAATTTTGTAAAAAGTTTCAATGCAACATTGGGCATTGATAGATGCAGACCTGTGCTTACTTTGCTTGAAGGTATCGTCATAAACTCAATAAGCTCTAATATTATGTAAACACATAAGTACACCCTTAATACATTTGCTTCCCGGTGCAGGTGTTAGAAGGCTTACAATGGTGAGAATAGCAATAAGAAAAGAACAATGTGAGAGTTGGAGGGATGATCTCTGTCCAAATATCATCAAGAGACTCCAGGTTATTATCCATGAGTCGAGAACTTGCAAATGTTTGTTGTCTGGAGATGGAGAGTTTGAGCTCTTAGATGGCAAATATGTTCTGCTAGTGAACTTAAGGGAGAAGACATGTGCTTGTAATGCATGACAGTTATCTGGGTTTCCACGTAAACATACAATGAGAGTCATTTATCACTCAAATGATGATCCTCACAAGTATGTAAGTGAATGGTACTCAGTTAGAAGGTACAAGCTAACTTATAGGAACAACATTAAGTCCATCCCTGATGTAGAGCAGTGGCTAGATAACACCTAGCCAGACATTAACCCCCCACCTATGAAAAGAAGAATTGGTAGGCCAACAAGAAATAGAATGAGGAAGGAAGGTGAGCAAGCAAAGGGAAAGAGGTCTAAGACTATTAGATGCAGCAAGTGTGGAAACTTTGGCCATAATATGCAGACATGTCAAGGTGTATTATTTGGAAAACAGAAAGTTGCAATGGCTGCAGGGCAGTAGAAGACTAAGCAACCTCCTAAGCCAAAGAAAGGTGTTTCTCTCTCTCAACCAGACCCAACTACAGTTGCTTCTACATCATAGCCAACAAGAGCTTCAACGAGAGCCAGGAAGGGTGTTTCTGCCTCCCAACTAGTTTAGAAGTTTATATGTAATTAGATCATGACAATAGTTTGTATGCAGGACAAGTTTTTTGAACTTATTTGCTGTTATTAGTATGTAGTTACTAGGTTGTTATACAGTAACTTGAGTTTTTTTAGAGCAATGATGTGTAATTTCTAAGACAAGTTTTAAGTCGTGATGTTATATTTTGAAACAAATTTGAGTAATATTGTAACAATTGAAAGCAACAAAATTTCAGAAAATTTCTCCACTTTTTTATTCATCATTAAGGATCGTTGCTTACATTCATAAGGCATAAAGCCAAGTACACAATAATGCATACATCACTTAGAAACAACAAACAACAACACAAAATACAGAATGAGTGCCATTTTTGCAACAACTTTCATAAATTTTGCCAATTTTTCTACTTTATCCTTTGCAGCAGCATTTGGACCTTGTTCAACTTCAATTCCTCCCAACCCTGATAATATCTTCTTCTTTTAATCAAGCAAAATAATCGCAAGCCCTGAATTTAAAGAACAACCTTCGTGGATTTTTCGTGGTTTCAGAAACCATGACAACAACCACTTTAGGAGGAACACAGTTGTAGGAAACGTGCTTCACCCAAGCAATCTTGTCGTCCATAGTGATAGCCCGCATTGTTACAGACGAAGAACCAAACTTAGCCATGAAATGAGAGAGATAGAGAAAAGTGCGAATTGCAGAGGTTGAAGATGAATTGGGAAATTAGGGTTTTAAAAAGGGGGAAATCGAAAGGAGGCCTAGGAGGGAAATCAGAGAGGAATTTTTGTAAGGGTATTAGTGTAAAAACATAATCATTTAACCAAGATTAACTGTAGTTAGTCTTTTAATTGTATTAAATTATCAGTAATGTCACCATTAGCTTAGTTTAATAAATTGTTGATTACCATTGGTAAAATCTTATTTCACCCTTTACCAAAGAGAAAAAAATGAAAATTCGATGTTACCAATGAGAATTTCCCAAAAAATTATAATACAAGCAATAATCATTTGCGTATTATAACAATTGCCTGGTTGAATAACGCTTCTTATGATAACATGGCAGTTTCCTTTGCATGCTATATATTTACAGGCAAGGAATTATAGCAAGATTTTGTCTGTGAACTTCAATATTTGGCTCTGAGAGCTCTGCCTGGAGTTCTGGCTTTTCTAAGTAGACCTTCTTGAGCCAGTGATACAACAAGCTAGATGCAAGATACCAAATTAGTCACGAACAAGAAGAAAATACAGTAGGATTTATGTGGTCAGATAACGAATTAAGATTTACCTCTCCCTTCCTATTGAACATTCGACCTGCAACTAATCCTCGTGCAGAATGAGCAGATGGACTCTCCATCTATAATAGAAGGCACATTATTATATAACGGAAAACCTAATACAAATTCAAACGACAGAAGTGTCTGTTGGGCTTACCACAAATAACAGCCAATCATCAGCTTTTACGGGCATATGGAACCACATCCTGACAGAGAAACCAAGCAAATGTTTTGAAAAATTAGTCATCTCTCGAGGCAATCACAAACTGAAATGACAAACTAACAGAGACTTGCGTGTATATAATCGTACTAATCTACATAGTTGGACACGGGGAAACGTATGATATCATCCTATCTTATACGAAGTTAAATAAAAAGAGCTTTTTACCACAATTCTCTAAAACTTCAGTATTCAAATTCTACATTCCAACAGTCCATCTTGATATAATTACAATAAAATAAAAACATTGAAGACAATTCCGCAATAGATACTATAACTATCTAATTGTCTTTCTTCACCAAGGATAGATTCCTTGCATTAGCACGGATACATTTTAGTACAGATAATCTCCTAGTCTGAAGAAAAAATCATAACCTCTTCATCACTCACCTAAAGCTTCACATGGTATTGAAGATAACATGTCCACTTTATGAGATCTAATGAAAGCAACACATCTATAGTGGAACTACTAAGAGCACAGTTCAGGAAATAAATAACATGAAAACTGCGACTAAAACCAATGAATTAATGATAGCAAAAGCACAGGCGAAGGTGCAAATGTAGGCTGGGATCAACAGATTAATCTAAGTTATATACCAGGGGGAAACAAATATAAAGCCAAAGATTCATCTACTAAGAGGCAGTTACTCACGTATGATTCAAGCTTAGAACACTGATCTTCAGACCCCTGTCACGATGAGGATTTGAGCTGACTTCAATAAACAACAGGTCCGAAGCATAAGCCACCACACATCTGCAGAATAATTGAACTGTATAAGATAACATCGGCATAAGAAGCAATTGTACACTTCTACATATTAGTGGACATGTTCCTTGGAGGAAAAAAAAGTACTCCCTCTGTCCCTTAATTAGATGCCTACTTCTCTTTATTATGTGAGTAATAAATGCTAGAAATAGGCATCTAATAAAGGGACGGAGGGAGTAACAAAATGTAAGAAAATAAGCATTCTAGTAATGGTCAAGAGAGGCAAAAAAAATCCAAGCAGATAGCATTCACATCTAACAAGCAATATTAAGTCTATAATTGCATAGTTTTCCACAGTGCAACTGAGCCTAATATACTAAATGATTTGCCTCATCAGCAGCATACTATTAACCAATTAACTGTAAATTTTTCATTGAAAGTTCAATACGACAGTCATCATGTGAATCTACAGGCTTTCACAATTAACGCAGAGGCCTTTACGATTTTCATGATCTACTTTCACCACACTGAATGACATTAAGAAGTCCAGGGACCAGTAAGTAAAGAGCTACTTATGCTTCTTTGCAACATCTATTCCATTATACAAAGAGTTTGGTGTCTTCACCAGTCCAACAAATGAGGGAAGAACATCGGTCAGATAGCAATGTTGCAGCAGTAATAAACATCATGGTTTTCAATTTTCAAGCCAATTTGGAGCATGAGAAATTGCTGAAGCTTTGCTTAAAAATTACTTTGTATATGTGAAGTTATAGGGATGGTGAATCTCAATGTTGATGATTTTAATTATGGAAGCAGATATGGACAAAGGACATCACCAATGCCATAGCATCAGGTACCACATAAAACTCAAGTTAGTCAGAACTCTGAAGCATGAGAAATTGCTGAAGCAATAATCAAGCATTATTAAAGTTGAATATGATGCACCACAGTACAGAATTCCAATCTCCAAATAAAAAAATCACTCAGATTTCGACATGTCAGGTTGGAACTAGAACTGCAAAAAGCTTACACTAACTTGCCCCTTCATTGTCTCTGTTGCCCTGTTGGTACCCCTAATTTCTAAACCGTCTAGCTTAATTTTATGCAGCCTTGACTAATACGAGTAGTTCTGAGTCAAGTGTTTCAGGGAAACCATAGGATTAGTCCAAAACTAATCACCAAATCCTCTTTAATGCTACCATCAAAATCAGCTTGCGACATTAGCTCCTTTTCACTAGATTCTGTAGCATTGCTTCACAAACCATATCCTCCATCAGCCATCCAGTAATCATGGACATTGCCAAACAGTCCAGACCTTATATGCATTATGTTTATAATTTAATAGCATAAACGAGAGGGAATGGGCACAAAAGCAAATGCATTAAAAGACCTCTTAAAAATTAAAAAGGTGCAAACACAGATAGTGTTCCTTCTTGTTTTTCAGCAGACACATCAGAAGCCCGAGACTAAATTTAACCCCAGCCTTAGCACATCTTACCTATGCAAAGCCTGGTCATCTGACAAAATTCCTTTAGCCCTGAACCAATACCTCAATCTGCATAAAAAATATAACAAGAATCCAATACAAGTTAGGTATATTTGGATAGAATACCTGCATTCAGTTAAATAACAATTTTATAAAGAAAAGGATATTAACTTTGCAGGGGATTTCGTCTGATTCGTAAAAGTATTTGGATCACAAAATCGAATCTCTATGGGCCAAGGAGTAAACTCTGACATGGCCACTTTGTTGCGGTAGGTCCTGTCACAATCAACCAGATATATCATAAGCAAGAATGTTATGTACAAATGATGCAGCATTGCTTCAAGAATAAGAATGCATTTGTTTGGGAGGAAAACAGTTGTTAGGACTTAGGAGTAGGAAAAAATATATATTTCCAAGGGTGAAAAATCATTCTCGCTAGTGTGAAAACATTTAACTTTTTTAAGAGGGAAGCCACACTTTCCTATATATTCCCTACCTTCCTCTTTTTCTCCTCCCATCCATCATTCCCTTCCCATATTCAATTTGCAAGGAACCAAACAAAGGCAAACTAGCAATTTTGTGATCCCCAGAATTATATTTTCTGCTGAAAATCATTTTCAACTGAAAATATTTTTTTTGTCAAAGCTGATGTACCCCAGGTAACATTCTCCTTTTTGATTTCATCTTTCAACTAACCATCCAAGCTAATGCGCCAGATTACCCATGACCTTGTCAGACTGACTGGATGAGAGAAATGTTTACTCTTCAAAGCATCATCCGAGTTCCAACCAAGCTCATCCAGTCGCCCCCCCCCCCCCTTCCTCTTTCCAATTTCCGAGAAAAAATAAAACATATGACTGCTAACAATGGGTTGCAGAGCACAAAGAGAGTGAGTGGATATCTACAAATGCACATATATCGATATAATGAGCTCAGTAATTCAATCAATAATGTTCAAACCTGGAGAGTCGGGGATCAATAATACGCTTTTCACGTAGCTCTTCCAATGATAATAGCTGAAATGCAGGGGAACATATAGAATCAGAAAAGTAATACCCCAGAATTTTGCTATGCCAAAGAAAAGCTTATACACAATACCGTATCTGGAGCTGGTACCAAGGGCATAACTGCATCCTGGTGCTCAAACCCTAATTCTTCTTTCTGTGGAATTAAGAAAAACTAAGCATGAAGCCCAGGAACATGTGAATTGTCATCTAACAGTTGTCACTTATCAGGCCAATCAATCAACTTTTATCTCAGAGACTCAGACAATTAGGGCAGCAAGTAAATTTTCAGTATCACATGACCAAAAAGCAACTTAGGTTGATAGACACCGTCAATGGAAATCACTAGGCCATCTAAAATACAATAAGTTGTGAGAAGATGATTGCTGACTTTAACGAAACGAACCCTCTCCCTCTTCCGTAGTCCCATTCCAGGCTGAAAAAAGGGAAGGGGGGGGGGAGGGCTAAACTACTGAGAGTCACAGGAAATTTCCTACCCTGGGCCCACCCTCCAGAGAGACTTTTCATATGGCTACAAAGCCTAGATCTAGATGGAAAAACTCTCCTAAATACACTCTTTAATTTGTCACACCCCAGTCCAATGTGAAAGGATTCTTATTTGTGCACATAAAGGGTGTACAATAAGCACATATTACATTTTAAGTCTACGATTCCAGTCACATCTCATTATTACTGGAAGCTGTGAAAATCCAGTGCTTTTCCATGCAAACATACAGCTTCTACAAGTTTGCACAATAAAAAAACTCCATCCACTAATCGAAAGACCGAACATAAACACTAACATGTTGACATTAGGAATATTCATTTAAAAGGACCAAATGTCTAGCTAATGTATGTCATCGATTAAAAAGAATAGCAAGAAAGGATGAGACACCTACCTAGAGCTAACCATTTTCCAAAATCTGAAGTAATAACTGCATTAACAATTACAATAAGAGAGCCACACTACCAATGCAATCAAAGTGATAAAATTTTAATGCCTGTGTATAAGAGCTCCTGTCAAAAATTTGACTATGCAACATACATGCAACTCATGGAAGTGACAATAATCACATCCATCTTATATTGTATGAAGTGATCAATCTTAGGGGTAATGATAGCAGCAATTTCTTGCAAATAAACTACTCTCTATGTTACACTGACATCAAGATGAAGTGGTAGACACAAGTAAATTACTTGAAATGACGCAAGCAAGGTGAACACAATAGTTCCTTTTTGTATAGCATCTACTCTTCTGCTGGAAAAGCTTTTCCCATCACGGAGGCGGTGAACCTCATATATGATTGGAACTGCATATAATGAACAGTTAATCAATAATAGCATCAAATTACATGAGACTTCAGACTGCGAAACTTAATTAAGTGACTGAAATTAAACAAAACTAAACATTATTCACAAAAATAGATTTTCCAAGGTCCACTCAGCTTTATCATCAGGCAATTAAGAATCAGAAGCAATTTACTGCCGCAGAACTGAAATTCTACAATTTTGATAACAAAATTTCTATGGATATAATAAACAAACAAAAAACAGAATAAATAAGGATGAGAAATAATAAAATAATGTAATGGAAAGCCATTTACTTTAAGTCTCTGAAGAATTCTTATTTACTATTAACACCAAACTGAATAATATATTTCATACATCTAGCTTTCTATATTGATTAGAGATTGAAATTATAGAGGTTATTCTTTATTTTCTTAGGTAAAATAAGATTGCAATTAAGTTCACCAAAAGGTTTCAAGTACTTACTATCATAGTCTCCAACAAGAAGGAAATAAGCCTGCAAATGGTGGACAATTTTTAAGCAATCAACAGTCTTTGATGCTGCAGCCACAGCCTGCAATTTAACAAGCGAAATGTCAGATTGTAGGTGCTGGAATACTATAATCCTCTAAAGCAACCTCAATAATTAACAAGCGAATCTATACAGGAGAAAAGATTTTAAGAAAAAAATTACAGTGTTCAGATCTTGAAATAAAGCAAGCAAGTAGATTTTTCATAATTTGGTGAAATATTTATCAGAATAAGTACTCATAAGAAGAAATCAGTGCTTACAAAACTACCATAAGAACAAACTTTGGTCAGGGCACCACATTTACTTCTGGCACACTGAGGCCACCCTCTTATAAGGAAACATGTGCCAAAAATGCATTTTTAATCATATAGGATCACGCACTACCTTTCAAGAAACACCAGTCTTGTCACCAAAGATACATACCAAACCATACTTAAGGGTTTCAGCAATAGCAATTTAAAAAACTTGAAATGAAAGAATTCACTCTTCAGTCTCACATTGGAAAAAAGTCAGCAAGTTATTTGCAAATAATAATATATTTTGGCAAAGGAGAACAACCCCCAATTTCATCTATAAAAAGACCTAGTACGTTTACTGGAACAAAGAAATACTCACTCGAGACATTCCCAAAAAAAAAACAGAAAACAAGATCCTAATGGCCAATGCTCGTCCAAGAAAGTAATCAAGGAGAGATAACAAAGTTCTTCCCATTCACATCGGAAGCTTATAGACATAATGAAAGAAATAAGGAAATGGTAAAAATAAGGACCAAGGAGGGCTAAGATCCACAAGTTAAATTTAAGACTTATCAACTTCATTGTCTACATGGCATGCAACACATTTATAGGAAACAACTCATGCACCTGAAGTAAATGTACCTGTACCTCTTTATGGGGTACAATCACATAATTACACAGGAATAAATTTAATCCGGCATAATTTACAAAGAGAAAAACCAATGAAAAATCATACCTGGCCGATAAACTGTCCTCCAAAAACTTTTCCAAATCTTGGAGCTTCAGGCAAGGTAATCCCTTGAAATAGGTTAACCTACACGAAGTAATTGGGTGTAAAACAAACTTCACTTTGCTCAGAACTCAGCAAAGTTAAAAAAGAAAAATTCATAGTACAACACAAAGTGATACGTTTCAATGACCAACACACGTCTAGAAACTACAAGAATTAGAGTGTATACACAAGATCAGACTACCGGTGAATTTATTTCCCAGCTCCTCTATTTATCAGACCTATACAATGTGATTTTAGCATAGTCATGATTTAGATCCCATATGAAAAATATAACATGTGCAAATGTGTATTCTATTCTGGAGGGGGGTCTTATTACTGAGAAAATCATGTCCCATATGTAAATATGGGAACAGTATTATCAAGATTAGAGTTAATACAGAAGGATATTGAAAGGGACCAAAATAATCAACTTGTAATAATAGGGATTACCAACATCTGAAAATTCAAAATGAGAATCAGTTAGGTACAGAACTTTTGGGTGAGAAGGCAATACTTTGCATGAATAAACTAGAATTTGAATTAAACTTCATTACTTCAAGTCATCTCATTAAGTCATGTGAATTGTCCTTGTAGCCTTTTAGCAGTCTATTCAGCTCAAGACTAGTGAAAACCACAAATGGTGATAAATATATACTACCTCCGTAAACGGTTATCTGCAACGATGGGACATAAAGTAGAGAGGAAAAATGTCCCATCGTTGCAGATAACCGTTTACGGAGGTAGTATATATATATTAAAAAATATTATAAAAATAAAAATCGTTATTAAAAAATAAAAAAAATAAAAAATAGTTGATGAGGTTGTTTATTTTTTTAGGATGGTGGTTTTTTTTTTTTTTAAGTTGAAGAATAGAGCCTAATAGGTTTCTTATAGTGCAGACACACGCAGTTTCTTAGCTTGTATCTTTAAAGTCCAGTGGTGAAATATCATGTAATCTAGTACTCAATAATGTTTTCATGCATCTAGTAGGGGAAAAAAAAAAACAACTTCAAGTATGGAGTACAAAGCTTATGGTAGGCCCAAGAAGACATACTTCAATAGGATCCAAATGTAATATGCTTTCTACAGGTGCACATGCCTCTTTTCCAGCATTAGCATTCCAGATTGACTTTGGCCGCAGCAAAGCACAATGGTCAGAGGGCAGCACCAAGCAGGTCAACTGTCATGAATAATGAAAAATGGTCACAACTCAATAATTGATTTTATATCCATAAGTAAAATTGAAATACACTCTTGAACTCTTTAAGAATTAAATTATAAAAATTCCCAGAATTCCGATACTGTTTTCATCCCCTTCACCAAGAATTGTTTTTGATGAATTCTTCTAGACCAAAAAGAAAAAAATACCTTGGATGATGCAATCACATCTGCCTGCTTCTCAGATGTTGGGGCACCTAGAAAACAACAAAAAGGAGCACATTTTATTGTTATAATACACCAACATAGCACAGCACACAATTATGATTAAACATTGAAGAAAGAAAGGCATCAACGCGAACAGAACTTCACAAATGGAAACAATGTTTACTAGCCAAGTAGCCAGCTAATTTGAAGCCATCTCAAACCAGATATCAATTGAGAACCAGCTTCCACTGCTATCACACCACAATGTAGCCAAGTTCCCAGCAAGAAGGCTCATTCATTAACGCCATCATCAGCTTTTCTTTCTTCTTCTTTGTTTTTTCTAAAGCTACATTACTACAAAAAATCAAGGAGTGACAAGACCAACCATTGCCAAAATAGTCATAACGTTTTAACAAGAACTCTGGACGAATTTCTTCCTCAGCAAGTCCACAAACTTCAGCCTACAGTAAGTAACGAGATCACATGAATACATGATTAACAAAGCCTCAAGATCACCAAAAACTAATAAATTGCTGAAAGAACCTTCAAAAACAACTTACCTCCCCTTCCCAAACAAAATACACATCGTCTCCACTTTCTCCCCTACGAATAACATACTCTCCACTGTCTACAAGATTTGAATAAATACTTGTCAAAACAATTACCATCAACATATATGAATACTACAAAAGAAAATGTTAAGCTTATCTTAGTGCATAATAAAGCATGAACACAATCACTAATCATCAGCACATGCAAATTATGTCACTGGCCATACAGATGTATGATTACATTGTACTCACTATAAGACAACATTGACAAGCTTAGTCACCCCAAATCACACCAAACTCGATTTTGAATGTGGATGACTGTCATAGCTTTATGTGACTACCTCAATACAACAAGCACGGTCACCCCAACATGGAGTGATTACACCTATCGTTTATGATACACTCGTTGTATACAAAACCTATTCGGTGAAACTTACTTGTCACAAATGTCATCAGTGTAACAGTTATACTGTGATTCAACCCACAAAACTCTGAAACCCAACAATTAAATCAAAATTGAAAACAAGGGAATTGAATTGAAGGGAAATGATACCAAAATGCTTGACTTTAACGACCTCAGCAATTTTCTTGAGAGATGAACTGGGTAGTCGCTGAAGTAATGGAACTCCCCCCAAAAACTCTGTAACTGTAAATCCCAAATAATGCAAACACCCACCAAAATAAAAATCAAATAAAACAAATAATCACTCTCATTAATTTAAAATAAAAATAAATAAATAAATAAATAAAAACAATAAACCCAATTCAATTAATAAATCAACAAAATTGTTTACCTGATTCAGTGTTCATCTTCAAGCTCTGCTACTAATGAATATTTCTGGAAATTTTAATCTTTGTATCAAAAAGAAATCAACAGTAATACAACATTGACGAAGCTTTATATGATGGGAAATTGAATGAGATTAACAGAAAGCAATAATTGCAAAATGAAATCTTTAGCGTGTGAAAATCATGGGGTCTTTGTATAAAATAAAATTAAATTATTTTGTACGGTTGTATAATAATTAAATTGAACACATATGGTTGTCTGAACTTTTAAATTTTTTTTTTTTTTTTTTTTTTTTTTTTAAATGGTAAGAAGAAATAAACATTAGGAAGCCCTAAAAAATCTTTGAACTTTTAATTGGGAATTGGAATTTGAAAAGGGGACAAAAATGTTGATACTCTGCCTAATTTAATATGGACCACTTCTGCTCCTATCCAGCTCCATTCTAATTCCCAATCAGGCCCAAATTCCAACTTTTTTTTTAGGCGTAAAAAATACTTTCTCTGTTTTTATATAGTTACAACAATTTGACTTTTATACTATTTATGTGCTTTATTTATGACTAGCTTTGATGATTTATAGCTATGTAAAAATATAGTCGTGTGGAATCTTGTTAGATTCGTCTCGATTTATACTATTTTAATGTCAAATGTTTATAATTTTTACATACTGGTAATTAAAGATATTAACGATTAAAATCATGCATCGGCAAGCGTGAAAAGAGAAGTGTTGCAACTATAAAGAAACAAAGGAAGTATCATTTTATCGGACCGAAACATCTCACAAGTCATCCCAAACTAGACTAGCGGGCAAGACCTTTTGGGAGTAAGAGGGAAGGGAAAGGAAATCTACGCCTTACAAATGATCCTTAGAGCACATTGGTTAGAAATTTAGCTCCCTATTTGACAAAAAGTAAAAGTGGGGACCTTCTCATCATTGGTACTAGCTCCTCATCCATCACTTTAATTTGGTGGGGTTAATAATATTAGAACCCTCTTAAAAGTAAAGTAGTCCCATTTTACACTATAAATTATTTTGTTAATATTTGTGGGGTATGGAAAGTAGGAGAGAGAAAAGGTGGTGGGGTATGAAAAAATAGGAGAGAGAAAGTAAATGGGGAGGTTAATGAATGTATGTATGGAATTGTGAAATGGAAGGGTATGTGATAAAGTTAGTGGAAAGTAATGTGGCCTGATAAGGTGAGGAGAGAGAAATGATGGGGAGTCTAATGGATGTGGATGCTCTTAGTGTGAGGGTGGGGGGGATTAATCCCACAAACTCAAAGTGAACCCAATTGCCCAATGGTTGGCCATAACCATTGTGGTTATCAATTGTTTTATTAATTTTTCTATCTTCCATCTCACTTATAATCACTCTTATTCCCATTTAATAACCAATGTATCCCAATAATTGACTACAATTTTTTGGTTATACAATTTCTCTTTCTTACTTTTACCCAACCCCACCACACAATCTCTCTCTAAAATGCAGTGTGTGTTGTGCCCTCCATTTGCCACATCACCAACAATAAATGAGAGAAACCAACAAAAGCAAGTCGGCACAACTATTTCACTAAATGACCAAGCTCCATAAGGACCATAACCCGGTATTTCCACAACGGGTTATTTGTTTTTTTGCCACCAATTTCTCTCTCTTCATTTTTTTTATTGTTTTTTCACCTTCTCTCACCTAGTAATCAACCCAATTGGTTAATGGTTAGGAATACTCTCATAATTGTGAGATACAATTCTTACTGTAATTGATTTAGGTCTATCTAAAATTGATTATTTAACTAATACAAGTATTACGTATACAAGTAATAAGTAAACAACTATCATATTTTTTTTTCGTGAACAATTGTATTTTCAAAAAAAATAAAATGTATACAACCAATACAAGTCAATAAGTCATACAATTATTGTGCGACTTGATGCCACAAATTGTTAGTTTTGTACTTCGTATACAAGTTATACAACTATTATACGGCCTGATGTTGCGGGTTATTACCTTAATGTATTACTAGTTTAGATCTCGTGCCATGCACAGTTATTGTTAAAGCTATCACATCATTAATCATTTTGACTTAACAAAACATCTTATATCAATCACTAATTATAATTTTATGAATATTATTTATATACAGTACACTAAGGTGCAAAAGTATTTCTTGCTCATTTGATAATTAAATGAACAATATTTATCAAAATACATAGATAATCTTGAGTACACATTACACCCAAATAAATATAAGAATCTCTGTCACTTTTCTTGATTTGACTTTTGCACAATTTACGTACATTACATTGACCAACGTTTGTTATAATCATATCAATGTATAGTTTTTCGAACATTTGTAAAAAATAGAGGGAGTATAATCTTCATGTTTCAAAGGTTATTTTACACGATAAATAAAAGAGTTGACTAAAAAAAAAAGGTAATATCCTGAATTCATGACACATTAACTATATTATCGACGACAATAATTTTATTGTAATGCACTCCGTAGCTCAGGTTGGATTATTTAAAAAATAACAACAAAGTTTGATTATTGATCTAACTGACTAAAGGTTTGTTTATTTTCGACAATTATTTAATACAAATTTTATTTATATCCATATAGCAAACCTATGGAAAGGATTAATATTGCAGTAAAAACAATATTTATAATTTTCAAATTTTTATTAATATAAGATGTACTATTTTCCCAATCTATGTGATATTTTTCTAATAAAGATCTACTATATTTTTTCATATAGGGAAAAAAAATATCATATCAATAATAATATAGTACAACATGTCACAAAATATGTCTAAAATCTGATCACAAAGTACCTTATTATTTATAATTGTCATTATTGTATGTTAAAAGAAACGGAGTATATTAAATCTTTTATTTTAAGTAATTACTATTTTTTTTTTTTGAATGGAAGTAATTACTATTTTAATGAATTGAAGATAGTTATTAGGTGAGTAAAAGATATTTTTAAAATATTTTTTTTAAAATAATTAATAAGAACACATCAGAAAATGACACGTGTCATTATCGGTGTGTCTTTTAGTATCTAGTTATTGATGTTACGGTGGTAATAGTTCGATCATTTTTTTTTTTTTTTTTTTGGTAGTTATAATGAAAGCTCTTGTGATTTCTAGTTTGACTTGTATACACTTGGTAATATAAAATCTTGTATAATATGAAGTGTTTAATGTATAATTATCTTGAAAGTTCTTATGAATTTTAGCGTGACTTATTTTGATTTTTTTTTTTGTTTATTTTTCTCTATTAATCCTTTTTCGATTGGTAATGTAATGTCTTGAATGCTACTCATATGTTGACATGCACTTCTATGTTCTATAATGTTAAACTAATTTGAATGGAAATGATGTTAGTGTATCATTTATAGGAAAAAAAAAAAATATAAGTACATTATTTCTTAAACAATAATCTTGTGTGATCATCGTTTAGTCAATTCACATAGAATGTATTTAACATTATTGTTAACTTGTGACGTTGATCGATCGTTGCATAACTTGCATTGTATATTCTTTGTGAAGACAATCTTAACTGGTTACTAGAAAATTCAAAGGATATATAGTTGTATAATTAGAGAAGTTTCATTGTTTTTAGTTTTATTTTAATTATTATTTTTTATAATTTAATAAAGATGGAATATGTAAAATTTGAGTATTTGACTATTAAAGAATTTTGGTTAAAAGTTATGAAATACTATGAATAAAACTAACTATTCACTTTGTCCCTTAAAATTGTTTTAAGATAGGAAAATTATTTATCAAGAGTCTCTGCCAATCATTTGATACAACAAATATCAACTTCAAGCTACTTAATTTGGTAGACAAATCATGTGAGTAGTAAACAATGAATGCATTATTTATTTTGATTTGTTTCCCTCTTAATTTTCCATCACTATTTAACGCAACCATCTTACTCGTATTTCAAACTCACTAATTATTCCGTCAAAATAAAACCTATGAACTTAAAAATAAGGAAAAATACACTTTAATAATCTCAATTATGGGCGATTTATTTCAAATAATTCCAACTAAGGTTTATTATCCAATAATCCCAACTATAAGGTCAGTTTGACTCCAATGGTCCCAATGACCGGTAACCTGCTGAAAGGGTTTTTTTTTTATTTTTTATTTTTAAAAGCCACGTGTCAGCACGTGATTGGTGTATTATTAAAAAAAAAATCAAAAATGATTCTCAGCCACCCCCTCCCCCTTCCCGTGAAACCATAAGCCAACAACCCCAGCCCACCGAAAACGGCTGGCCGGCCACCTCCCTAACCCCTCGAAAATGTTAGATCTTTAGAGTGTTGATGGTTGCGCGCTCGCGAACCATGAAGAGCGCCGGCGCGGCCGTGCAGAGAGCGCGCCTAAACCGCGTATCTCTCTGGAAATTGGCAATTTGGAAGGATGAGGTTGGCGCGACCGCGCGTCTGGTGGCTCGCCCGCGCTGCTGGTCGCGCCTAAACCGCGCCCCTCACTGCCTTCTTGTGAAATTTCGCAACTTTTGTGAGGAGCGGGCGCTCCTATTCTAGGAGCGCCCGCTCCACCTTGAGAAGCGCCCGCTCCTCCTGGCAGTTGCGGTTTCGTTTTTCTTTTAATTGCGAAATTAAAAGAATAAGAGCCGTTGATGTTTTTATCCTCTCTGTTTTTCCTCTCCAAGTATTCTCTCTTCTTCACAAATTTTCTCTAAGAAACTTGCAATCTCTTATAGAAAACTCCATCAATTAAGTTAATTATTGAGAATTTGATCATCATTCTACACATCTTAGTGCTAAGATCGTAGAGTTCGTCTATTGTATCTCAAAGCGAATTTCTAGTTCAACCCAAGCACCGTTGTGGGAGAAATTATCGCTTTAGGAAAGTGTTTACACGCCTTAGACGAGTATCAAGTATTGAAGACTCACGTGGTCCATGGTATCCTCGTGTTCTTGGTTGTTCCTTTGGCTTGGAGTGAGGCAAGTGTAATTCTTCATACTTGTAGTTTAGTTTGATTTTCTGTAATTAAACTTTCTATACTTGTTGGTGTTTGGTTTGTTGGTGTAATTGGTTATATATTACATTGTAATTTCTTATTTCACAAATTCATAGTGCTAGAATTTGTATAAGTAGGACCTTTATTTCCTAACAGAAAATGGCCGGCCGTCCCTTCCCACCCCCAAAACTCGTCGTCCGACCTTCTTAATCCCATAAACTCCGGCCGCGCAAGGGTTTCTCAATCCCCGAAACTCCGGCCGCAAGTCAGGTTCTGCTCACCACTAAGGAATTCCGGCCAACAGCAGAAATCAACGAGATTGGGTCAAAAGTGGGGTTGCTATGCGGATTGTGGTTACGATTGGTGGTAATTTTTGGTGGTCGGAATTATTGGGCTACAAATTTGGTGCGGCTGTGACGGTGGATTTGATTTGGTGGCCGAAATTTGTGCGCATCGAGAGGGTTGGGCTGTTGTTGTGGAGGACTGGTGGTCTTGTTAGGATTGGGGAAGGTGGTTCAGGGGAAGGGGAGGGGCTGGGTGGTTGGACTTTGGGTCAAGAGGGTACCGCGACACCGGGCAGGTCCGCTGGCCGAGTGGGTGGTGGTGGGGTTGCTGCCGGCAAGGGGGGAGGGGTTTTTCCTTTTTTTTGGACCAATCACGTGTTGACACGTGTCATGATAACCTATTATAATAGGTCGTTGACTTAGTGTTGACCGGTTGGGACTATTGGTAACAAACACATAGCATAGTTGGGATTATTAAATAATAAACCTTAGTTGGGATTATTAGTAGTAAATCGCTCATAATTGAGATTATTAAAGTACATTTTTCCTTAAAAATAAAACTAAAAAGCGTACTAGTATTTTCCTTTGAAAAAGTAATTTGTTTTTTTTCCCTCTTCTTTTCCTTTTACATTTTGTACTTAAATCATGTTCTTATTTGCTTTTTATGGTGTCATTAATTTGTAATTGTAGGCCATAATCTCCAGCTAACAATCAACACTGTTCAACTTTCAGGGTTCCAGAAAAAACCAAACTTATTAAACTACTAATAAGACCAATACCCAATCCTAGATTTGATTTGTCCACCTTCTAACTTCTTACCTTCCCTTCTCTGCTACTTTGAATGATTGTTCAACTTCAAAAATTATAGTCCAATCTTCAATATATAGCCCAATTCAAGGGTTTGTTTCATAATTCATCTGCAGCAGTTTTGAAGTTTAATTTTTTCTAAAAATCTTGTCTTTTCCTTTGTTTATTTCATAAGGAAACTTCCAGGTAAATCCTTCAAATTTTTGTTTATATATAAGATAGGTTATATGTGTAACACATCCTCAATTTGCTGCTCTCTTGCCTTTTTGATTGTGTTATCTTGTATACCCATTTTTATCTTTTTGTTCGATTTGTAAACCCCAGTTGAAATTGAGACATTTTTGCAATTAATTTGGCTATTATTTATATCAAATAGTTGACTTTTGCAGAAATTTGAATACCCAATTGTTGTAACACCATATATGTTCAGTTCCAAGTGTAGTTGATCAGTGTAAATATCAATTGAAGATGAGTTTCCGACATTGAGTCAATGTCAGTTGCCTTGGTTTCAATATCTAGTTGATCAGTCGATGAAGATGTACTTTCAACATTGAGCAAATGTCACTTGCATGTTGTCTGCCTATAATTGAATGTGTATACTGTTTAGCTTGTGCTAGATGGGTCTGGAAGCGGTGTATATATGCCGCAGGCCATGAGAGTGAGGATTGGGGCCTTGCTACTGCTGAGGAATTTCAGCCTGTATCTCGGCTTTGTCGGTATATTTTAGCTGTATATGAAGATGATCTTCGAAATCCTGTCTGGGCACCCCCAGGTGGATATAGAATGGACCCTGATTTGGTTGTCCTGAGAAAAGATTATGATGATACCGGGGGTCGGGTGACTCCCTACATAGTATATCTTGATCATGAGAATGCCGATGTAGTGCTGGTTGTTAGGGGGCTAACTATGGGGAGGGAGAGTGATCGTGCCATTCTATTCGATAATAAACTAGGGAGGGCACCGTTTGACGGCGGGTATGTTCATAATGGCCTTTTAAAGGCTGCTCAATGGGTTTTTGACGAGGAGCATGAGGTGTTGAGGGATTTGCTTGAGAAGAATCCTACATATACGTTGACGTTTGCTGGTCATTCATTGGGTGCTGGAGTAGTCTCCTTGTTGGCACTTGTGGCTGTCCAAAATCTGGATATGTTGGGGAACATTGAGAGGAAGAGGATTAGATGCTATGCAATGGCTCCCCCAAGATGCATGTCCTTGAATTTGGCTGTCCGGTATGCAGATGTTGTCAATTCTGTCGTGCTTCAGGTACAACCATAGTTGTCTTTCCAGCTTTACTCACTTCAATAGAATATTAAGGAGAACTAAACCGCTTATCATGAAAGAATTTTCTTGTAAACAGGACGATTTCTTACCCCGGACAACTGCCGATTTAGAAGATGTTTTCAAATCACTAATCTGGTAATGATCTTATATGTTTTCAACTCCTTTAGTAGATGAAATTTACTATTGTTGTTCATAGTAGATATAAGCTAACCCAGCCTTTGTATGCTTGTTGCAATAGCATGTTTGAATATTCAATTTAAAATCTGTGCTATTGATTAAATATGTGCATTGCATTCATATAGGTTATGACATTTCCCAGTAAGTGCTACCAATAAATATATATGGTATTTGTTGGGTTGTGTGTCTGACACAGGGGTGTGTTTTAACTGTTCTGCTGATGCACTCATTTGATGGAATGTTACCATGCTTTTGGTTTTAAATAAAGCTTCAAATGTTCATACCCCATGTCAAAGTTTGGGGATTTGACATTGGTATATGTGGTGAGAGGAAGAGTTTGAATAACATAGATATCAATTAGTTCCTTGAGATGATTGCATGATGCTTTAAAAAAAAAAAAACTCAGTTTTAAATCCAAGTGTGGTTCTTGTTCAGCAACTTTAAAATAATATTTTCTCTATGTGCTCTACAATAACGAAAATTTTCACGGCAAAGAAAGTATGCTGAGCAGATACATCTTTTAGCATTTTAGGTGCTTTGCAACTGACTTGATGTATATGCTTTAATAAATGCTAATAATAAGGTAAGGTGCTTTGTTATATTTGGGCCCTTGATGGTCTTGAGTGGTTACCAGAATGTTACTTTAAGTTGAGTACTGGAGAACCACCTTGTAGTCTAGGTTTCTTCTATGGAATGCAATTGTCTGCATAGCCACATGCTAGTTTGCTTTCATTTTGAAGGTTGCACATCACAAACTGAAAAACTTTGTGGTAGAGTGTACAATGGCTTGCTTGATCTATATATGGAATGTGAGCTCTTGTATATAGATTTGGTTTCCTGCTGGTAAATGTATTTTTTTTTTTGTCTAACTCTAAATATATAGCCTTCAGCACATGCATACTTATAATCAAACTAACTCTGACCTTTAACAGTTTGCCGTGCTTATTGTGCGTTATGTGTTTAAAAGACACATGCATGATGGAGGAGAAGATGATAACAGATCCAAGGAGACTGTATGCGCCAGGTCGCGTATATCACATCGTGGAGAGAAAGCCCTTTAGGTATGCCTAATGAAATTTCTTTATTACTTAACATACTCATTTTGTATAAATGCACCAGGCCTTTCTGAGTTAGGTTGTTTTAAATCTTGAAAACCAAATCAAGCTATTGTCTGAAACTTGTATGGATTTTGTATAAGAATCTAAGGTTCTGGTAAATTTAACAGCCTAAGAAGCTGGCAGAAGCACTAGCATAGTTGTTATTTATACCTTTCTTTATTTCTTAATGTACAATGGGTTGGACCACGGTCTACAGCTGGCCAATTGACCACATTGGTATGAAAGTTAGCACATTGGTGACACATTGGTATAAATATTATCACCGGCGACAAATTGGTATAAAAGTTAATAAGTCATGACATTTGACCCTTTTTTTGTTGCCGGAGTAAGTGGTTAATTTTTTTTCTTTTTTTTTAGTTTTAACTTTTTCAATTTTTTTTTGTTGTTGTTAATACTTATTTAATGACAAATTCTTCTTCCCTCCATTGCCTCAAAAAAAAAAAAAAAAAAAAAAAAAAACCTTTTTCCCGCCATGCCCATAAACCTAAGATTAGTGAAAAATAATAACAAATTAAAATTGTATGAGTGAATTGATTAATCTCAAAAATTGAAAGGGAAGAGAAATTCCTACATAGGGATTCAATGTCTCAAATATAGTTGAAATTGACCTGTTGTTAAGCAAATTTATTTGTACAATATTATATATTTTCAAAAGACGAACGCTTATAATTCTTATGCATGATCTTTAATTTTCCTCTATATTATTCTCTAATTTACTTTATTTTTTCCCCTTCTTCCTTATCTTTATTTGGCATTTTTATTTTCAACCGAGTCTAATTAAGAAAATTTTCAATTAATATTTAAAGCACAAAAGTAAAATAAAGAAAAGAAACCAATAGATTAAAGTTGTAAAATTAAGAATTATGATGTGTATAATATACACTTATTTCGGCAAGAAAAAGGATTATATGTCGTCACTCATTAACTTTATACCAATATGTCGCCACTTACTAACTTTATACCAATGTCGCCAACTGTTAACTTTTATACCAATTTGTCGCTGCTAGCTAATTTATTTAGCAATATGTCGCCGGCTATAACTTTTATACCAATGTGTCACAGGGGTGCTAACTTTTATACCAATATGGTTAATTGACCGTCTACAGCTAATAGGGCTGGACAGTGATGAAGTCTAGCCAAGAGTTGGAATTCTATTATATCTTCATGTAGCCACTTGGAGCAAGCTAAGCATTTAGCTGTGTTCTTACTTTCTCTGTTTGTGCTCTGTGTTGTAACAAAATGAGCTGAACATTTTCACGAATTTTATCCAACTACTAAACCTGTTCTGTTAGGGGAACTTTTGATAAATTATATCAAATACAAGGGATTAAATATGTTTTAAAATTTTAAAATTATTGTTTGATTTATCAAATACGTAAAATTTGACCGCTTAATTACCTGGAGAGCAGACTTCAAGGTATTCAATTGTTTTTTTAACAAATGAGCTTTGCCTGAATTTTGATCAAGTTCATTAGTAAGTGTTGGTTCATTTGCAGTCTAGCTGGAAGGAGGGACTGTGGACAGTTAAAGCTTAATCCCTAGTATTTTTATGCTCATGGAAGCTAGAGCCAAGTGCATTGCTTGCATTGCTGTAGAAAGGAGGAGATATAATAGTTACCTGCTCATCTGTCTAACGATTATATAGGTAGTAAATTTGTGTCTGGTGAAGAATTTCATGTCCTAGTGTTCATTTTATCTTGCATTGCATTATTTTAAGAACTAATCACAGTTATGGGATGGTTTCAGTGCATTACATTCATGACATGCTTACGTTTCTGTCCATCTATATTTCATAATTCTAAAGACATCATTTAAAAAAATAAATAAAAGTAACACCTACGTGACTAACTAGCTTACTCTAAACCAGCAAAAAGACAGAACAGATGCGGCAAATTTAGACCATGAATTACATATATATGACCTCTTATATACCCAACTGGCTCATATTTTCAGTAAGATTTTTCGAAACCTTGTTAACGGAGAGTATTCTCAATGATCATCTTCAGAGTCATCCAAACAAGTGGACATGTCTAAAATCATTTGGGAGCTGTAAGATAATAGGAAATATTATATCAGGTTTAGTGAGAATAGAAATAGGGATCCTGAAGAGTTCAAGGAAAAATTTAACCAACCTTAATTGGTGAGAAGAATGCATGTTACATGATTATATTCTTGTGGCTGAAGAAAGGGAGAACTCACCTGGTGTAGAGCAACCGCTCAATGCCAGACCTAACTATAAAATATTAACTAGGTTATAAGAGCATGTATTACATGAACATCTTCTTGGGGCTGTAAGGGAAAAGTTACCTGGTGTAACATTTAAGAGCACTTTGTTTCGTTACAGTTTAAGGAGACTGTGAAGGGAAGATCTTTAGTTCCTTAAAGCAAAAGGCTACAAATTATGTTATAGGGCATGTTCTGTATTTTCTCTGGAATTTTATTGATGACCTTCAATAAATATAAACTAAATTTAAGGCCTTTCTCCTTGTAAAGGAAATAAGGGCCCGTCTTTGATTGTTTGTTTGGCTGTTCTGTAAAAAAAAAAAAAAAAAAAAAAAAAAAAAAAAAAAAAAAATTCTTTACCTGACCATGGTGTGAGATGTTGAACTAGCTGCATGTGCTGCACATTTTTGCTTCCCCCCCCCCCCTCTTTGATAAAAGAAACAAAGAAAAGATAAAAAGATGAATGCCTTTTTTACCCCTAAATCATGTTGTTTTTGGGTTATAGATTTCAAAGATTTCCTCCAGTAGTGAGAACAGCAGTTCCTGTTGATGGAAGATTTGAGCACATCATTTTATCCTGTAATGCAATTTCAGACCATGGAATCATTTGGATTGAAAGAGAATCCCAAATTGCTCTTGATGTAAGTCTTTTAATTCATAGTAGTGGCACTCTTACAGTTAGCTGATGAAACAGACCGCCTCAATTGTTAGCTTTTTTGTCAAGGATATTACATGCAGTGATACCATGGAATTTTCTAAAGTGTTAGTTTCTTTTTTCGGTGGAATGAATTTTCATCTGGAAATGTGAGGCAGTATAATTTGTTTAATATTTCTGCTGCTAAATGATATCTTTGCCGCTGATTATGGGAAACTTGTCAAATTTGATGTTGCTCTAATGGAAAAGCCTTTTGCTTCAGTGTTGAGATTATAATTTTGATCTACTTAAATGAAGTGCATATGTATAAGTTAATTATAATACATTGATTTGTGGACGGTGTGTTTATATGTAAGAAAATGTCTCAGCTTTCACGATCATATCTTATTGAATCTTATTTCGTACAGTTACTTGAGCGTCTTTATTATTATTATTATTTTAATCTCTTCCATCTTAAAACATTACAATTTCCACTATCAAATAAACTCTTATCTTGTTTCTTTAATTACAGTTGATGATGGAAAATGATCATGTCATGGAGATTCCACCAAACCAAAGGATGGAACGACAAGAGAAACTCGCAAGAGAACATATACTGGAGTATAGACAAGCCCTTGAAAGGGCTGTCGCCTTGGATGTTCCTCACTCCTTCCCACCTTCGCCTTACGGAACCTTCAATAATCATCCTGAGTCAGGGGAAGGATCGGATAAATCAAGTGTAGAAGGATCATCGTCATCATCCAAGAAGAGGAGAGAGAGCTGGGGTGATTTCATTGGGCGACTTTTTGACAAAGATGAGTCAGGCCATATAGTACTTAAATAATACAGTATGTTATACAATGCAACTTGCAGAAACCACAATTGCTTGGCTATCTCATTCTTTTATTATTCATAGCTCATTACATTGTACATCGGAACATTTCCTTCAATATTAGTAAAAGGGATCATTCTTTTATCTGATTAAAATTTATAGTGGTCATTCTTCATCTCATTTTTGGCATTCACTTTCATTTAGCCAACATCTCAGTGCAGCTCTTTGCTGCCTGGGATTAAAACTAACTAGCTTAAAACTGTCACGCTGCAAATCGAGGCCGTGATGTCTATGAGCATAAGTCAGACAAACGATACTAGTACTGTGCCATGACTGCCATCAATGTTATTGTCTCACTTTGGAGAATTAACTTAATAATGTACTCCGTAGAATGGAACAGGCTTATAGATGTTTGAAATCCAGAGCGCATTTTTGGATTGCAAATTTGCAATAAAAAATTAATGCACCTTGACAACAATATATTAAAATAACTTAAAACTGTCAAGGTGCAAAGCAAAAGGCTCTCAAAGCTAACTTTACAACTAGGTTTTCTACTAATCAAATCATGTACATGAAGCTTGTTTGACATTTACACCAAGGAAATCACCTATCCAATTTGTAACTACACCAAAACTGCATGGCGTTGCCAGCCGCTGCAGAAGAATCGGATATTTATCTTCAATTATATCTGGGGGTCAAGAACTGCTTCTCCTGGAATAAATACATACTACCCCATATTATATATTGGCATTGATTAAAGATGAAACATTGTGGAAAAATTGTATATTTTGGGCTTCATTTTAAATATCCTCATATTTTGCCAATTTTTTTGAAAACACTTGAGTGAACTAAACAACTTCCCGTACACATTAAACCCATTACAGTTAAATTTTTTTTCTGTAAAAGAGAGTAAATTTGAAAGCGTACCAAATGACAATTTCTCGTAAATTTGGCCATGATTAAAGTAGACATTATGAACAAATTACGATTAGAACCTGACCTAGTTGAGGCATTAATGGCAGGAAAGAAAAGGGGAAGATATGCTAAAACAGGTGTCTCACCATGCATTTTCTTGACAAATCTTTCAAATTCCATAAGATTTTGCCTTTCCATGAGTTGGAGGCTAAGTCTGTGGTATGTAAATGATAACAAGTGACGACCATCAGGATCATTGAAGGGTTTTGCATTTTCAAGTATTTTGTTATATACTTCTCTACTATGACAAGGAACAGAGTTTTCACTGGCAACTGGAATGCAAACATCCCATGCAGCATTCAGGACCTGCAATAAAAGAATAAAACTTGATCAGTAAAATTTGAAACCCTAACTGATTTGACTTTGTTTGTTGGAGGAAAAAAACTGCAAACAATGATACACATCTTATGCTTACTTGCCAAGTCAGCCCTTCAGGATCTGCTAGTGCTTCAGAAGAATCCTCAAGCTGATCCAACAAGCCCACTTCTGCAGTTGTGAAGGTCACAGCAGCTCCATGTTTTTTTAACATGGACATTACTGCAGCATAACCATCACGATTACATGGGTTGTAGAACCCAGCGGTTAATTCAGCTGCATGACTTGTAGTCTTGTACCACCAATGTATCCCTGATAGCTGCTCAGAAATTTGAGTTAAACAATCAGTATGTAAACAAATTCTGAAGTGGGGGAACATTGAGATAAAAATCAGAATCAAGCACATAATTTCTGAATGAGCAAACTTTTCTTATTCCCCCCTTTTCAGTAACTTTATATCGCATCAAAATCTAGTTTTTGCAGGGTATGAGATGAACTGAAAGAGACAGCAGTTATTCAAGGTCTCTCTCTTTTTCAGGATTCTGAGAGAGAAGAGATTACTCAATGGTTGGAAAGGGGCTTCGTTATCAGGGTAGGGGAGAAAATCTTATCAAGTCTTGCATCTATTCCATCCATTTCAGGCCTGTTCAAAGAAACTGCAGCAAAGCAAAGGAAATATAAAGAACAATGTGGTTTGTGTGATATCTAGTGGCAGGCTTTGTTAATAAACCCAACTGGGAGGCCATAGGCCTTAGAAAGGCAGTGATATGGGTATTAATTTCCTTGACACATCACCTTAGTGTGATGTAATTGTGGAAGTATGCCCTTAGAGCAGATTATCTAAGGGTTAAGATTAACTATCAGCAATGAGCTTAAGCAGAAATGCAGAATGGTTGGAATGCGGGGGCGAACTCGAAAGCTCCCTATCATTCAGCGGATACAATGTTGGGCTGTGAAGTAGTGAAGTCCAAGAATTCCATAGCCTTTTTAAACAATTGGGAGGTGTGGTTGTGGGGGGTCAAATCAAAGGGGAATAACTGAAGATATATCACTTGAAAAGTTCTTCAAGAAATGCCTATAAGTTTTCTTGCATACAATATTGGCGATAAAAAAACTATGTTAGAAACTTACAGCAGATGCACCTTTAAAAGTTGACATTCATAAAACCCATTTTTGGTCCAACCACAATGGAATGCAACATAAGATAATTTAAGTAGCAAGTTCAACCCACCTTCGCAGCAATGCAGGTTCCTTCAAAAGCCAACTTGGCCAAAGAAAGTATCCGGTCACCATGGTCAACTAAGACTTGAGAGTACCAATTAAGAAAGAACCTGCCATAATAGCCATCATATTCACCCCCATCACAAAAAAATCCAGTCTCATGGGGCCGTGAGTTGTAAAAACCAGCATTAGTTGGCCCTTTAGCCCAAAATGAATGTCCTCTGCCTTCCGCTGCCTTCCGTAAGCTTTTCAACATATACTGATCATAACACTGCCAAACAGGACAAAGAAGTCAGTGAAATTGCATGCATATACAGCATATGATGCTATACACAAAGATTAGGTGTTATATTACCATTAGAAACATCAAATTTTGATATAGAAAAATGCAATTGCAGTACAATAGAGATAGTAATTAAACATGTACTGTTCAAGCAATAAAGACATGAGAACCAATATGCACATAGGAACAAAACTTGACAAGACATTCCACAAGATTGAAAAAGTTAATTGACTATAACCTGGAATTCTCCGAGGCCAGGGTATCTCCAACCGTGCTTAACTGGGAAAGAGGGGTACCTCAAATCGCCACATGGACCAAGTCCAACTTCAATCATGGAAATAATACCATCTTCAAAGTATTCATCAAACTCTATCCGGAAGCTTCGCATGAAATCAAAGTAGACCTGAATCAATTTAAAACAGGATGAAACATGGCGTATATCTATATTACATGATTTATTATAGCTAAGTTATTTAAACACAGCAGTTTGAATTCTGCAGAGGAAGCATCAATAGGCCCAGTTCTTTTCTGAGTTCTCTCTTCTGGAAAACATGACATGTGGAAGAGGGATTGTGAGTGGGAAATAAGAAATGGGATGGTGGAGGGAGCTGCTCCAGTAAATAGAGAAAGATCATCATATTAGAAAAGATTAAACAGCAATACTTTGTCAGCAAAGGGTTCCCCAAACTTGCTAGCAGACTCAATTACAAACTTTTAATTTATCCACAATATGACCAGGTTGTTAAACAAGAAAACATACCTCAAAAGCTGTTCGACCTTTCAGCACTCGCTCTTTATCAATTCCCCATGAAAGACATTCAGGATTTCTTCGTCCCTCTTTATCAGTGAAATATATGTCAGGGTTACTACGACCAATCTCTGCTACCCAAAGGGGCAAAGGAATACAAACATCATCGCGAAAATTGCCTCCACATTCATGAAATGACATCACAACCTGCGCCATCCAAACAGCTTTCTAACCTCAATAGGTAGTATTACAGGCTATAAACTAACTATCAAGCATGTACAAACCAATTTCAAGGACTGTCATTTTGACTCATTTGTACTATAAACTTATAATTAAGTTTTTCTGAACTCCAATAACATGTTAAATATTTGACAGTTAACAAAAATTCGTTTGATCCTGTCCTAGCATGTAAGGCTTAATTTACCAAAACAAGTAATCAATGTAACAGTGAAACAGACACATAGAACTCTTAAGGCTATCAGCTTTACCTGTAATTTAAGTTTGAGATCTTTTACAATTTGAAAGAGCCTTTTGTAACCATTCCAATTATACTCCTGCGCAGCATGAGCTTCCACTATCCCCCACCAACAGTCAACTACAACACCATCAACATTAATTGATTTCAGAATCCTCAGCTGCTTCAGCACCCCATTAGGATCAGTAAGCTCACATTTCATATTTATGACTCCCAACTGCACCAATTAGCATAGACATCACATATGGATTTAAGCATCTAAGAGAACTTAAAGTCACACAAACTAGATCCTGTTCATTATTACTAAAGGGAGCTGTCAAGAGTCGAGATATATACTATTGTACAATTTACAAATATTTTTGACAAAGGTATTGACAGTAATTCAATTTAATAAATATGAAGATTAAAAACTCACAGGTAGCATCACATAAACTGGTATATATGGAGTGCCTGCAAAGTCATGCTCATGCAACCTTGAGGAGGGATCAACCACCTATCATTGTAAATAGTTAATCAGGATTATCAGTATAAGCAGCACAAAGAAATCAAGGTAATATCTAGATCCATCCACATTATAATACGTCCAGTAATTAGCATGCCTTAATAACTTTTTTCTTAAGAAAAAGGTAAAACGTGTTCTATTACCATTAAGAAAGCAATTTCTATCATAACCAGGAATTAAAAAGAGATTCTCTAGCTGAAAAAAAAAGGATGGGATCATGCATCTTTTGGTTTCCCCCGCAGGGGGGGGGGATCGGGAGGGGAGGGGGGCTGTGGAGTAGATAAAAGGATTATTAGTGAACCTGTTTGTTACAAATGGTATCCACAGAGCTAATAAGAGGATGGTTGTCTATTCGTTCTCCCCTACTACCTCCTGTGGAGGATGCATGGGCATGTGAACCAGAAGATATGTCATAAGGAGAAGCAGAGTGCCCAAAAGCCTCTTTCATTTGACCGGTATTATATTCCACAGAGTTTTGAAATCCGGGGCATACACCTTTGAGGGAAGCAACCTGACTCTGTTGAGGCAAAACTTGTGACGAGGGGATGGCAGCTGGCACTGAAGAATCATCAGACGGTCTTGAGCCCTAGATGAATTAGATAATTTTTTCATTCTTAGATATTCAATATTTATTTCTTTTTTTTTTAAAAAAAAAAACCAGTCACTTTCACTTTACACATGTGCTATTAAGCATAATTGAAGGGACATACAGAGCATCTAACAGATTACAGCAGCAAGAAAGATGAAGTAAACAACATATCAGAGAAGAAAAACTCAACTTTGTGGAAGAAAAATACTGATAAGGAATGGCAAGTAAAAGGGATAAGAAGAGGGAAACCAAACAAGAAGTAGCACCACCTCTAGATTCTTCCAGTCTTTTAGCTCTAATAAGCTTAATCTCTTTCAGGACACGTGTGCTCCACATTAATCAAATCAAGACTGCACCTGTGAGATGACTTTTTTTTTTCTTTTTTTTTTTTTTTGGCAAAATTGCTAAACATGTCATCTTACCAAATTAATATAGAAAGGATCAATTTATTTTCAAATGTGTGTAAATCAAAAAAGTGTAGTTCTTTAGAAGCTTTCATACATGAAAACTCCAGTAAGCCAATAAGGGCTTACTTTGGAAGAGTCTCTTGTAACCATTCCAGCTGAATATGATAATGCATCCAAGAATTCCTTAATAGAATATCCAAATACTAAGATAATATTTCAAAACTCAAAATCTTACGATCATGCTCTACTATGACTCACAAACAGATCCAGCAACACATAGCATTAGCATATACTATATTTCCGTAAACTAAGAGCCAAGTAGACATAACATCCATGTCCAACAAACTAAAAAAATAACCTTAAAAAGTTGAATCCATACGGAAACTTTGAAGTACCTGAGACTGTGAAGGAAATGTGGTACCATCTGGAAGCACAACCCAGCCAGCTTCCCTTGCCAAAGCCGCAATTACATCATTTATATCAGCCCTGACCCTAAGATTGTAATTTCCATGGCGTCGAAGTCCAGCCAAGATCCTTGCAGTAATGGCTCTCCTATGCCGCTCCCGCAGCTTTGTTCTCTCTTTCTCCTCTGATGGCCTCGGCCTTTTAGCAACTCCTCCATGGTTGATCTGCTGTTCTTGGATCTGGGAGTGATACTGAAACTGACTGTCACTGCTGCTTGTAGTGATTCCTCCATCCATATTGACTATCATGGAAGCTGCCATGTTTTTACCTTCTTCGTCATCATCTTCTTCCTTTGCATCCATGTCCATTTCTTCCTCATCATCATCTTCACTAGTTCCAATCAGCTTATGCATACCCGTTGCCTCATTCATCTTATTAAAAATCAGGTACTAGACAACCATTTGGATGAGACAACTAGCCATATCAATGAATATTTTTTCTCTGTCACGCATCATTGCAATGTAAACTCGATAATTTATGCTGCTCTAGGCTCCAGAATAATTAAGTTTTTCCTTTCTAGGCAACCTACAAACGAAACATACGTTGACATACTTTATCAAGACCCCCTCCCCTCACAAAAGCTTGAACATACAATGAAATAATATATTTCACCATGGTCTCATTCCCTTCACATAAATTCAAACATACGATAACATAAACTTCATCAAGGTCACCCCTCCTCTCACAAAAGCTCTAACAATATGATGACATAATTCAACAAGATCATGCTATTACAACATAAGCTTGGATGCAAGAGAAACAATAATTAATCTATGTTAACACTTTAGGTATCAAATTATCAAATTTTAGCAAATTGAAGAAATTTACCTACACTATATAAATACAAAAATTAAAATTCCTAAATCAAATGTCTTTTTTTTTTTCTTCATAATCTTTCAGGGAATTACGCTATACCATAGTTGAAACTAACTACTTATTCAACTTATTAAGCTAAAGTAAGGATAATATCATATTACAACATCCAAATTTCAAGAATTTAATACTCAAAATTCGTAAATTTTAATCATAGTTGTCAAATTTAGAACCCTAAGAAAATTGACATAAGTGAAAAGAAAGTTCCGAGGATCGAGAAAAGAGGGCATACCGGAGATATCGATGACGGAAGACGAACGGTCGGAGAGAATAACTCGGGAGAAATGAGGGTAATTCCGGCAAGAATTCCGGCGAGAGGAGAGAGAAAAATAGTTGGAAGAGTTGAAACGTGCGAGCATGTGAAGGAGGTAAGAGTTAACACGCGTGGTGGAGAGTGAAGCGTGTTAAGGAGGGATATTGTCACGGGTTTCGCATTGGCACATGACTGTACTACTGCCCCATCCAACGGACCACCCACTACACGTGGCCACGTGCCTTAGTTGAGGTAAAGTCGTAAAGGTAATGAAACTCTATACAATCGGAGCCGAGTTGAAATTATCATGTGATAGATTATTTTACTGTTACGATCATTTTACACGTAGTAGTTTCTTTGAACGACTAGAACAAACCATTTTTAAGGGCGATAGGATTGAGGGAGATATATTAATAGGATAATAAAAATCAAATTAAGCAAATAAAAATGAATATAGAGGGGGAGATAGTGATAATGTGATTATAAGGAAAATTATGTAATACTCCGTTGTAATAATATGGTATGAGGTGAAAAAAGGAGAACTAATACCCTTATTTTGGGATTAATATTTACATTAGGGACAAGATGGGTAACTATTTATTTTTTCTTCTCTTTCTTTTCCTCATGGCACAACTATTTTTTTTTTTTTTTGAATAATCATGGCACAACTACCTTATCTCATTTGTAAACACTATCTCCTACAACACCTCTAATTACTTACTCCCTCCGCCCGTGAATATCTGCAACAAAGGACATATTTTCGGAATCCTAGGAAAAACTTTTAGGGGAGTGTTAATTGAATTTTGGTGGGTTTAATTAATGAAAGAGAAAGGTAAAAATACAAAATTACCCATATGATGATATATATAAACTAAACATTTAAGTGTTGAAAAATAAGGGTATATTTGGTATTTGTAGTGTGAACACAAATATTTGTAGTCGGTTTTAGGTAGTGGGTAATAGGTGGTGTAGGGGACCACTAACCAAAAAGTGGGTAATAGTGGGTAATTAATAGTTAAATATTACCCAAAAAGGAAATAAAAAAATTTGTTGCAGATAATAAAAGCATCCGTTTTTGGCAAATGTTGCAGATATTCACGGGCGGAGGGAGTATATTTTTTCAAGTTTGACTTTTATTACCACTTAATATATTGTTCCCAATTCAAGCATGTCCTGAGGGTTAAAGCTTGCCATTAATGATGGTTTCCGTATTTTGGAGGATCCGACAGTTTGAATCTTGTGAATTTGATCTTGGCAAGTCCAATGAGCTTTCTGTGGTGCAAATTGTTGTTAATGACATCATTTCACTGAGTAAGCTTTTTAATGTTTGTGAGTTTAAGAGTGTGTTTGGATTGAAGGAAATGGAGGGAAAGGAAGGGAAATGGAGTATCTTTTATTTGGGTAATAAAGCGATATTTGTAGCAAAAATAGTCCTAAAAACTACGAGACTAAGAGGTATTTATATAGAAGGATAATATTGAAAATATTATCAATATTCTTGTTAATAGCATTATAGCATAATAAGTTAGTCTTCCTTATTATTAGCTATAGGATTAGTATTCCTTGTATTTAGGTTTATGTTGTACTTGTAAATATTTGTTATTATCTTCCATAGTATATAGACTTACTAGGCTTTGTACCTACTCCTGATTCCTATTTAAAGTTAATGGAAGCCCATCAATTCTTCTAAACGTTTATAATTTAGAGTTCCCCTTGTTTGTCAAACTGGATTGACTAGGATAAAAATGTATCTCGAACCAGCCTATTTGAAGCATACAAATGAGAGATTTCATGGAATTCAAGTACAGGTTAAAAAAACTACAGACATATTATACATGTTTGGCACTCAGCAAGTCGTATGGTCTACTTCGTAGTTTATGATCTATACAAATTACCAAAAATGGATATATGCAACTAGAGGTAAAATCAACTAGTATAGCTGTATAGGATCAAGTTATATCTGAGGTTCGTTCCGACTGCTGTGAATCCTCCTCACTTCCAGGTAATGATGTTTCCTTGATCAATTAAGATCTGGAACTGATTCGCCTGTAAAAATATAAGGAAGATGAGTGCATGTGGGCGTGAATATATTGGTGAAATGCGCATGAAGAGATTTATAATTGTACCATGCATTATCTTGACAAATCTTGCAAACTCTATGAACTTGTATTCATCTTCCATCAATTCAGGATTGAGTCTCAGGTATGTGAAAGCTGACATATGCCTTCCAACAGGATCACCATGAGCAGAGCCGTTTTTGACATTTTGGAGGCACATGACAAAATGATAATTAAAAAAATCATTTATTTATATCATTATTAAATAGTTATGTAATTTGTTAATTCGTAAATAATTTAATATAATTTGTTAAATATTTTCTCCCTTTCTTTAATTGCACTATTTGGAATTTTCATTCACACTTCTCTTTTGATCTTCTTTTGTGATTTATCCGTTAGAAAAAAAATATAATTAAATATCATATTTTTATATTTACTTAAATAAATAACTTGTAATCATCAATAAAAAATAACCAATCAATAATCCATAAGTATATACTTAATGATACACTAAAAAAAATCCGTGTTGATTCTTAGTGAGATAATGCACTATTTTATTTTTTTTGTCATTCTCGTATAGGAAACATTTGTGTAAAATGGAAATGTATATATATATAATTAGTAAAGGTAAGTCTAATATAATAAAGTAATGAAAAACATAACCGCAATAAGTCGAACTTTAGGTGATCTTTCAATATTAAGTCAACTTTAATGAATTAAAAATAAGTCTAACATTGATGTCTATATTCCATAAATAATTTAAGTACTAGATTTGACTTGTGACCGATTATACAAGTCATCAATTAACTTATACTATATTTAACTCTCAATTGAATAAGAATTGACTTAATTAAAAACAAAATATATCTTAATATTAATTTTAAATTTAAAAAATTATTTTAAATTTTAACTATAATAAATAATTTTTTTACAAAGATAGGGGTGTTGGCTTTGGTGTGGAGGGCTGGGTGGGAGTTGTGTGGGTTCAATCGATCGGCTAGGTGAGAGTTGACTTATACTATAATTAGGGCTAGGTGAGAGTTTGCCACATAATTGTGGTTTGAGAGTAAGGGTTGGGGTTTGGGTGGGAGTTTGCCAAATAAGTGGGGTTCACGAGTTAAAATTAGGGTTTGGGTGGGTGTTCGCTGGACTAGTTGGGACACTAGGGTGTAAAGTCAAAATGTATCTAATAAAAGGAACAGATGGAGTATTAGAGCAACTCCAATGGTAAGCTAATTAGCATATTAGCTTTTTTTGGCCACATAAGATTTTATAGCTAATGTTTTTAGCTAGTTTGTGCCCTTACTGCTAGCTTGTGGTGTTTGTCAGAGAGAAAAATAATGTATTTTGGAGTAAGTGCAATTATTCTATGGTTTTGTCTCACTCTCTTTGTAATATGGGTGATTGGTGGGAACATTGTTTTGGTAATTTTGGAGAGGATATGATGAGTTTAATTACCATGTGTTAGGCTATGTGGGGCGCAAGGAACAAATGGATGATTGATGGTGAAAATCCGAATGTTGAGCAAATTGTTGCCTATGCTTTGAAGATTAAAGGTGGGAAAGTTGAATAACATGGGGAATGGAGAGGTGGAAAGAGTGCCTCTGTGGGAAGGTCTCCTCCGGCATCTGGTGTGGTTAAAATTATTGTTGATGCTGGTGTTTTAGGGGAGGTAAGGACGGGGCTTGGTGCAGTCTGCAGGAATAGTGAGGGGGTGGTACTTTGGGGAGCTACGGTATAGTGGAGTGAAAAATAAGAGACTAAGATTGCAGAGGTGAAAGCGGTATATTGGGGCATGAAGATTGCGAGACACAAGGGTATGAGCTGCATTGGGATTGAGAGTGATAATCTGGTGGTGATTGAGGCAATAAGGAAGCATTTGTATAGCTCCAGTTCCTTTCATCTGATTATAAAGGATATTCTAGATTAGTTTTTCGTCTAATTTTACTAGTGATTCATGGTCTTTTGTAAAGCAATGGGGTAATACTGTAGCACACTAATTGACTTACTTTCAACTATGGGAGTTTGACCAATGGGTGTGGAGTGATGTAATCCCTCCTCGCATTTTGGAAATTTCTTCGGTTGATCTAAATGGTTTTTTTTTTTTCAAAAAAAAAAAAGTATTAAAGTTATTCACTAATAATTTTCTGTTTTACATAGATCACTAACTAACTCATACAATTAACTAACTCATATAATTCTACACTTGCTAGTCTGCAACTGTATTTATAATAAAATGTAGGTATCCGTCAGCTAATGTTAAAACCTCAAAGGTAACACTACCTATACTTGGTCAGTTATGAGTTACTTATTTAGAGGTTACTTATTTTGTCAGAGGTTACTCGATTGGTCAGTGATTACTCCTAAATAAGTAACCAAATGACATGGGTCAGTCGCATATGAAAATTTGTGCTAACAATTGCAGTAATATGTTTAATTGTCAATTAAGTAAAACATACTATATTTTTAAAAAATGCTTACAATAGACATAAACTACCTTATTTCAAAATTTTGTGTTTTTTTTTTTTTTTTTTGGTGAAAGAATAGTTTCAAAATTTTGTTAATAGATCGACACATGCCATTTTTTTACTAATGTTGGTGCATTATACAAAAGATTAAACATAGTCATGTGAATGTTTGTTATAATAGTCTCTAATTTTTTTTATCTACTTTTTATTAGATGATAATTGTCAAAATTTGCTTGGACAAATATGCTAGAGATATATGGAGGCATTTATTTTAAAATATAAGAGGAAAAAAAAGTTATCATAAATATTAAATACATATAATCACAAGTTTTTAATTTACGTAGCAATTCTATACAAATGTAGGCCACACACTAGTAAAAATATAAAAAGACACATGGCAAATTGGGTTGGAAAAGAAAGGATGGAAAAATGGGGACATGTGTTCGAGGAATTCTAAGACTCTAGTAGTTAGAGTCATATATAAATGACTCTAATAAAGGCATATCCGTCCATTCACTTTTACCGCACTTGAAAAAAAAAATGTCATAACATGTGTTGGTATTTCATTATACTTTAGACAGTATCATCATGATACCAACAACCTTATTCAGTGATACCAACGAATGCCAAAATGTTTTGTTGGTATCAAGTCGGTCAAATATCAATGTGTGTTATTAGAGTCATTCATGACTCTAATTATTAGAGGCTAAGAACTCCTCCATGTGTCTTTCCGGTTTTGAGATTTTAAATACTACTCCCTTTGCATTTTATTACTTGTTCTATTTGTCCATGCACGAAGTTTTAGAATAAACGGTAGAAAATAATAAAATATTAAGGAAGTGGGACCGGTGGAAAAACAAAGTATGATAGCTGAGAGAAGAGAAAATCAAGAAACACTAAAGTATGATCATTGGAATAAGAGAGAATCAAGAAATATTAAGGTTTGATAGTTGGGGTCCATTAGAAGAGAATAAATCAGTACTCCGTATAATATTGTGAAAGGTTTCTAAAAAACAAAATGGAACAAGTAATAAAATACGGCCACGTTCCAAAAAAAAAAGTAATAAAATACGGCCACAAAATAAACGTGGAGCGGAGGGGGGTCGACTATATAAATCTTATTGAGTCAGTCGCCCACTTAGACCCAAATTGAACAGAATTGAAAATTAATCGCCGTCTGTTTGATTTATCTGTTTATTATTTATTTATGTATTCACTTAAATTGACTCTTTGACAACGTAAAAATGGAATAAAGTTGCTGCAAAATTTTGTTATGTACATTGCGCATCCGGGGAATCGAACCCCGGTCAGTACCGTGGGAGGGTACTATGATACCACTACACTAGATGCGCTTTTTTGTGTTATCTTAAAAATTTTACTTATATATTTTCTATGTATTAACAAAGCAAAGTAATTACTCATTACTACGATTTTCTTTAGAAATTCAATTACTTGACATCCTATGTTCATACTAATGTACCCCTCCGTTTCTAAATACCTGTCCTGTTCAATTTCTTCTTCTGTGAGTTGTAAAAAAAATTGGAGAAAGTAATAAAATATGGAGCTAGTGGTGTAGGTGGAAGAAATTTTTTTTGTAAAAAGGAAAAGTAATTGAAGGAGTTGGAGGAGAAAGAATATAAAATTAATATAATATATATTATTTATGTTGGGTCCACTAGTTGAGTAAAATGAACTAAATATTATAAAAGCGGTCCAAATAAAGATATAGAGCAAGTATTAAAAATGTCCGGAAATAAAAAGTTGAGCAAATATTTAAAACGAAATTAAAGGAGTAGTAAATTTAAGGTAGAGAGGCTATCAAAAAATTGGGTCAAATCGAGGCAAATTCTTAGATGCATCCTAGTGCATCTAAGCTAGCTACACCACCACTAACATTTATACAATAAAACATACGTACATTGTACTACTTTTTCTCCTTCCTTGCTCAATCTTCTTCATACCTTATTTCTTTCAATTCATTATTTCTTAATTCTTTTGTACTAAGTATATGTTTCCCTTCATTTCTAATTTTTCACTTAATTCTTAATTTTGTTTGAAAATTTTTCTCCCTCTGAACATTGTTTTCTTCAATAAACAGTATCTCTCTCCTCTATTTTTTGTAATATCTTTGAATTTGTGATTGATTTAATTGATAATTTTTGAAGAGATTGTTGATATAGGTTTGTTTATGTTATTAATTTATAACTTGGTTTAATTAGGTAATATCTTTAGAATTTGTGATTGATATGTCATATATAGTTTTTGTGTATTTTTTCAATTTGTAGTATATTTTTTTTGAAACATCAATTTGTAGTATATATGTGATGAATAACAATTAATTGTAGTAATTTTCTTTCTCCCCTCTTTTTTTATTTTTGGTTATTCTCTTGATTCATAATCTATTATGTTAAAAATTGATAATTATTATAAGTAACAATAATTAAAAAACCCTAGCTCGTAATTAAGATTTAATTCTTAGGTTTATAATTAAAATTTAATTATTATTCTTATTTTGAGTTAATGTCAAAAGTATAAAGTTCGTTTATTATTAAACTCTCTACGAACAATTCCTTTCTCAGAAATTGAGAGAATACGAAAGCGTTAGTCCAATTCCTTTCTCTCTTTCCCTGAATTCCCAGAATTCCTAGAAAACAAAGATGAAGGTGATCGACATGATCAAAGCAGCAGAAGCAGAGAACAACACCATGTTCTCCTTGGAATTCTACGTTCCAAAAAACGAAGACGGCGTCGTAAATCTATCAAAGAGCATGGAGAATTTGGTAGCTCATTCCCCTTGTTTTTGCGACATTACTTGGCGTGCAACTCAAGGACCTTTAACCCTAGAAATCGCCAATCTAATGCAAAATTCAGTTTCTGTTGAAACTATGATGCATCTTACCTGCATTAATATGCCTGTTCAGAAGATTGATGATGCTCTCGATACTATCAAATCTTTTGGTTTGCAAAATGTTTTGGCTCTTCGCGGTGATCCACCTCGAGCTCAGGAACAACTTCGTGGTGACGGATTTTCTTCCGCCCTTGAGCTCGTAATTGACCCCACTTAACTCTTTAAATAATCAGGTTTTTTTCGAGGGTTTAGGGTTTTTATTTGTTTGATTTCAGGTTCATCATGTGAGGAGCAAGTATGGAGATTACTTTGGGATTACTGTTGCTGGTTATCCTGGTAATTTGATTTTATGTATTTGGCAAAATGTTAGTGTTATTCTTAATGTAACAAAGTGCTTAATTAATTTAGAGGCACATCCAGATGTTATTGGAGCTGATGGTTTAGTAAGCCCAGAATCATATGCTAATGATCTGGCTTACTTGAAAACAAAGGTATGCTTCATCGATCTCTTTCTTTTCTATGCCACAAATTCAAATTTCAAAGTTTATGATACTTATTTGTGGTTCTGCTGCAAATGCAAATGCCTTAGGTTGATGCTGGTGCTGATCTTATCATCACACAGCTGTTTTATGATACCGATGTTTTTCTCAAGTTTGTAAATGATTGCCGCCAAATCATTTACAAACAAAGGTATATATAGATACATCAGATGCTGCTTGATGACTTTCTGTGTATTAGGTTACTTAAATTGCTTCTTTTGGTCTGGATATAAATATATTGTAGATTCCTCAAGCGATCATTGATGCACTGGAGCCAATTAAGGACAACGACGAAGCAGTGAGAGCCTATGGTATACATCTTGGAACTGAAATGTGCAACAAGATTGTGGCTAGTGGAATCAAACAGCTTCATTTCTATACGATGAATGTGGACAAGTCTGCACTAGGAATATTAATGGTAGCTAACTAGCTTCACTCACTAATCCTCCCTTCGTATAATCAACTTCCTGCTTGTCATATGTTAGATTTATATTCTTATATACTCTGTTTAACTGCTGCAGAATCTGGGACTGATTCAAATGTCGATCATTCAGAGGCCACCTTGGAAATGCTCAGCAATTGCTAGCAGCACCGAGGAAGATGTTGGGCATGGGCGACGTGCTGATGTTCATAATGCTTTTTATCTTCAGGTAAGGCAAATATCTGTTGCAATATTGCCCAAGTTGGCATACATGACATGTACCTATTAAGTTACATATGATACATATGACTGTCAATCTCATGCTTGAAAATATATTCTTTTGTACCAAGTGCTCGTGCCTCCTCCAACTATTGCCCTTGCCTTTAACATTTGTCTTCTTCGCTCCTGCTTGTCTTTTGCTTGCTCGATAAATTCACTAGATCATGCTGAATGTAAGCACTTTTGCCAATCACATTCTTCATCTGATTCTCTAAGTTCACACTAATAAAAACAAGTTATGGTCGTAAGGAAAGTTAATATAACTCTGCTTGGATGCTGCTTTAGCATTAACCTTCATACCTGAAACTCGAAGTTATAACCTTTTCTAATTACATGGTATCATGGTGACCTGTTTATATCAGCAATCAATTCTCAGTGTGTTATCATACTAGTTTCTTGTATGCTCCCTAAAAAATGGGAAAGTTTCATTGTGGTTGCTTCCTCTTCGACTCTACTGAAATAATGTGAGCTTGAACGTCAGCAACTCAGTACCTCTGCTTAGCAACATGCCGTATTCCTGCTGCAGTTGTAACTATGAGATGTCACTGAGAACATGTCCTTATTATTTGTCATCAAAGCTATTGGCAATAGCTAGTATAGAACACTTATTGGTCTAATTTCTCCAGCAGTTACCATGTGCACGCGATATGAAGCTGCAAGAAGAGTTGGCTGTTGAACTGCAAAAGGTTGAGGATATACATAAGGTAGACTCCATCTCTTCTGATTATTTTGCTCAAAACATTGGCGCAATGATTGTTGTGGTGTCTGATGCTTTCTTTTTGTTTCAGACATTCAAGAATGTTTGCCTTGGCAAGCTGAGATGCAATTTGGTCTGAAGTAGAGGGCCTTCAGCCAGATACAAAGATCGTAGGCAATGATTAACATGAAGGCCAAGGGATTCCTCATCAACTCCATCAATAGTTAATTATTTGGATACAAACTCAAGGATTATCTACTAACTCGAGTTTGGAATTGGAAGACAGATATCTACAAGTATAGTAGCATATTGATAACCAACCAGCAGTCTGATGGAGAAAAATCAGACTGTATTGTATTTTTTTTTTTTTGGTGTTTATTTTATTTGGCACAAACTATATTGTTGAACCCTTAATCATCAGTATCTTTAATCACATATTTCGAGTAACAAAAAATTACTACTCCTCACAAAAAGTTGATTAATAAACTACACATCAAGATGAATCTAACAATATCAATTGTAAATGACTGTCTTTGCATATTTCTATGTACTTCTTTGATTTTTTCATAACTTGCAACACTTTTCATTTCATGCTTATTGCATTATTCAAATCATAATATCTCAAATCAACAATTAGTTGTAAAAAAAATTAGATATATAAATTACTGATAACATGAACATATAAATCGAAATGAATACAACAATATTTCACACGATTATATGTTTCCTTAACTAATTTTCAAAAAAAAATATCTTTTCTTAACTCTAAATCATCATATTATATCAAAGTAGAATACATGAATAATCAAAGTATTACATTTAAAAAAATAATAAAAGGGCAAGGATCTGTTAATGATATTTATTTGTTGAACTCTATTAATGTCAAGTATGAAAATAAAAATAGACAATTATGGGATGGAAATAATAATGTAATTATTTTAATTTTGAAGCAACGTCATTTCCATCTTAGATATTTTTTACGGAAATAATTTATTATTATATTGTTAAGAAAACATCAGTTTAATTAAAAAGCCTTCTTAGCTCAGTGGTAGAGCGCGTGGCTTTTAACCACGTGGTCGTGGGTTCGATCCCCACAGACGGCGTTTAATTTAATTTTTGTTTGTTTTTTTAATTTTTTTTATGAAGCGATTAATTTTAATTTAATTAATTTTTTGAAGAAAAAATTAATTAATTTTTTAAAGGAAGTACTAGGTTACGTACTTGAAGAACTCTTGGAGCAGTCAGCAGGGTTGAACTGCTTCTAGTTTTTTTAATCTTATCTTTCACAACTATATTAGCTTACTTTAAAATAAAAAAAAAAATAAAAAATCAAATCTAAGAAAAAAACAATATGGCGTTCAGATGCGAAATTAGAAGCGTCGAAGGATTATTTGAGGTATTTCTCTGAAATACTTGTTAATTCAATCAATTTTCTTTCAATCAAATTCAATAATTTAGATTATTATTTTTTTATTTCCTGGCAAACAGATTGATTATTATTAATTTCATTGATTTGCTGTTCTGATCGATTTTTGTATCTTCAATAGTTTATCATTGGACCTCAAATTCACCACAATCAGAGGTGAGTGTGAATTATTGCGAATTTTGTTAGTTATTTATACTCAGTTTCTTGTTTGGAATGTTGCAACTATTTACAATGTTAGTCAATCTTAATTATCGAGTATAAAAAAAACATAGTAATTGTTAAATTTTTACCAATATTTATTTAGTCATTAGAGATATTAATGGTGAAAGATGTTTATGATAGACACTGTATATTCTAAACAAAATATAAAAAAGAAACAGGAGGAGTATAAGGTTATTATTCAGCTTTAAAATTCAGATATAGTACCAATTTTCCTCAACTTCAAATTTTATTTCTTTCATATAAATATTTAGTAAAAATTACAATACTTTGTAGTTTGATAACTAAAAACAGTTTCAGTATAACAAAACAAACCAGGGAAAGAGAACAATTTCTTGCAAAACTCGATTTGTTATTCATATTGATAGAGTATTAAACATATTCATCAGCTTAAGCTTTTGGTTAAGATGACCCATTAACACATTTGTGCTCACCATTCTCATTCATGGTAAAGTTTGAATGAGCTATGAAATAGCCCGTGTCATGCGTGCTCTAATGTTATTTATCAATGATCATATGTACCATGCTAACCATTAAATGATTTAGTCTGAAAGAAATATGAATATATCATGTTAATAATGAAGTATTATTTATGATTGTAGGCTGGAATGGACGAAAGCCATGGAAGGAGAAGATGATCAACAGAATGATAACAGTAAGCATATAGGGCTCCCTGTTGATGTAATTGAATTTATCATTTCGTCCTTTGTAAAGCGTTTTTCCATGAGGTATGCTATCAGACTGAGTGCTGTTTGCAAACATTGGCTTGATATTGTGAGCTTGGAAACACCTGATGAACCACCATGGATTACAGTCGAATCGTTTTTGGATTGTGATTACAAACTTTGGCTCGATATTGTGAACTCGGAAACATTTGATGAATCACCATGGATTACAGCCAAATCGTTTTTGGATTCTGACAAAGAAAACAAATATATTACTTGCTTGAATTTGTGGGGCAATGAAGATTCAATGGATCAGGCCACTTACAGACTGCCTGGTTTCTCTATGGCTATGACTCCAGCTAGTGAACGTAGTAGTATCATCTTAGCATCTTCACAAGGCGGTTGGCTAATATTTGGTTGTTATTGTCACCGTTATCCCAGAAAAGTTTCCCCAAGAGTTGATGAGCCTCTTAGCCTTTACAACCCGTTTCTCAACATCTACTTTGATTTACTCATGTATTCACCACCAAGATCGACTTGTTGCAGGCACATTGAAGGTATCAAGGCATTTTCAGTCTTCTCTTATAATCTTTACCCCGGCAATTACTTTGTCGTGATATCCAGAATCTGCAATCTATCGTTGTGTAGGCTTGATGGACAAGGCAAGTGGTTTTATTACCATAATAAACGTCATTTACCTTATTGCGATTTATTGTTTCACCGAGAGGAACAATGCTTATATGCTTCAGACCAGAGAGGAGTTGATATATTCACAGTAGAGTGTGATTATGAAAGTGATTGTGGTAGTAGCCAGGCATTCCGTCTAACTGCTGTATCTTTTGTGCAGGTAAATTCTAGTACTTTTTTGATTTACTTTTGTGGTGAATATTTGCACCTAACTTGTAGGAATCTTCATTGGATGCCCATGTACTTTTGCAATCAGAAAGCTCACAACTCGTGCAAAATACAATAGTATCACATGAAAATCCCTTTTTAAGCAAAGCTCGTTTCTTTGTGCAGATTACATTTAATGTGCTTGATGATAAGCTTGTTTCGACACATTTGGTAAAACTGTGTGGATATATTATAGTTGTGACCAAAGCATCTGATAAGGCGGGTAGTCGAAAAGATCCAGACTGGACGGTGGAGGTTTATAAGTTTGGGAATAAGGATAAGTGTTTGAGTCGAGTAAGTTCCATTGGAGAACATGCATTGTTCTTGGCTGACGCAGGAAGTGCTTCCTTTTGTGTTTCAGCTAGATATTTTCCTAAAGTGCAGCAAAACTGCATCTACTTTCACCATTACTTTCTTGGTTGTATCACTACCGTTTCATTGGAAGACGGGGCAATCAATCGTACTTGTTACCGTTACATGGGTTTGCTTCCCTCTAACCTTTCTGCGGCAGCCAGCAGGTTTATCTCACCTCCTTATCTAAACTCAAGGCAATTCTTCTCAATAAAATGAACAACCTAAGTTAGAGAATAGCAAAAAAACCATGTTTAGTTCATCTGATTTGATTGAACTTTGATCTTATTTGTACACAAATTCTTAAATTGAAATGTCATTAGATTTGAATTAATGTGTACTTTGTCACTATGAAATTTTCGTAACTTATTTTATTATGAAATTAAAAATGTTTAGCAATAAATGAACTCAGAGAATATAAGTCAAACAACGTTGGTCCACTACGAAAAAACAGAGAAAATATCATACATGTTATCCTCTTTGAAAAGAGTACTTTCTAAATTCCATACAAACCACTAGTATCTATTTGTTGACATACTCATTGCATTAGTCTGATTGAGGAAGTATCTACTTCTTGTGCAAGTTCTCAAGAGCATGAAAATCAAGTAGACATTACTGTAAAATTGTGCATACAAAACCCACTAGTATACTACGTGTAGACTCATCTCAATCAACTCAATGTGCACATAACAGTGGTAAAGAATGAACCTGTGTACCCAGGTAACATGCACGTTTCATCTCTTATCTCTTTGAGCACATATACACTGATTTAATTTCTTTTTTCTTCAAAACAAACATCATAAAATATGAATCTCTAAGAAACAAAGTTCAATTGTTTCAAAATTTCTAACACAGGCAGATGCCGTGAATCAGTTTCAGATTTAATTGCTAAATGTAAACATGGTAGCCTGAAAGTAAGGAGCCATAACTTCAAACCAGTCCTGGAGGTCACTAAGAGACTACTATGAATACTAAAACTTCAATTGCTGTTCCAAATGAGCCACTTTGAAGTATTACGTACTAGAATCTATTAAAGGTGCCAAAGTTTACTCAACCTCGAGCCATCAAAAAACCTAAACCAACCAGCCACATACGTAGTTATGTACCAGACATTTACATGTTATAGCTATATATAAAAGACTACTTGGTCCTCTCCTGCAGCTCCTCATCTGTTACCTGCACAAAAATTACGCGATTGATTAAAGGAAAGAAGAGGGAGTAAGAGATAAAAGAAGACAAAGATGACAAGTGAGAAGGGAGAGAGAAAGTGAAGAGCGTCCTCACTAAGCCATTGTGCACTAAACCTATTCTACTATGCTCCCTGGACCCCAGCCACACACTTCCCAACTGGCTCACCACCCACCAACGCTGGCTATTGGTTCACTAACACCCTGCCACCGCCCACCACCCAGCCAGCACTACCACTCAGGCCATTGCATCACATCACCAGTTCACCCACGATTACTCAAGAAACAAATAAGAAATTCAAATGGGCCTTTAACTTACTCTAACAACAATCTTATATCATTATATGCTCTTCAAGAAAGCATATGAAAGAATAAGAGATATATTCAAATCATTAAGATAAGTAGATTCCTAGCTGTATCCTGTCTTACTAAGGAATTTAAAAGGGGATCTATTGCTTCTTTGACTAATGCTCCAACTATAGATTTTTTTCTTCTTAAACTCTACGGCTTAGCTTCAATCATGCATATAATTAAGGAATTTAAACCCAACGGCTTAGCTTCAATCATGCATATAATTAAATAATATTACCAATAAACAGAATAATATAGTATATCATTACATGTAAATCAATCCTAGAAGCAGCAACGACTGTTCATAGGAGTAAGCCTGTTAATTCTAAGAAACTCCTAAAAACCATAGAAACAATAGATTGTCTTTACAAGCCAACTGTAATAAGCAGCTAAGGTAATACCAAATCTACTAGTTGTGAGGCTAAGTGAACCTTAATTGTTTATTTCACATGTTTTGTTGTGGTAGCAAGTTCAGTGCACACTTTTCTGAACAATAAAAACTCTGACATAAGAAGTTCACACAAGAAATCCGACTTCTTAAAAACTATGCTCCTCAAATTTAGGGTCATATCAACAGTTAGTGACTGTCTAGCTTAAAAAGGCCTTGGTTTAAATACATAAACAGCTCCTATCTTAGAGCATGAGACCTTGGTAAGACTTTTTAAGATACTCTTGCAGAAGAGATTCAAGAGAAATTCTGTGTCTCTTCAATAGGCCACATTTGGACATTTGGTTAGAGACAACTTCAAAGGGATAAGGTTAAGGTACCACGATTATTATAAAGTATACCTTAACATAATTTATTGAGATATACAATGAAGTTGACTTTTATGTACTTTTATACCACAATTTCTTGGTTTCCTTAACATGACTGGATGCTCAGACGACCTTAGACTTCCATTGCTCCAAGCTTCTATCATATCACCTAAGTTCACCTCAAGACTACCCTTGCAAGGCTCTAATACATCCATCCACTTTCCCTCTGATCTTACGTAAAATTGTCAGGATACAGGATCATCATACAGCACAAGTCTGTGTGTTTCCCAAGCCCTTCTACACTTCCTGAGATGGTCCTAAGGGACTTAAGTTTATAGTCCTTAGATAGCTATAACATTACCCAATTAGAACTATTCCTCAAAACCATCTCACAAGCTCATCAATACAGTCTCTAGAATCCTCCTGGATAATTCTGTCATTTTGAACCCAAACTCTTGCACCTCCTCAATGTCAAAGAAAACTGAAGTACATGTGATAAAACTTAAACACTACTACTAAATTGGATGAAAAATAAAACATACAACACCCCATCCTGGTAAACTAGAAAAAGAAAGAAAAAAAAAAAAAAGAAAGAAAATGATGGGGCTGCATACAGTAATTATGAATATATGACTCTTCTGGCCAAAAAGAACTTTCCCAGATTATTCAGCAGAGGAAAATAAAGAGATCTGGCCCTAAAACTCGAAGACCCTCATAGAAAGGAGAGGCTATAAACTGAGTATAACTCTTAACAGAAGATGATGGACCAAGCTTAAGTTTTGTCTCAGAGGGAAGGCTGTAAATTTGTCTCGAATATGAGGACAGCTTGCTACAAATTTCTTCAAATATTTCATGATTAATGATCTGAAAGAAGCTCCATTCTTTGCTGGCTTCCAAAAGAGAGGACAAGGAGATGGATTTTGTGCCTTGGAGAGGTCTAAGATTGAAAGCTTTAGAGAAGTAAGAGATTGAGACATTCTATTCTAGGAAAAGACAAAAAGGTTTTGCTGCCAACTAAAACTATCTACTAAGACACAATTGGAAGGTTAGATTACAAGGCAGAGAGAAAGTCTATATACTATATATGTAGTATAATCTTTTTGGCTCAGAAGCCATGATCATTTCCTATACACAAATGAGTTTGTTGATGGTTAGAATTCTATATATGCAGCTCTGTATTACGTGTAGAAATTGAGTATTAGGACTAGGTCGTTATATATACCATAATAAACATGCAGCAACTTGGACCAAAAAGCCTTCTCTAGGCATCACTTACTTTGATCTAGGCATTTGGGAGTATTGAATGTTTAACTACATAAAGAAAAGTTTTCCATGTAAACGGTTAAGTAATAAAAAAAGATTTTGTCAAATTGGTTGTGAAGCTATTATCACCAAAGACATGCTTAACTATTCACAAACCAGCTTACCTCTAGTTCCTCTGAGATCAACTCAGGTCCAAACTGCCAGGCTCTCTGTAGAAGCTCCTCGTGTGTCACCTGTGATTATGGGAGTGATCGATGAGAGGAAATAAGGAGTAAGAGAGGGTGACAAGGGAGAGAAAGGGAGGGGTGTGCTCGCACTGTAATAAAACATTCGCATTCTAAAGCCATTGTACACTATATAATATATATACCTATGCTACTATGTTTCTCAAATCCCAGCCACCCATTTCCCGATTGGCTCACCACCAGACCACCACCCTTGTGCATATTATCACTATCTCAACAAATTACCGACACATGCTCAACGATGATATTCGAAATTATTCATAATCCAGCCAAAGACTAACATGGTATTAATCAAATGCATTTATTTAGAATATACCGAATTACCTCTTCATTGCCGGTTTCCTCTGACATCTGCAGTAGCTCCTCACAAGTTACCTGTACCAACGTATTGAGGAAAGAAGACATTAAGAAACTTAAATACTAGTTCATTTCCAACTTTCTTTAAAATCACCTGACAAATATAATAACCTTAGCTTACTAGATGAGAGGTAGACTTCAGTGTAACCCTAAGATTGCACTACGTTCCAAATGGTTGTCATTTTACCACATTCTTCATTGCAACAAAATCAAAGCCTGATATCCAAAAGGACGGGGTCGGCTACATAAACCAAGATCATATCTCCTGTGATCCCCCACATGACGCCCCTCCTTCGTCCCTTTCAATCTAATCCTACATATTCTTGCAAACCCATTTTCTTTATGTCATTTTATAACTCCCTCCATGAATCATCAAATGTCTACAAATGTTGCCATACTAGGACACATCAAGATCAAACCCAAGATTACAACACCTCATTTACAAACCCATTTATCATATAACCCTCCATACCAAAATTTCTCCACGTTATAGATTACATTATCAAAATCAACAACTTACATAACCAAGAAATTACATTATTACGATTTTTACATATTAAAATCAAGAAATACTAAACCCTTGTGCATATTCTCACCATCTCAACAAATTACCAAAACATGCTAATCGATAATATCAAAATTATTCATAAACCAGTCAAGAATTTACCTCTTCAATGCCGGTTTCCACTGAAATCTGGTGTAGCTCCTCGCTTGTTACCTGTACCAACATTTTGAGGAAAGAAGACATTAAGAAACTGACATACTTGTTCATTTCCAACTTACCCAGAACGACTATCGACGATATACAAACCAAAGCATTACCTCCTCATCACCGGCAACCTCTCCTGATGAAATTGCTAAAGCCTGCATCAAGTCCTACACAGAAACGCAAATGTCTTCATTTCTCCTCAAGTGTTCGACACTCGACACTACACAGACCCATCGAGTAACTTACCTCTACAGAAGCGTTCAGAGCCGACTCCGATACCAACTCCTACACAGAGTTGAGTTAATCAGACTCATTTGCGAAAGAGAGAAACTGGAACTAATTTCTTTTAAACAAAAAATAATCGTAAAACTTACACTTTTTAGTTTATTGATGAATTCTTTCAACTCCAGCAGTAGTTTGTCCAGTAAACGCAAAATGTTTGGATTTGCGTTCTCCATGATTTTATCATTAAGTTGAAGAAATTCCCTGAAGAAAGAATAAACTTCTGTAATTTTTTCCGACGCCATTGAATAGGAGTTTGGAGTAGAAACAATGAAAGATGGGGAATGTATTTGGACTGGACAAGACTATATAATGGAGAATGGTGATGGCACTAGTAGATTTTATTACATTCACACTTTTTTTTTTTGAGGAGTCCTTTTTCTTTATTTTTTTTTTCCTCATTTGATTTTGCATTCTTCATTCTTCAAAACTTATCTTAAAACGTCTATAATTTTTTTTTTATAAATACAAAAATTATAAAAACGTGATATTTATAAAATATACTTACTCTGTTTCGTAATAATTGTAACACTTTCCTATTATGTCTGTTTCATAATAATCGCAACACTTTCCTTTTATATTCGTTTCATAATAATTGCAACACTCACCCACTATAGCGTATTATTTTATTAATTATCTCTCCTACAAACTCTAATTTCACAAACATTTTTATTATTTTTCTTAAAGCCTACAAGTCTATTTTATATTTGTCTTAAACTTCATTGTTGCATAATTGAGAGCTTCATCAATCTCGCAATTTTTTTGCGGATATGCTGTAGTTAACGGAGTTAATTTACCGTCTCATACTAATTTGATGAAATGACATATATAACCCATGTTTTCCTAATATTAACCTTTTGTAATTTATACAAAAATAAAAACATATGTACATTAATTTGTAGGCAAAAAGATAGAAACAAAGAGAGTAGCTAAAAAAGGAAGAATATATTGTCTGAATGCATGGTGCACTAAATATTTAGTATGTAGAATGAGAATTGGAGGATTAGAGAGTGGAAAATGATTTAAGAATTGATAATTTAAAATTTATAAAATAATCAACTGAGAATATATAATTTAAAATTTATAAAATAATCAACAATCCCTTATATAGTTATATTATTGCAAGTTGATGGCCATCATATATGTACAGAGGTTAGATATATATAGCAAATTACAAAATAATACTACTACTTTATTTCTCAACAAACACCCAAGACTAGTTTACAAAAGAAGTACTACGTATGATATTTTTGGGATAAATTTCTATTCCCAACTTCATTTCACAACACACACACCCAAGACGAGTTTCTTTATCCATCCATACCGTACCATACATTCTTGATCGAGCGCATCCATTTCCCTTCGTTATTCCAATGGGGATCGGACCAAGCCATGTCACCGCGTTCCTTTGAATAGAATGTACATTTCTAACTACGGATTACATTTCATAAAGTCAATCACACACATAAGGAGCAAAGGCAAACAACATAAGGAGAGTATGAAAGGCGTATCGATCTCTTGATACTTATCAGTGTTCACATGGTGTCTAGCTCCTTTGACTTTAAAAAGTCAGCTTCATAACCATCCAAATAAACAACATAACTCATTTCAACTATACACCTTTTTTTTTCCTGCAACATATGAAATATGGAAAGGTTAATTTCCTTACACAATCGAAGTTAGAATTCTATAAATATATGCATGCTACTCATCAAAAACTTTCTTGAGCATTCCCACTCATTCAAACTTTTAAACTTAGTTTTTTATCAGCTGAATTTGCAGCTAATACTTCTATCTTTGCAGATATATACAAGGCCATAAAATATACGAAGATGATCATCGAAGATCAAGAAATACAGCCAGAAATATTGACAAAGCAGCAGCTAGCTCTTGCAGTTAGAAGCTCACAATGGAGCTATGCAGTCTTCTGGTCCTTGTCAACTGCAGAGCAAGGGTACATATATCTTCTTCTCACAATCTCACCCCTTTGTTTTGTTCATTACCTCGTTATGCTGTGTTTCACAGGCCTTATTATCAGGGCTGTGCTGTGCTGGCGAGCAGCGACACCAAGTAGTCAGATATATATTGATCACACTCTGATCCTCAGGACAGAATTTCAGTTAAACAACTAAAAATTGGATCATCTAGCTAGATAAATCGTTGGGTTGCTCGTCAGCTAGTTTCATAAAATGCCTGTCACAGTAAATAAAAGTTTGATCAGCTTGTTGCATTGTGAAATTGTGCAGCGATAGAACTTATTATTCTACTATGCTGAAATACGTATGTATGCATGTTCCATAATTAAGTATCAAAAACCATTTTTAGTAAGTTTTTTCTCTCTACTACCCACAAAAAAGAGACCAAGTCTACACATCTACCCATCTTTTTTCTTTTTTCCTGTCCTTATTCTCTGTATAATACTTTGTGTATAACTTAACTGTGGGATACAAGAAAAGGTATACTAGCTAGAACTGGTATACATTTGACTTTTACCAAATAACTAACCTAACCAATAGGAAAGAAACCTATCTATTGAGTTAGCAACAGCAAAACTTTCCTTCACTATTATCAACCGGAGACAAGAAAATAACTCTGAATAAGTTTAAGCAGGCTTATTAGTTGTCTGATGCAAAGACCCCCTTCCCCCTGAAATTAAAAAAATGATAAACGAAAAAGGGCTTGGAAGTTTGGTTAGGGAGATAAGATGTGCAGAATAAATATTTGAGATGAAAAACAATTGAAGAAGTGGAATATAAGAAACTACTGTTATTTCAAAACCAGATTGTTCAGTGGATGAACATACACTAACTGTTTATTACCGCGTTAGCAGAGATGATAAGTCCACTCATGTACTAGTAGGGTGGAGGGACGAGGGAGTAAAAGATTTTATACATAGTAGTCCTTTAAATTTATCTCAGCCCTATACACTTTCTTGATAAACTTGATTTATCTCAACAACTGCTGCATGGAATTATAAATAATCTTTGCAGGGTACTGGAATGGGGTGAAGGCTACTACAATGGACACATTAAGACGAGAAAATCAGTTCACAACAAGGATGTTGACAACCACAAACTAGGTTTAGAGAGAAGTGAGCAATTGAGAAAGCTTTATGAGGCTCTTTTAGAAGGAGAATCCGAGCAAGGAACTAAGAAACTCTCACTGGCACTATCTCTGGAGGACCTCTCTGATCTAGAGTGGTATTACTTGGTTACCATGTCCTTCACTTTTAAAGTTGGCCAAAGGTACAGGACCAATCTTCTCCATCTCGTTTGTCTCGAATGCTATAAATTTTACCTTGCTAATTTTATATAACAATCTCCTCAATCTTGCTAGTCACTTATTTCTATTCCAGCCTTAAGTTGTTGATTCTGCCTTGTACTATAATACAGTATGAAGCCAAATCAGAAAACACCTTCCCCCTCTTTCCAATCCCAAATATCTAATCCATGTCAAAATTTATTACCCAAAGCCCGTCTGCCTGAGTCATATAGTTTTGTTCGGAAACTTCTATGACAACCAGGTGTACCTAGTACCTAAAAGTTGGTACACCAGTGCACTAAACAAGCATATTCCTTGGGGCTTTGGCGTATAATAGACAACGAGGTGAATGACTGAATCATCCTGTTGTTACTCCAGGATAATACATCTCTAATAGATGAATAAACCTTAAGAGTGTATTAATTCTCTCTACATATAGTAGATTAATTAGTGTTTATTACTCACAACTGTTATATGTCAAACAATTGGTCAGTTTGCCAGGAAGAGCATTGGCAACCGGGCAACATATCTGGCTATATGACACTCAATCTGCTGATAGCAAGCTGTTTTCTCGCTCTTTGCTGGCAAAGGTTAGATTTGGGGCATTTAGAATCTGTTTCATGTGCATATATCATAATTGAGAAGATTATACCAAACTACTTGCTAATTTCTTTTACTCGTTTCCTTTTTGTCTTCTGCCTTCCACAACAAATCTGGGTTTGTAAAGAGCGCATCTATCCAGGTATGATCAATTCTCCTATCCCTTATGGAACTAAGCTTCAGTCTTTTTGTTCTTGTGGATTATTCAATTCTATCTGGATTTTTTTAATACCATGTTTGGAGTAACTATTCTAGTACTATATTTGATACTCAAATATGATGACACTAATTCAAACTAGATGCAAAAATATGTAGCTCGTAAGTTTATACCAGCCTCACAATGTGCACCATTCACAAGTTTGAGTGTGTATCATATTACCCAAATATCAGCACACTCGAATGTTGACCAGAGAAAAATAATGCAGCACTAATCTGTAACTTTACCAGGAAACTACACCTTCATATTCGAGGATCAGAAACATTTTTACCCCACATTGTGTAGTTCAGTCATTAGCAGCATAGCTCAATCACACATAAAGCAATTCTGCATCAAAATTAAAAATATCAAGACTTAAATCAATCAATCAATCAATCAAAGCCTTAATCCCATAAGTGGGGTCGGCTAACATGAACCAAATTTGATTATTCCGTGTAGTTATCAACAAAATTTATCAAGACTTAAATGCAAACAAAAAATTTATCAGAGAAGATATGTAATTCCATACCTCAAGATCATGCAATGATTAGTTGTCCATGCCATTGTCTGAGAGCTGTGTACAGAATCAATTTTCATTCAAAGCTGACAAAAAAGCAAATACAAATTGTACCACCAGATACTATTTATTACAACTATGGTAAATCATTGAATATTTTAGTTTCATTCGACATGCTTCTATATTTCCAACACTATGCAGCAAAAAGCTTCAAGTGGTTGAAAAATTAGGCCCTTTAGCATGAGCCTAAGCAGGCCCTTTTTTTTCATGAAACACGAAACTATAACTTGAATGACTGAATACCTTGCTTCTGTTATTTGCTTGCAGACTGTAGTTTGTTTTCCACACAAGGGGGGTGTGATAGAGCTAGGTGTAACTGATTTGGTAAGCGCTATACTCATAATACGGAGCCACTAACCACCTAAGTTCACAGATTGTACTTTGTCACCATAATAACACATTTTGAATGATTTCTTCATTATTGCTTTTCATTCAAGGTATTAGAGGACGTCAGTCTCATTCAACACATCAAAACTGCCTTAGTACAGCCTATAGAGCCTGATTGCTCCCCCAAAGCTTCATCAGTTCCACAAAAGGAAGATTCTGACAAGGACCATGTAATTGCTAACATTAATGAGAATGAGGATGAGATGGTGGATATATTACCTTTCTCAAGCCTTCATAACTCTGCCGAACAAATAAAGTTTGACGAAGATATTGAAAACGGATTATATCAAAGTGTCCTAGAAGAATTCATAGGTTCTCCAGGTGATTGCTCAAATGACTCCAGCCACCATGCAGAGGAATCTTTCTACAGCTGCACATCCACCTTCGTTCCATGGAAGAAAGAATTAACAGCTGATAATTTCAGAATGCAAGAATCACAGAGTGTTCTGAAAAAGGTCTTATTCAGAGTACCTTTGATAAAAACTAATAGGAGAAACTCAGGCAGTGTAAAGGAAGATGAAATGCAAGACTATCCTATGAGTCCACAAACTTATGATGCATATAAGCTGGATTTTGCTTTACAGGAAACCACAGCTAATTTACTGCTCTCCGAATTGGAGGAAAAAAGAGACAATCCACTGTATATGGTACAAGAGCCAATGATTCCTTCCATCACTGAGGTACTTCATCTCAATTTGTATCTTTATTTCACTACTTTGTCAACAAACATCAGAACTAGCAGGAAAACTTTTAACCAAATAAAGAGCTATGAATTAGTTTAGTTTATCTATTTATTCATAAAGCCACCTTTCACTTAGCATCCTTTGGACCATTCCTTATCTTCAGATTTTCAACCAACCATATATTGGTTACGTTTTGTTAACAGCCTACATACAGTCCCCATTTTCCTATTATATAACACAATGAATGACAAAATGCCCCTTTATTTCAATTTTACAAGAATGAGCCATGATTAACAAAGGACCATCTCATCACTTATTAATAGAATAATGACATAAGGTGGTAGATTCAAAACAGAATGTAATAGGTTATCAAATGAAAGACCATAGTTAAGGAATTTTCACGAAAAATAGACTGCAAGTGTGGTGAATTGGAAAGAGTCAAAAATAAGAGTTAGTTTTAGGAAAAACAGATAAATTTGCAATTATGTTACTTGTCAGCAAATTGATCCCAGTACTGATGATATTTCAGATAGATGAAGCATTTATTCTAACTGATGCGACAAAATACTTGGCTGGAGTTGAAGAGCTAGAAACTAGCATAGATTTGGAAGGAACAGGAACAGCAAAAGACTTAGATATGCTAGAGCAGAGTCAACAGGCATATGACATTTATAACAAGAGTATGGCTTCTGAGATCAATGAAATTGACCCAAATTCAAATAAGGCTATTCAAACAGAAATTCTGCAGCCATTAGACATTGACATAGAGGTAAGCATAGAAGAGCTTGAGATTCTAATCACAATGAAATGCCCATGGAGGGAATGCTTATTGATTCGTATTATGGAAGTACTAAGCAATCTTAACTTGGAGACTCACTCAGTTCAATCATCAACTCTTAATGGTATTCTCTCCGTGTTCCTTAAATCCAAGGTTTGAGTCCACCACTGAATCTTAGCAAATCTATTGATGGATATCTTTTCATTTATAATCATCACTCTAGACATATCCTGAAATGAGGTCAATAATTACATGAATGCTGATTTTTTTTTATTTTTTTTTTTAATTTTTTTTTTATCTTAATTTCAGTTTCAGAAGGCAGCATTTGCATCAGAAGGGATGATCAAAGAAGCTCTTAGTAGGACTATCAGAATGTGTTGAGATGTAAAATGATTCTATCAGTGTAATGCTACTCAGTCTTCAAACTCCAATTCACACCAAATTACTTGTGCCAACCCTTAGATACTTGCCTACTACACAAGCCTTGAACACTTTAAATTGAGTAAATAATTAAATGAGGACATCTAGAGTCCGGACTGTTTCTGATGCTGGTCTAAGATGTGGAAATAAATCAGAAGCCTCTGTATATTGGAAAAAAAAAAAACTTGAAACTGAATCTTCTATTTTTTTTTTTTTTTTTATCTAAACTATGTACACCAAGTAGCTAGTTACTTTGTGCTCCAGATATGTAGATTCTAGTAAACTAAGTTGCTTAATCTGATAGTCGAACCAGCAATTGAAGGCAAAGAAAAGGAAAAAGCAGCACATGCACAAGGCTTGAAATTGATAAAGCAGAGGGAGACAAGCAACTGCTTTTAAGGCCAAATTGGTTAAAAACTCCTGCTTAATGAAGCAGCAAGTAATTAGTCAGGCTTCGTGCAAGAATTTCAGGTTCAAACTCACTCAAGTCAAAGTTCTTTTCTACCTCGAATAGTAACAACTTATATAGGACATCTATGTAAGATAGTGAATGTAATATCTGTCCCGACAAGTAAGAGGTCTTTTATCAACATCATAAACTTATATAGTCTGCAAATGCTGCAGCCAATCTATGTCTCCAAATAACCAAAGAATGGATTCATGAATTCAGATATGTTGCTCTCCTAAGACAACTCAACTGAGCTGTACGCCTATTAGCTACTAGCCTATGACCTACTATTAATACACATGAAACTGAGTACATATTCCAACAGTAGCAACAGATGTCTACAATATATTTATAGAACAAAGAAACAGAATACATATCAAATTATAAGCTAGTTGAAACATCTATTAGAAATAAACAAACTATTTTTAATTTTCAACAAAGTTGAAAGACATATAAGGGTTCTTTTTTATGTTTTCGAAGTATTTTTTTAATCTGTAATTTATTATGAGCTACTTACCCTGAAAATGACAATTATATATATCAATCTATACTCTTGAAAATGTCTCTATGATAATTGTCCATGTCTAATCTCCATCACCCGATTTAAGTATGGGCATTTGGGAATCTATCTTATCATAATCTGTTACTAGTAATGAAAGTGACTACTTTCTATTAGTATTCCCAAAATCATATATGTGCGACTAATTCTTGAACACAGCCACAGGGAAATAAAATGTTTTACCAAGATGCCCTGTTTTTAGTTTATGAAAATAAAAGATCAATCAACTTCTGTTTTATAAAAGTTCTAAAGGAAACTATCAATTTAAGCACATCAAACCCTTTGATTTGATCATCTCACATCTTAATCCGACACAATGATAACTTAAGGGGCTAATTGGTGACGTAAACTTGAGTGATTCTGATTAATTTTCAAGTCAAGAAGTGAAAGGACACAATTGCTACATATATGACTACAATTTAGCACAGTGAATCAAGCAAGGATAAAAAAATTTAAATTGCCCTTAAGTTTACTCAAGCAACAATCTTACATGGTCTTCAAGAAAGCGAAAGAAGGCATGGGAGATATATTCAAATCAATAAGATAAGTAATTTCCCAGCTGTATCCTGTATGTCTAAGGAATTTAAAAGGGGATCTATTGCTTCTTTGACTAATGGTCCAACTACAGTTTTTTCTTAAACTTTATGGCTTAGCTTCAATCATGCATATATTTAACTAATAGTACCAATAAACAAAATAGTCGATTACATCATTACATGTAAATCAATTCTAGAAGCAGCAACGACTGTTCAAAGGTGTAAGCATCTTGATTCTAAGAAGCTCCTTTATAGCCATAGGAAAACATGGATTGTCCTTACAAGCCAACTGTAATAAGCAACTGAGGTAGTACCAAATCTACTAGTTGTGAGGCTAAGTGAACCTTAATTGTTTATTATCACATGTTTTGGTGTGGTAGCAAGTTCAGTGCACACTTCACTTAAACAATATAAACTCTGCCACTATGAGTTCACATAAGACAGCCTATTTCTTAAACTATGCTCCTCAAATTTAGGGTCACATCTACAGTAACTGTCTAGCCTAAATAGGCTTTTTGGTCAAACATAACTTGGTTTAAATATTTAAACATACTCCTAGCTTAGAGCATGAGACCCTTGGTAAGACTTTTTAACATACTCTTGCAGAAGAGAAAACCAACCAAGTGACTGCATCTTTCGATCTTTTCCCGGAAATTTTCATTATTGTTTAAGTTACATTTGATACTCGTTCCGTCTCTCTTAAGTAGGCCACATTTGGTTTGAGGCAACTTCTTAGAGATTGGGTTAAGATACCATGATTATTATAATTTTATGAGATATACAATAAAAAGTTGACTTTTACGTATTTTTTAATCTCAGAACAAAAACAAAGCACTTAAATCCATCATAGAATATTGTAATATAACAGGTAGATTGAACTCAAACACTAGACCAAAGTAAAAGATATATCATGAAAAAAATGAAATCAACTATTAAGGAGATGAGCTAACGCCGCCTAAATACGTTAATTATTACAAATCCAGCCTGGGAAGTAACATAGCTTTCAGCCTCTCAAAGGAATAAAACAAAAATTGATTCACAGTAGTCTACTCGTAAGTGAATTCATACAAATATTAAAGACAAGTTTTTTCTTTGGCACATGGAATAGTAATGTTTCAAACGGGAGCAATATGAGCATCTAATATTATATTCCCAGGTCATTAATCAATGGAAACTATCATCCTATAGGGGAGCACATAGACATGTTCATAATTCAGCCGGTAAAAATGAAACAACTTGCTCATTTTTCATTATTCATGTCCTTTCTGTGTGACTTGCAGCCACGGCTGAAGTGCTAGATGTTGATGTAAGCATACATGTAAGACCATAATTAATAACTAACATTTGTACAAAAATATTGGGCACAAAAACCAAACATTACTTGTATAATTCATAATGGAAGGAGCAACAACACATAAGTATTCCCACAACAACAAGCAACAAAGTCAAAGCCTCCAAGTCGCCTATAAACTAAACCTTACATAGTTGTGATCTGTCTTTCTCTTGAATAACAGAAAAAAAAAAAAACAGTTGGATAATTATTAGCAAGCAATCATGAACCGCAGTTAGGATCACACTATATTAAATAACCGGAACCAATTAACAGTCATAATACAATTAACAATAGTACATTGGAGGCAATATTTTCTTTCTGATCTTACTATAAAGAATGGTCTCTGGAGTATTCATGATTATTTACATCCCAACTCCTGTCCCAGCGAAATCTCTAACTGTATTCCCCACTTTTTCATACCTCTCTTTATCATCAAACTCTCTAAAACGGATATAGTCCGAGCAAACAAATGGCTTGAAAATCCTTTTATTACCTTCTCCTACAACCTCCTCAGGTGCAAAGATCAGCTTCTCATCTTCAAAAGTCCAAAAGAAGGCCAAGGACAAACGATTTCTAGGTTTCCTTAACATGACTCGATGTTCAGATGACCTTAGACTTCCATTGCTCCAAGCTTCCATCATATCACCTAAGTTCACCACAAGACTACCCTTGCAAGGTTCAACATCCATCCACTTTCCCTCCTTTGATCTTACCTGAAGACTGCTTACATCGTCAGGATACAGGATTGTCATACAGCACATGTCTGTGTGCTTACCAAGCCCTTCTACTTCTTCATGAGATGGTCCTGGGGGACTGTAGTTTATAATCCTTAGATAGCCATAACATTTCCCGAATTCAGTTTCACAGAATTTTTTCTCAAAACCTTCTCCCAAGCTCATCAATATGGCCTCTAGAATCCTCCTGGATAGTTCTGTCATTTTGAACCCATACTCTTGCACCACCTCACTGTCAAAGAAAACTTATGTACATGTGATAACACTACAGCCAAATTGGATGAAAAATAAAACCTACAACATCCCATCCCAGTAGCTAAAAAAAAGAAAGGAAAGATAAGGAAATGATGAGGCTGCATACAGTGTTTACCTGAATTCATTACTCTTCTGGCCAAAAAGAACTTTCCCAGAACATTCAGCAGAGGAAAAGAAATCTGGCCCTAAAACTCGAAGACCCTCATAGAAAGGAGAGGCTATAAATTGAGGAGTATAACTCTTAACAGACGATGAAGGACCAAGCTTGAGTTTTGTCTCAGAGGGAAGGCAGTAAATTTGTCTCGAAAATGAGGATAACTTGCTGTAAAGTTCTTCAGATATTCCATGATTAATGATATGAAAGAAGCCCCATTCTTTGCAGGCTTCCAAAAGAGCGGACAAAGAAGATGGATTTGGTTCCTTTGAGAGGTCCAAGATTGAAAGCTTTAGAGAGCTTAAAGATTGAGACATTCTATTCTAGAAAAAGACAAAAAGGTTTGGCTGCCAACTAATCCTGTACACTAAGATACAGTTGGAAGGTTAGATTACAAGGCAGAGAGAATGTCTATGTCCTATATATAACCTTTTTAGGATCAGCAGCAGTGATTATTTCCTACGCACATATGAGTTTCTTGATGGTTAGAATTCTATATATGCAGTGCCGTATTACGAGTAGAAAATGACTATTAGGACTGGGTCATTATATCATAATATGCAGCAACTTGAATAAAAAGTCTTCTCACTTACTTTCATCTAGGCATTTGGGTGTATTGAATGTTTGACTACATAAAGAAAAGTTTTCCATCCAAACGGTTTAAGTAATTAAAAAGTTTTTTGCAACTTGCTAGTTAAGCAATTGAAAAGCAATGCCTGAATCAGCTTTGTCTTATTGGGAAGGTTATAAGTAATTATGTAAGAAATAGAATAAGGTTCATGGTGAAGAGGATAGAGCAATATTATATCAAGAGGTTTATAAATAATGTTTTTTTGGCTTCATCAGTTCATAAGTAAAATTCACCTTTCAGGAAAATACAGGCTCAGCTAGTGGACATGTCAGATTTCATCCTATCACATCAGATTTTTCCAAAGCATATGCAGAAATTATTACCTCAGCTAGGCTTGAGAAAAACACATTACAGTTGAAAAGAAACCTAGGAGATCCTCATTCATACAATATACTAAAGGTTCATTTAGAACAAGGTAATAAACTAATAATTAAGCCATAGTTCAAAGGTAAGATAAGTAAACATTGACAGGATATGAGGTAACTCTTATGAGTGGTCTTTCTGCAGACAGGTAAGATAAATAAATGTAAAATGGGGCGAATTTGACTGTTGTCTTAAATACACATATCGTATCATCAAATCTTAGTAATGATATGACATGAGAATTGGATAATTCAAAAAAGAACAAGAATGAAGCAAAAATCTGAAAAGTATCATGTATAATCTTCAAATCTGCCCCCATACACAAACCTTAATCCAGTTGTCTCAAGGTTCAACAAAGGACATTATGGCATTGTCTTCCCTTCAATTGAACATTTCTAATGCCGGCACTAAAGAACTCGGTCAAGCCATGGAAAAAGACATTAATCTTCTATAATAATTTAACTTAGCTACCTCGAATCCCACTGAACAGAACAATGTTCCCACTTGTATCAGATTGGTACAAAGAATATCTCTGTATTTAATATTCCATAGTACTTGCCTAGAGTAGTCATAGATTTTGGAAAAATTTTAAAATTGAAAAAAGATCAGTCATATACCTTATCAGATCTTTTTCTTTTCGCTCCACCTCAATTCATGATCTGTTTCACATCTTCAACCTACTCCGTCTACACTTATCTATTTTACTACTATAATAAATTAAACGAGCATTTCACTCGATATTGATACAAATAAATAGAAGATAACTAAATGAAGACGCATGATCAAATCTGATTACTATAGCTACCCATAAATTGCAGCAGCACATAATCAAATAGTTTTGGATTCTCATGATTTGTCATACTTAGGCCAACAGGAGGCAGGCTATGTCCCTTGTTAGCCCCAGGCAATAATTTTCCTCAACCAACAAGCACAGTCCAGTAATTTCTTTAGACTACAAATGGGTAAGTGAAAAACATATAGGAGCCATCTATAAATACTAAAATCAACAGTCATATAAATCAACATGTATGAATGCAACGCCTCTTAAACATCCTAAACTATGCATGCGAAAGGTATTGCTCAATGCACAAACCTCAGTATCTCACCTTACATCTTTCACATTATCATGCAGAGATTAAGTTGTCACCTCAAGGCTCAATTAACATCTCCAATTTACAGAGGCACATAATCCAGCAAACTAAATAATCTACCACAACTACAGTAGTACATTTGTCCAATACTTCAATTCATGGAAGAGTTTTACTTCACCTTACCATATCTATTAAGGTTTATAAACTATAACATGACTATGTTATGATATTCAGTAATAATTAACAATGCCATAGAGATAAGAGCAGAGACACTACTGACCATACCATTATTCCATCACAATCAAGCAATCGTCCTAGCCGCCGAGTCCCATCCCATGAATCTATTTACTGCAACAATCTGAAAGACAAATGAATTGAAATTGTGTCAATGGTAATCAATGGTACACAAAGATCAAGGTCATATAAAAATTGTCATGAACGCATCCTTCTTAGCATTTAGTAAAGAAACTGTTATCAATAGTTTATCCTAGGAATCCATATCAATCATTTAAATTGCAATTTATGTCTTTGTCACAAACAAAACACGTTTTATAACCAAGACCTAATGAAACCATGTCACAGGGACTCTTCCTTTATCTTAAGTGCCCATGTCAAATACTCGACACGGGTATTGAAATTGAACATTCCAACTTAGGCCAAAACATGTGAACATTTGGAAAAATGGTTGGGGTTGAGTCTCACACTTGGATATGTACCCATGTCGGACAAAAGTAGCCAAGTCGCCAGCTTTAAAGACTTAGCAAAGCATGATCCAAAATTACCCACATTAGGTCTAACATGACCCAAATTCCACTCAACTCAATTGGACACAGATTATGCATAATGCATAAACCACCAAATATGCTAAAATTTTCTTGATAAACAGATTAAAAAAATAACCCCAGAAAAATTATCCCCTAATTTTATCATAAATCAATACAACCTCGGCAAAGATCACCAAAAAAATATAAAAAAAATGAAGCTGCAGAATTTTTAAAGTTTCAATTTTATCATAAATCAATACTCTGTTTTTTTTTTTTTCGAAAGTTTCAATATCAGTATTCAACTAGGAAAAAAAAAAAACAGCAAATTGTTTTAACAAGCTCACTAAGATAATTTTAGAAGTCATTGTCACACCAAATTCAATGGCATTCGTGCAAATCACGATTACCTTACAAAAAACCCAGAAGAATTAAAGCCAACCCACTTCAAATTTCTTCATTTTACGCCATTAATCAAACAAATGCTTCGTCAAATTTTCTTCATTTTCGCCATTAATCTAACAAATGTTTCGTCAATTTTCTTCATACTTCTGCAGAGTACAGAATACAGTACTGTAGTTAGTTGAATGTCACACCAAAATCAGCTTCCTAAATTGGGCCCAGATCGCTTAAACTCTATCACAGTCTCTCTCTATATTTGGGCTAATATTCGGTCCAGTTCTCTTTTCCTAAACTTTACTACGAAGTAAATTTATTATTTTTCTCATTTTTTTCTATCAATGGAAGACTAAATCATTAATCTCATAAATTATTGATACAAAATAATGATAAAAAAAACAAAATTTTTTTTAAAAAAAGTGAGAATTTAATAATGTCAAAATTTAAAAAAAAGTGAGATTTAATAATGTCAAAATTTAAAAAAAAGTGAGAATTTAATAATGTCAAAAAAAAAAAAAAAAAGTGAGAGATAGCTCAAGTGGTTAGATTCCTAAATCTACTCAACCACCCCAGCCCCACCACCGCCCACTGCCACCTTCACCCAACCCAGCCGCCGGCTAGACGTCGGTGCATCCCCTCCCCTCCCTTACCCGACCCACCTTTCCCTCCCCCTCCCTTACCGACCGACCTAACCGCAACCCTCCTTCCCCAAAACGCCCACGAATTCGGTCATTAATGGCTGAAATCAGCTGGTTTTGGGGCTAAGTGGCCTAAATCGGCCGATTTCGGCCATTAATGGCCGAATTCGTGGCCGTTTTTGGGGAACGACGGCTACAGTTCAATGCTTTTAGGTTTAGGGCTGTGGGAAAAGGGAGGGGGTGGGTTTAGGTTGGTCGGTAAGGGAGGGGGAGGTGATGCGCCGACGGCTATGGGTGAAGGTGGAGAAGAAGGTGGCGGTGGTGGGGCTGGGTAGTTTTAGGTTTTTTTTTTTTAAAAAAAAAATTATATTTTTGTTTTTTTATTTTTTTCTGTTTTGGCCAATAATAAAGCGACACATGGCTTTATGGTCCCACTTAACGCATTCTTGGACGGAATCAATTAAGTGATGGTAAAATCAAATTTGTTAAAAATGTTTTGGTGTTAAAAAATATTTTTTTTGGGTGTTAAAAACCATTTTCGAGTTTTTTCCTAGTAATAAAATCTAAAATTTCTTTTATAAAATATGCTTGATAACATGACCAAATTCTAGAGATACTAGCTAGATTCATAACTAGTATAGTATATATTTTTGAGAAATTGAAGTTTTGAGATTCTCTTTTTATAATTGCTTTAGGTTTTGGAGTATCATGATGTGGTTGGAAGGGTAGAAAAAGATGGCAGGGCGGATTCATGTTTAAGGTAATGGGGTCAATTGACCCCACTTATTTTTGAAAAAAATAAAATCTTGTTATAAATATTTAAAAAGATGAAGAAATAACAATAATTATATACTCTAGCACCGGTATAGGTATCCTAATGAGTAGTGACGCACACCCCCCCCCCCCCAAACTTTACACAACGACCTCTGCAATCATGTACCTGTGTTTTAAGGTTTTCGAAAGTTGTTTTATTGGAGAGGCTCTTGTTTGTATTTATTATATGTGTTAATAATGTGCAATATAATATATAAATAGTTTTATGTAATTTGTTAATTTATAAATAATTATAATTTAGTTTATTTAATTTTGATTTAATTTTGATTTAATTTGAACCCGCCTATATAAAATGTTAGATTCGCCCTTGGAAAAAGGGGATTTAGTGATTAGACAGATGGTAATTGAAAAATATAGACAAAATTGAATGAAGATGACGAGGAATTTTGGGTGGAATTTGAGTTGAACAAGTTAGACCCTGTGGATCGTATGGAGGAAGCTTCCTTCGCAACGGTGTGTTTTAAATATTACGAGGGTTTGGGCAAGTCTGGATCAATGGATCAAATTGAGGGTTTGAAAATAAAAGAAGAGGTTGAATTAAAGGGATAATTTTTCGGAAAAATTGTCAAAAATAATACTATCCGCGGTTCGTATTATATGCAACTTTGATGTATTATTTGTGAGATATAAAATATTTCAAAGTTCCATATGATACGAACCAGAGGTAGTACAAAATTTGAGCGGTCCGCCAAAAACAAGTTAATCTTACGATTATTTCTAAATAATACAAACTTTGGGGAGTATCCGCTTTAAACAAGTTATGACCTGTTAATAACCTAATTAACAAGTTATGTGGGACACGAGTCATTATCTTATTGGTTTAACCATTTATTTTGCTTTTTTTTTTTTTAAGATTATTATTTTATTAAAAAAAAATTAAAAAATCCACCATCTCCTCCACCAGCCACCAGCACCACCGGCGCAACCTCCTCCCCAGCCCTCAGGCGCCGGCCACACCCAGATCCCCTTCCCTCGGTGCCGGCAACTACCCCTCTCCCCCGCGCGTCATCCCCTTCCATCTTCCCCGGCAACCAACGAACCCCCTTCCCCAAAACCCTCCTTCCCTCGCAAAACCACAAAAAACCTATCTCCCACCCTCAAAATACCCTAATCGGACCTCCCCAACCACCGCTAGGGGTTCGATTAGGGTTTTTTGGGGGTGGGGTTGGGTTTTTGGTGGTTTTGCGGGGGAGGGAGGGTTTTGGGGGAGGGTGTTAGTTGGTTGTCGGGGAGGATGGAAGGGGGTACGGTGACGCGCGGGGGAGGGGTTTGGCACCGGCACCGAGGAGGAAGATCTGAAAGCGGCCGGCGCCGGGGGACTAGGAGGGTTTTGGGGGCGGCGGCGGTGGGTGGCAGGTGGAGGAATTAGGAGATGCTTTTTTTTTTTTTTTTTTTTTTAAGAAAATTTTAAAAAATATTTTAGTTGAAGAAAATTTTAAAAAATATTTTAGTTGTTATTTTTTTTTTGAAAAGTTTTAATTGTTAATTAACTATAATTAAAGTTGTTATTAAGAGTAAATTACATTTTTATTAAAAAGGAAAAAATAATTTAACCGGTCATTCATGTAGCAGGTAAAATAACTTGTATAAAGCGGATACTCACAAAAATTTGTATTATTCAGAAATAATCAAAAGTTTGACTTGTTTTTGACGGACCGCTCAAAGTTTGTATCATTTTTGACAATTTTTCCTAATTTTTCCGTGAAGAGTAAGAGGAGAATGACGTGGAATCTTGGTGAAGATATCCAGGCAAAAAAAGAGAAACTTGAGGAGGAGAAATTGGCAAAGTTGAAGGAGAAGTGTGGGATATGTGATGAGATATTAGAACCTGACAGTGATGTGGGTACCTGGTTAGATTTGACAACAAGAAAACTTGCATGCAGTAGTAAGCAACACAGACGGAAAATTTCATGTGTTTCATCTTCATTGTCTTATGAGTTGGATACTGTATTATGAGTTTAGCAAATTACAAATTAAATAAGCAAGGACGTGGAGAGGGGTGAGCTTTTTTGCCTGGTTTGTCACGCTAGTTTGGCTACTAGTTCGGAGGATGAGTTGATTCGTCTTGGTGAGTATAAATCGCAGGTGATCAATGCTAATTGGTCATGGGATTATACGGGACTTGGTTTGGCACCGCGATACATTGATGAGATTTGGACTCGTACTCCCTAAAGTGATGATAGACAATGCCAATAGCAAGATTAAAGACTTTCCTAAATGGTTTCCAAATTATGATCCTATTGAAGATTAGAGTGCTCTTGAATGCCGTGGAAAGTTTATGAAGCCGGCATTCTTGTTTTCCAACTTGTATTAAACTCCTATCATATACTACAAATTAGATCTTGTTTTCTACTTGTATTAAACTTCTATCATATACTTTAATCTCCTAATTTCTTTTTAAAATTTTCTAGCTTGTGATTGCCCAATTGCACCTAATACTCCTTCCGTGTTTTAATAAATGTTACATTTTGACTTTTTCACTATTCACATAATGCATGGTTTTGACTTGATTAATTTACTAATATATAAAAAAACAAATGTTATTGCATAATACATTGTTGGTTACGTTATAATGTACACTTTCATGATATCAATTTTCCTATAATTTTACTAACATATACTTCCTCTGTTCTTTTTTACTTGACCCGCTTTGACTTTTACACTATTCACTACTCCTCTTTTGACCATCTTTTTTGAAGTATAAGTAAAAAAAAACATATTCATGTGGAATCTTGTTGCAATTATTTCAATAAGTACTATTACAATATATAACTTTTATAATATTTACTGATAAAGAATTAGAGTTATTGATGGTTAAAATTATGCATGACAAGCGTGATAAAAGAAACAGGTCAAGTAAAAAAGAACAGAGGAATAGAAGTAATTAGATAAATTAATGGTCAAAGTCGTGTCTCGGCATGCGTGTTTGGTCAAACTGTAACACTTATTAAAACACGGAGGGAGTAACCAATTGTCTTGCTTCTTCCTCAGTCCAAACTATGTTAGATCTTTATTTTTAAGATTTAATTCACCCGTTGTTTGTAATACAAGTATTAACATAATAACTAGTATTTGGGCCCGGGTGATGCCCTGGATCATTACATTTTTTCTTGTAAATAATTTTTTTATACATATTAATATTTTGTTTTAAAAAGTAACATAAATAATCACATAGCTTGGTGGTAAGATGTTCATCATTAGAATTAGAGGTTGCCTGTTCAAATCTTGTAGAGAACATTTTTTAAATATAAATGCATCATGTAATGAGAAACATATGATAGGGAGATGCACATGGAGTTGAGTGGGTGACATATAAACTTTTTTAGAAACGCCTTTTAATATATTAGTATAGATTATATGTACTTGTATTTCTTTTGTTTTATTTGGTACTCCTCTGTTATCTTTTGGTTGCAAATCTCACTTATATGGACGTTTACAAGTAGTTGCGTTGTAAGATATCAACGGATTGTGGATGGCAATTTGCAAGCTTTGGTGCAGCAGCTGCCTTGCATTTTTGCCGGTTGAGACTGCTGGATTGAGAATTTTGTGAGTTTACTGATGCTCTTAAATCCATTATGAACTATTTTTGTGTATGTTAATACACGTTTTTGGGCCTCTTATTACGCCATAACACTTGGATAATTGGGCCTTTAATGCTGAAGGTACGATACATAAAGACAATTAAATTGGGCCCAAGGTTGGTTTATTTATTTATTTATTATTTGTTGTTATTATTGGTGCATGTTTTTGTGGGAAACAACATTGAATTCATCTTCTCAATTTTTCTTAAAAATGCGGTGCTTAGCGTATTCATTGAATTCATCTAACAAGGAAAGCCAAGTTTTCTTAAAAATGCGGTGGAACTAAGTGCTTTGCGTATTCTTATCTGACCGATAAGCATACAACAACAACTATACCAAAATATACAAAAATTGCAGTTAAAATTTGCCGCCTTTTTTTGCATCTTTCAAACGAATCCCTCACTTTGTCTCCCTCTTCATGGCATCAATTCCTTCACCTTTCAATAAATTCCCCTGCCTCTAAACCCAAATTACCTGCAAATTATGGCACTGAAGTATCCCATTCATTTCAGTTTCAGGAATGCACACAACCTGTTCGATAAAATTACCAACAGAAGATTTTCCCTCCAAACTCCATTATTTAGTTTATACTGCAGTACATTATACCACACTGCTGCCTCTATAAAAGACCCAATTGAATTTTATGGTGAATTTAAGGATTTGGTGCATTGGACTTCAACCATTTCTGGTTTAGTGAGTCGAAACCGCCCGAAAGATGCCATTGATGTGTTCAAGTTGATGCTTTTCAATGAACAGAGGCCGAATTATGTTACAATATTGAGCGTGCTACGGTCTATCAATGTATTAAGGTGGAAGAACATTGCTTTCTGTGTTCATGGGTTGGTGATCAAGATGGGATTTGAATGGGAGATTTCAGTTGTGACTGCTTTAATTGGTGTTTATGGTAATGTTCATACCCCTTTTGTATGGAAGCTTTTCTTTGATGTACCTAAGAAGGATTTGGTCTTGTGGAGTGCGATGGTTTCGATATGTGTAAAGAATGGTGAATATATGGGTGCTATTGAGGTATTTAGGAACATGATATGTGAAGGGATGGAACCTAATCTTGTGAGCATTGTGAGTATTTTGCCAGCTTGTGCTAAGCTTGATTCACTGATATTGGGAAAACAAGTTCATGGGTTTGGTCTTAAAACATCATTTTATTATTTAAATAACATCCAAAACTCTCTCATAGACATGTATGCAAAATGTAGGAATTTCAAGTATGCAGCTCAAGTCTTTGCTCGAGTCCATGAGAAAGATGTAGTCACTTGGAAGACGATGATTCGTGGATGCATTGACAATGGCTACTCAAGAGAAGCATTATTTGTTTTCGCTGACATGCACAAGTCTTGCTCTGAAATAGATAATGGCATTTTCTGTGGTGTTATTGGTGCAGTATCTGATACAGAAGAGTTTATATTTGGACTTGGGTTGCATTGCTATAGCTTAAGATCTGGCTTTGCTGTATCCGTTTCTGTTGGGACAGCTCTTCTGCAAATGTATGCAAAGTTTGGTGAAGTGAAACCATCTTGGTTACTGTTTGATCAGCTTCATCCAAAGGATCTCATTGCTTGGACTGCAATGATATCTGCATATGCTCAAAGTGGTTACACGAGCGAGGCTCTAAGTACATTTAAGCATATGCAATCAGCTAGTGAGAAGCCTAATGAAGTCACTTTTGTCAGTTTGCTACAAGCTTGTTCTTCATCAGGCACTCAAGAGCTTGGTGAAAGCATCCATGGTTATGTAACTAAAGCTGGTTACTTGCATAATTCATTCTTAATCTCAGCTTTAATTGATTTATACTGTAAATTTGGAAGAACAAAGGAAGGAAGAGCACTCTTTGACAAATGTTCAATCAAAGACCTGATAATATGGAGTTCAATGATTAATGGGTATGGATTAAATGGTTGTGCAAATGAGGCTTTGGAAATTTTCTCAAACATGTTGGAAATTGGAGTAAAGCCCAATGATGTAGTTTTTGTATCGGTCCTGTCTGCCTGCAGCCATTGTGGGTTAGAAGACGAGGGATGGCACTGGTTTTATTGCATGCAAGAGAAGTATGGAATTGTGCCAAAAGTTGCTCATTATGCTTGCATGGTTGATTTGCTGAGTCGCCAAGGAAATGTTGAAGAAGCTCTTGATTTTGTATACAGTATGCAAGTAGAGCCTGATAAGAGAATTTGGGGGTCTCTTCTGGCTGGATGTAGATCAACTCATGTATCAATCACCGTAGTAGAACGTGTTGCTGAACACCTGATTAGATTAGATCCAAAAGATACAAGCTGTTATGTTGTTTTGTCAAACTTTTATGCAGAAGAAGGTAGATGGGATGATGTTGAGAGGGTAAGAAAATTGATTGATGATAAAGGAATGGAAAAGATGACAGGATACAGCACTGTTTGATAATATCTGATCAGCTGCTGGATATGTTACAATTTCATAGAAGGTAAATCTACCATTTTTATACCCTCCTTCGAAAGAAGAAAATATCTTTTTGAGAAGATAATTGTGAGTTTGTGACTAGCACTACAAGCATTTTGAATACTTTCTTTCTGGTTCATAATTTTTGAGTGATAAATTCTGTCAATTGATTACTGTTGTAATGTTATTCTGAAGTCTGAACTCTCACAAAAGAAAACCTCAGGATTTAGAGATTTAAATCCTTGGGCCTAAACACGGTAAGTTAAACTGTCTTACCCTTATACTTGCTATGCCACATAAATTGATGGCTATTGTATAGTTCAATCCTAAAAAACCCTTAAAAAGTTCCTTGGTATGATGAAGCTTTTGCAAGTGCTTTCTAATATTTTTTTTTTTTTTAAAATGTTCTTCTAATTTTACAGAACTTATAACTTAATGTGCTAAGAATAGGTTTCATTATTACTTTACTTTCCCATGTTTTATAACTAGTAACCATAATTATTTATGTTATGGAGTACTAGCCTCAGTAAATGTCATGTTAATTAGCAGGTTTGTTATGTTTAAACTTGAATGATACTAAATTAGACATTTATTGCTCATTTAATTCTCTTCTTCAGCTTTCTTATGAAGAACAAAACTCTTCTTATCATATATTCCACCAGAATATTTAACTTTTTTTTGCTAGCCAGGGTTTTTTCACAATGGAAGGTGGTATCCTTGAAGTACTAGTTGTTAATGCAGAAGGAATCAAACCAAGAAATTTATTTGGTAAGGCTTCTTGTCTTTGTGAGAAGCATGATTTTTCTATTATAGAGCTGTATCTTAGGACGTTTTAGGGTGGAAATATTTATATGTTTAAATTTTGAAACAATTCTGATCTTATTTGGATTGTTGTTCAACTGATGTTATCTAATTCTTTGTTCCTAGGTAAACCGGCCTATTATGTAGTTATACAATGTGGCACTGAAGTGAGGAGGAGCAAGGCTACCAGAGGTCTTAGTCAAATTTATTTGAGCTTATACTTAATAATTTTGTTGTTGTTATAGTTAACCATAAACTCAATGCTGAAAACTACAGGTTATCACCATGAAGCTTTTTGGAATCAGAAGTTCGAGTTTGACTTTTCATTTTCTGAATGGAAGAATTTGACTCATCTGGAAATCAGTATAATGGATGATGAATCTTTCAACGATACTGGATTTGTTGGTCGTTCTATGTATGTCAACAAACACAACCTTTATTCACTTGTCTGATAAAGTCTCATGGTTTCAGTTCCTTTCCTGTGATGCAGGATTTTTCTGGGTGGGATTATTGAAGAAGGAAATGACAGGGGAATCGTCGAATTACATCCTTCAGCATATAATGTTGTGCATGAAGACACCACATACGAAGGAGAAATTAAGATTGGGCTTAAATTCGAAGCTTATGTGAGTACTATTTTATTGTCCTGTTTTAATTCAGGGCCGAAATTTAGGTCGGAGGGGCAGTAATGTACCACTCCTTTCCTCCTCTCTTAAATTGGTCCCCCTAGCTAAAAAGTTGTGTTTGGTCCATCCCAAAGGTAGTAAAATTATGGTACTGCCACTGTTTTGATTACCTCAAGTACTTTTCCAACACTTGTATGACAATCGATTGTTGCTTGTATGCAGAAAGAAGGGCACAAAGCGACCAAAGAAGAAACTGTGCAGGTTACGAAAGCAGGACATGATGTCTATCGAAGTTTGTTTAGAGTTTTAAAGATATCGTGGTGGCGAGTACTTTTTCCCTTTGGTCCATATTGAAGCCAGGCAAGTACTGAAGCTAACAAAGGCATAAACTGTTACTGAAATCATATACATATACATTTAGGAAGATGGTTAAGGGGTTATTTGAAGGATCTCCCAAGCATTAGATTTTAAATTGCAAAGGTGCAATATTCTTTGTGATCTACTAGTTCTAAATTGTAACACTCTTATAAAACGTTTAATATCCATAACCTCTCTATCAGTCAACATCACATTGTCATTTCATTGTCCGTTATATACGTATTTTTGTACCATCCTAATGTAAGTTTGTTAATAAAATATACGGGAAATTCCCATTGGTACGCTCCAGGTTTTGACTTTTCTCAACGGTACCCTTTTTTTTTTTTTTTTTGACTTCGTGCTGATACACCCCAGATTTTGACTTACTAACAGCCGTGATTAGTCTGTTAATCAGACGTTAATAACCTAGTTTACTAGCAGCTTAGGTTTAAAAAAAAAGACTAATTTGCCCCCATTTAATTCATTTCCCTCTCAAATTTTCTGTTATTTCCCACCAAAACCAATCAACCTATTCCCTCCCTATAAATGCGCCACTTCCTATTCTCTTCTCCATTTCATTTCTCCATTGCTGCATTTATTATCCTCTCCATTTTTTCTCTTCTCCATTTCTCTGACACGGCTGGTTCTTCGGGTAATGGTAATGGTTCTGGCAGCAGATATGGAAGGTCCATGTGGGTCAGACGCATCTACTGTAACTGCCATCCACCAAGACATGCTGATATTGGGGTTTCGGACTCCATTTCAAACCCAGGGAGAACATATTACAAGTGCAGGCACTGTGGTCTGTTTATGTGGGTTTCTGAAGATCAAATTATGGGAAACAAAACAGGGGAAACAAATCTTGATGAGTATAATCTGAGAGTGCTTTTAGAGGAATTTACTCAATTTACAGAGAGAGCATATGAATTTGTAAGCTACATTTACATGGTTGTTAGGATTGCTCTTGTCATGTACCTTATTTTACTCTTTGTAGCTCTCTAATGATATTTCTGTGTCTTTTAGTTATGCCATGTAATTGATAGATTATGAGTACTTGAAGGTTGTATTTTATGGGTTAATGAATGAAAATTGATAAAGAATTGGCATTTTTTTTTTTGTGTTTTATGTACTTTGTTAAGTTACCATTTAATCCAAACACAGACAAAATCATAAACTAAGGACAACTTTAAATAGACAAAATGGCGACAGTTGGCTATATTCATAATAGAGATAATTCAAGAGGTTTGGGAACATTGCAAAAAACACATAAGTACCAACTACCAAAGTTAAGTTTAAAAAACCCAAGTTAACTGCAAACAAAACCTGATGTTCAGTACCAAAAACTGTAGGGAATATTTCAAACATCAACTTTGAGCCCCACTGTGATCATGCACTTAAGTATGGTGGCGTCCAAAGGGAAAGAAGCTAGAGCAAAAGAGTCGCCAACAAGTTTTAGGAACTTGTAAACCGTTCACGGGTGTGAAGGTTACACCCCATTCACGATCACGGAGATCGCTAACTCCATAGTGGTCTGGAACCATGACTGGATATTCGGGGATGATTGTACGAATCTAACCAAAAAGAGATTGACCCGCCCTAAATCGGCCTCTACTAAATTCTTATGATATTCATGTGCGCTTCCCGATCAACATACATACAACAAATTAGTTCTAAACTTGTTTAATCTACGTTGGTTGATTATTAATGCACAAATAAATCTATTATTGGTGATCACTTGAATTAAAATCATGTTAAGCCCTAAATCAAATTGTTAATTATCTTATTAGGCGTGATTTTAAGTACAAATTCCCTTTAAACCTGCAGAAAGGGCGTGATCAAACAATAACAATGAATAATAAATAATCAAGCAACGTAATGAATTGACACAAAAAATCATCATCATAACAAAACATGATAATATCATCAATAGTATAATTAGCAAGATCCTAGGCATGATACTAAACGGATTAATAACAAACCCTAGCATAATTATTCACTCACAATGAGGGAGAGGTTGAAAGATGATAATGATATCCCAGAGTTCTTGTGTGCACCCCAGAAAGATGGGTGGTATCATCTTTTTTTGATACATGTGCCTAAATTTCTAACCAGGAGGGTTATGTATGGTCCAAGTGTGGGATTCTATACTGATACAGAATCTGAGGGGGGGGGGTCCACTTCATTAGGTAGTTATATGTCTGCTGACTTAGTTGCCACATCATCGGATAAGGAAAGGGTAAGACACAGTCAGCTCAAAATGATGACATAGGACAGAAAAAGAGTGGATTAAAGGAGGGAGCACATGCTAATGAATGCAGGAACCCTAGATCTGGAAATATAAGCCCACCCATTCCCATTTCTTCCCACATCCCTGTCTTGAACATAAATGAAACTGCTGCCTCTCAACCCAACCCTTCTTCAACCCAGAACCAAAAAAAAGGGAAGCTGGTCCTGAAATAAACTCAACAGCCAGTTGTTTCTCTTGACTCCATTCTAGAAGTAGGTGAAGAGAATCCTGCTACTCACAGTGACGGGGATGAGGATGATGATGTGGTTTTGAGTGATCTTGATTTTGAAGATGAAAGTGATGATGACCTGTTTGCCGCCAATGTTGATGAGGAGATAACTGAAGATGTGAATAGAAGTTTGGTGAGTATTCATACTAGGCAGCAAAACAGTCATAGAGGTGATGACCAGGGTGAAGTACAAGTTGAAGATGATGATGACTTGAATGATAGTCAGGATGAGTTGGATAGTCCAGCTGGTTCAGATGATGAAGAAGTTAGGTACCCTGTTTTTAACCCTGATGTTGACTTCAAGAGGAAGATTAACCTTACTGATGGGTTGAAATTTGCTTCACATATGGTGTTTAGAAAGGCATAAAGACACCATGCAATAGAGAATGGATACAGTTACATGCTTTTTCACAACAAGAGTAAGAGGATAACTGTGTACTGTGCTAAAAGGTGTGCATGTAATTTTGTCTCTGGAAAATTTTTTGCATGTCATTGTCCAACTAGAAGGAAGTGTTTGTTTAGGATACATGCTAAGAAATTAAAAGATGAGGAGACTTTTCAAATTAAAAGTCTTATGCTGGAACATAAATGTGGGCATTAGCATGTAAATACACATGTTACTAGTGAGTATCTGGCTGAGAGATATTTGGAGGATTGGAGGGATGACCCCACATATAAAATGAGTGCTTTCATGAAGAGAGTGAGAAGAAAATTAGGTGTAGAACTTGGGTATTACAAGTGTTATTATGCAAAAAAATGGCATTGTAAATAATTCATGGGAATGCAGCAGAGGAGTACAAGAGAGTATGGGATTATGTTGAAGCAATCAGGAGGTACAATCCAGGTAGCACTGCAGTTGTGAAGCTACAAAACATCGACAACTCTCCACCAATTTTTCCAGAGGATGTACATTTGCTTGCAACCATGTAAAGAGGGATTCATGGCTGGTTGCAAGCCCATTTTAGGTGTGGATGACTGTCATCTAAATGGACCTTGGCCTGGGATTTTGCTTACTGCTATTGCTAAACATGGTAACAACAATATTTTTCCAGTTGCTTGGGCTGTTGTAGAAACAGAGAGCTCAGAAACCTGGACTTGGTTTCTTGAGTTGTTGGTCAATGACATAAGCTCTGTTGCTGCATCAGTGACTTGGGTGCATGAGCATGAAGATCCAGTTACCTTCATGAGTGACAGAAAAAAGGTAACTTCAATGCTTTCATGAAATTGAGTGAGGATTGTTCTGTGCCAATTATTAACATTGCACTATGCCAATAATTGCAGGGCCTGCTTGATGCTTTCAACACAGTTATCCCAAATGCAAAAACAAGGTTTTGTTGCAGACATATTTGGGCAAACTTTAAGCTCGAATTCCCAGGTCAGATATACAAAGAGAGCTTCTGGAAGGCTGCAAGGAGTTCTACTAAGGTGTGTATGTCTTACTAGTTTGTTTCCTCCACTTGAATTTAAAGCTCAAACTTTATACATGTACTGATGATCAGTTTTTTTTTTCCATTCATCATCAATTTGACAAACATATGCAAGAGATTAGGAAGTTGAGTGAGGATGCTTTTCAATATCTTTCTGAGATACCAGTTTGTCACTGGTCTAGACATGGCTTTAGTCCTAGGGCAAAGTTAGGGATGCTGCTAAACAACTGCTGTGAAAGTTTCAACAATGTCCTTAGGGAAGCTAGGACAAAGCCAATCTTGTCTTTAATGGAGTGGATCATAAGATATGTCATGAAGAGAAGTTGTGCTAAGAGAGAAGGCTTGAAAGATTTTGAAGGTTTAATCATGCCATCAGTTGTGAAGATAATTGAGAGAGGGCAGAAACAGATTTGGAACATGAGAGTAATTCAAGTAGATTTGCATGAATTTGAGGTGGATGATGAACAAGAGACATTTGTTGTTAATCTTGAAAACAAGACTTGTGGCTGCTATAGGTGGACTTTGATGGGTATCCCATGTTGGCATGCCTTAGCTTGCATAGCCAAAAGAAGACTCAACTATGAAGATTTTATACACCCAGCCTATCATATTGCCACTTATGCTGCTACATATGCTCCAGCATTTCATGCAATGCCAGGACATAACCAATGGGGTGATTCTGATAGGCCTCAGCCTTAGC